AATCAAACCCAGATTAAACCCTTCTGGTTCAATCCCAGGTCGCCGGCCGCCGACTAGACTAATCAAACTACCCTTTTCTCCTCAAGATTCGATCCCGCCGTTCTCCCTCACCAGCAAGTCGTACGGCGCCCACAGCGCATCGAGCGGGCAGGGCCGACCCGAATCGATCCTCGCCCACGGCTTCCCTTTCCCGCTCCAATGCAACAAGCTCACCGGCCCCGGATGCAAATCCCGGCAAAGCCCTCTATAATTATCCCCACCAAGCCCGTGCTGGTTCCACCGGTGATCCACCGACGCGATTTCCCCGGCGAAGACCAGCAGGAACGGCGGCAGAGAACCCAGCTCGTAGATCCTCATCCTCTTCTGGAGCTCCATCCACTCCACGATCCTCGTCGTGTAGCCCCCGACCCTCCACCGCACCAGATCGATCACCATCACGCCCGTGTTGAAGTAGCACGCCTTCCTCCCCGCGAACGTCAGCGACAGGGACGGGTTCGACCAGAAGGACGGGGTGAAGTAGATGGTGAAATTGGCGTTGCAGTACTCCGGCGCGGCGAGTGGCTTCCCCAGCAGAGGCGTCGCCGCGAGGTCGGCGACGTCGTCGACGAGGATTACGTCGGAGTCGAGGTAGAGGACTTTCGTCAAACAGGTGGGGAGCAAGGTCGGGAGGTAGTTGCGGGCGTAGTTGAGCGGGGAGTCGAGCGCCTGTCGGATTGAGGTCGAGATTAGGCCCTGGACAGGGGAAGGAGCGAAGATGTGGAGCTGGCAGCGGAGGTAAGGGAAGGATTGGAGGATGGTGTTGTGGAGGGAGGGAAGGGAGGAGATGAAGTGGAAGCGGATGTTCTCCGGGCAGGAGGAGTGCTGGAGGGTGGAGAGGATCGCCGCCATCGAGCCGCGGAGGTAGTGGAGGTCGAGGGTCATGGCTATGTTGATGGATTCGTTGGAGCAGAAGTCGTCGGCGGGGATGGGTGGGCAGGCAAGGGAGTTGTAGAATTTGGGTGCTTCTTTGAACGTTTCGTTGTTGTCGTCGGCGAGAACTGAACGGGCGCTGCCGCCGACGGCGGCGAGGAGGAGGATGAGGAGGAGGAGATTTGGCATTGTGGAAGGAGAGAGGAGTTTGAAGGGAGAGTGGTGGTGTGTGGTGTGTTAGAAATAGGGAATTGAGCGAGGCATTTGATCGAGCATGTGGTGGGCGGTAGTGTTTGAGGGAGAGGAAAAGCGGATTTGGAAATTTTGGGGGAGAAAGGAATTTGATTTTGAATTCACATTAGTAAGTAGACTAGTAGTAGGATTCAGTTCACTCAACAACACACTGTCTTTGACTGTGTGGGAAGGAAGGAAGGAAGGAGAGAGACAGAGTTGTACGATTTTTTTTGTTTTTTTGGTTTTTAAATTTTAAATTCCGGGATCCCAGTCGGCAGTTAAATTTTCTTTTTGTGTGCACGGGCCCATGGGCCATGGGTACGTAGATGTTAATTGCACCGTTTCGGTCAACCGGACCTTTAATGGTTAATAAGAAGTTAAAGCCCATAATTATGAAAACAAATTAAACATTGAGCGTACCTTTGGAATGAGCTGTTTAATTGAGTTAAATAGTGTTTGTGAAATCGTAGCGTAATGTTAGGGGTCGTTTGCTTGATGGATTTGGGACTCAAATTCCAAACTTGATGGATTTTAGCCAAGTCCATTGTTTGTTGTTAGGTGTTAAATCCGTGGGGTCCACGGATTTGTTCCCTTTTTTGGATGCAAATCCGTGGACCCCACGAACTTGTAAATCCCACATATTGGGGTGGGATTTGTAAATCCTTGATGGCTAGTTATATTTATAGCAAATCCATCATAATTATATCATCAAATCTATCATGCAAACAATAGACTCTTCAAATCCATGATGGTACAAATCCCTCATAAATCCAAAGGTTTTTTTGAGCCAAAACCCTCATTTTTCAAATCCAACAAGCAAACGACCCCTTAGTTTTACGAAGCCCAAACCAATATAAAAATTTTAAGATACGAAACGATTGAATCACGATATTTTAGGCATAAACAATGGATTTATCTTGACGTAATTTACATTAATTGGATTCGGTGCCTCTGTAAGTGAAGCAAAAGAATCAAAGAATATGGGCAGCAGGAAAAGGCAGAAGCAAGTAGGAAGGAAGGAAGGCGAATGGTCATGATTGGTAAAATGCCAAAACATGGAACAGCTTTGTACGGACGCGCTCGCTACTCTGCTGGGCTGGAATACCGTGTGGCACCATTTTGGTGAATGGCATCCAGTTGGCAAACGACGTGTACATTTTATAAATTATTTTATTATCTTGACACATTTTGTCGCCTCTCCCAAATATAAATTCGACGAATTATTTTCTTATATGCATTTTTTCCTTCTTCTTTACCAGCTGCATATATGATATGAGATCGAGCTACAGCAAACCCTGCAATATTATGGGTATTGCTTTCTGCAAATCTGTAGCCAAATCTCATACCATGATCAAATGGAGAAAGTTGAAATGAATATGAAAGATATATATAAATGGACCACTGAATATTAATGAGCACCTCACCAACCTTTGTCTTGTCTTATTGGGTTTCCTGCGTGGTTTTTTTGGGGGGCGATGGTCCTTTAATTGGACATAGACTACTCGTAAGTACTCATAATGAGTTCGACAATTGAACAAATCTGTATTGATTTAATTATATATAACAAAACACGGAAAATGATGAGATACAAAGCTCGGAACTACCCACTCTGTAAATATATTCTCTTACCACATTTGATATGATTAAAATTAAAAATGATAAAACACGAATTTCGTAAATTTTGTACCGTAAACTAGCCCATAAGCCCTAGCTTTTTCGTATATGTTTCCTTCAAGATAGTGACTTCATAAAGGGCCATCTCCCAACCACCTAGAAGAAAGCTCCAAAACTCACCGTTTCAACCCCTACGTACGCACTTGCCATTGTCCAAGTGAGAATCAAGAAGTGAAGTGAAGAAAGAATAGAGAAGATGAATGAACCCCATGACCAAAAATACATCCAAAGAATTCAATTTGTGGTGACTTCATGTTGCGGTCATGTCCATTCATGGCCACACCAAAGCTTTTTCTGGTGTACAAAAATAACCCACGCTGCTACGTACGACGCCGTGTAGGACTGGCAAGCCTGGTTCTAAAATGTTAGCCTTTTTAGCTTACGGTGGTGCTGCAGCAGCAGCCTGCATGCTTGGGGTCTAATCTTGCCTCCCACCAAGAACTAACTAATAAGCCCCTTTATTTAACCACCTTAAAGTCCTTATTAACCTTAATCAACGGGCACAAACTAGAGTGGTGAAATTTACGAAAACTATAGGTACAAACTAAACTTTTATCAATAGTGTTGAAAGTACAAGTTCAGTTTGTACCATAAAATAATTTGTGCTGACATTTATAGGTACAAACTAAATTTATACCGTAACGTTAAAAATACTAGTTCAGCTAGCATTGTAAAATTCCTATATAAAAAAAACACAATCTCTTCACGGTAGAAGCTTATTTACTGGAAATCTATGGCAAATCATGAAAAGCATCAATGCACACCCTTCCTCAAAACAATTAGCTTTCATTCGTTGAATGAAGAACTAATTATTGGACTCCTCTCCATTTGCTAGCCATTAATGAATCACTGTTCCACGATCGTTTGTCACGATGACATGATTAAGAAGTTCTGTAGCAAATTGCTCAAAAAGTCTATGGAGGGAAGCTTAATTAGCTTTGATTTATATATATATCCTGCTGTTGGGGGAGGAATAAGCATGATTCGACGATTCGTGGGGAAGCTCCAACACTGTTCTTATAAGATTTACTATGGCCCCATCGGCAGTGTTAAATTCCTTTGTCGACAAACTATACATGGAAGGAAGAAGAAGACAAAAAAAAAATTACATGTCAAACATGAAGAGGCAACGTAACAGGCACCGACAGGAGTGGAGAGTAGGTGTGTGCAATGGTCCGGTACGAGACCGGACCAAATGGAAGTTTGGATCGGACCCTACCGAATCGTGTATAATGCGGACCGGTTTTTGGTTCACATAAATTTTACAATTACTGAAGAAATGACGGAACGAACCAAATCTGACCAAATGGACTAAACGCGCAATGATGGTCCGGTCCGGTCCTTGATCCTAAAATATCTTTCAATAATGGATCGTGATTCTCATGAGTCGATCCGGTCCGAACCAAATCGAACCATTGCACACCCCTAGTGGAGAGGGAAATTTTTGGAAAGTGGGACAAACGGCCTCTCCTGGAAGTCCGCAACTAGCAACAAGGAAGCCCTAACACTACAAGAAAATAGGTTTCTAATCACGGGATCTTATTCACGGGAATGTTTCCCGTATTAAAAAGTACACTAATTGTCACGGGAAACATTCCCGTATTAAATTATATAATTCTAGTCACGGTAATTTATTTATAGGATTTTGAGTATTTATTTACCGTGATTAATAGTCAGTCACAGTTAAATCCCATGACCAATATGACAAGAAAAAGGTAAAATTGTCCCAAATTTGAAGTGAGAAAGTTTTCGTTCCCTCCAAAATTCCTTTGGCTCCAAATATTCATTTGGCTCAAAATTTGACACCACCCAATATTATTTGGCTCCAAAGTTTCCCACCGTCCAAAACTCATTTTTCAGTTTTTCGCCTTCCCGCCCCCCTTCCCCCCAAAACCAAAATTGACAGCAACCAAAATTCCAAAACCCGGACCATGAAAGGAAGAAGAAAAAAAAAACTATCTGACTTTCTACCCCTCACACACACACTCCTCCCGCATCACCCTCTCTCTCTCTCTCTCGTACAATTGTTCTTCTTCACATAGGAGACAAATGCTTGTTAATGTTATGAAAGCTTTTGTTTTCTTCATTACTCCGTCATTCCTCTTCCCTCTTCCCTCTTCTCTAATATCCTCGTCAAATCTCTACTATGGATTCCATATTATCTTTCCATCAAAGTTTAGATCCCGGAATCAAATATTTGTCGGGATTTACTATGAATCGTGGTTGGTCTTTGTCTCTGTCATTATACAAGAAAGGGATAGGAGCCTGCGACCAACAAACGTCACGATTATTGCTGCAATTAGCCAAGCAACAATTGCTTCAGATCACAAAGGGAAAAGCGGACCGGGAAGAGGAGGTAAAGGGAAAGACAGAAGGCGTACTGTGAGGGTTCAGAGGAGTTGAGGCATATTTGCTAGCTTGATTGAGGTAATTCATGCTTTCTTTCCTGATAATCTTCGAATTAGAAAATTAGGGTTCTTAAGTTAAATTGGTGATTTTGTAGAATTTGTGCCAGGAAGAGCAGATTAAACATGGCGGAGAAGCTGTAATTCGAGGGTTGGCCTATTGATAACGAGGATGAACGAACATCTAATCTATTCTGGATTTGGGTAAAAATGGCATGGGAGGGGCTCTATCTTGAGAGGCAGGAAGCGACTGATGAAGTTGTATCCGACAAAGAGCAACATTAAGCCTTTCCCATCTGCTACAACTTGTGACAGCACAAGTCATGAGGACTCAAGCAAGCATGAGGATTAGGAATGAAGTGACATTATGGAGAAGGTACAAGTTTTAGTCCCAACCTCTGAAGTGGTTTGTTGTTAATACAAGAGAGGTTTCCTTTGGTTGAAATGTCTGATGCTTGTCTCTGTCTCTGGACTTGGAAGTTTGAAATTATGTGGGCATGAAGATGTTCATGTCATGCTTTGGTTGGAAATTATGTTGCTTGTCTCTGTCTTTGAACTTACAAGTTTGTAATTCCTTTTCCTATGGTTTCTTACTGATGCAGGCTATTGTTTTGTAATGATGTATGCCCTGTATATGTTAACTGCCAGGCTAATGTTTCATTCTTTACTTGTAGGCTAATGATTCACATTCCCTTTCTCTTGGTGTTAAAAACAAATGGAGCTGGGGTGAAGAAGCATAACCTTTTTTATTTCATTGTGTTTTGATCCTCAAAACAGATTTCAAAGTCTGAGTTTGATATGGTGCATACGCTAAAGAAGAAACGAACTGTGGGTTGGTAATTTCTGTTGTATGTGGTGATTTTAGAGAGTCTATAAGAGCATCTGTTGTAGGTGGTGATTTTAGAGAGTCTATAAGAGCATTGGAGTTGAGCACACTTTTGGGCATTAATGTTTCGCCATTACAGGTACTCAGTGGTTGATATGCACTTCGTTGTATGTTCCTTGATGTCAATTGAGATTTGATGGTGTTGGACAATTAACTTCTCTGTGATTTTCCAGGTACTGCAGGGTCATAATTTCTTTAAGAAGTTGAGGTATGAGTTACAGACTGAGTGAATTACACTCATTGCTGCAATTTTCTTTTTAATTTTTAGATTTCTACAACTAGATGCGTTGTTTCTTGTAATGGACGCTTGGCTATTGAAGGTTGGTTATTTCTACAGGTTGTTAAACAGGAGCATGTTTGTGTGAGGCTTCTGTGCCTGGAGTTGCCCTGCTGCTATTCTTCTGTTTCTTTTTTCTGCTTGTAGCTATTCTCCTGTTGTTTCTGTTGACCAGGTCTGATCTGAGCTGGTCGTTGGTAGGTACTGGCCTTGCTTCTTGCCTTTTCCTAGCTTAATTACTACTATAATAGTGTTGTGACTGTTAAGATAGATCTCGTAGTGATTGGTCCTGATTCATGCCACCTTTGCCTAGCTTCATTACTGCTACAAATGATTGGTGATGATTAATCTTATATGCAGAATTTAGAATACTAGAAAAATGTAGAGGGAAGAGTACTTGTATAGCAGTTGCTAGATATAGTGTGGTGAGAAGTAGTTGATTGCCTTTTAGTGTCTTTATTAATTGTGCTAGCTGTGAATGTAATTTACTTTTAAGTTTGGGTGCGCAGCAGGAGCTGTTTGGTCTTCCTAGCTGCATTTTCTTACATCTTTTCTGTGGTTTCTACTCGTACAGAATTCGGGTGCAGAGCAAAGAATGAGCTCAGCACGATATATCCATCCTTAAGTGTTTTTTCATCACGTATTGGAGAGCTGATGTCTGTTTTTCTTAAGAGATTCGGAGAACAGGGTTGAGCCCTATGCTGCTTTCTGCAATTTTCCATATGATGTTTGTTGCTCAAAAGAGATTGTTACTGAGATGAGATGTTGCTGCAAAAAAACTATCTTCCTAGCCGCCTATTACTAGGTAAAGACAAATTCGACATCTCTACTTCTGTTTCTAGGTAAAGACAGATTCAACATCTATGCTTGTGAGGTCCTTGATTGTTTCCAATGTGATATGTGCTTCTTTGATAGTGTCCCAGTGTCCCTCTTTTTTCACCGTAAAAAACCTTATACCCGGCTAAGTGACTCTCCCCTGCTTCCATGATGACTAATTTATGTACTCTTATCTCCATCCGCTGTAATTCTATCTATTCTTTTGTATTGCACCTGTCAATAGTTGATTTTGTGTTTGACTTTTGGCAGATAAGGTGAAGTAGCTTGTAAGGGCCACTGACCTGTCGCTAAACAAAGAGGAGTTCGAAAGTGGATGAGCAGTATAGAAGGTATATGTACACAGAGGTTGATACTTAGTGATTGCTTTACTTTTTCCCGTGATAGGCGAACAAGTTCCTCTAAAAACTCTTTATATTTTCATTTCATTAAGGGACATCATTTGTGATAACTTTTGTTTGGATATTAAGGTTCATGATTTGTAATGACTTTTGGTTGTGGCTATTAAGGGATATCATTTGCAAAGTTCTTTTTATTTTCATAACATTAGTCCGACTCTCAATATTAAGGAAAATATCATGTTTAGTGTTTATATATAAATAATATAATGAGACATGACTAGTTATAGCTAGTCACGGTACAAATTTCCCGTAACCTTTACAATTAGACACGGAGGTATATATTACGGTAACTTTACCGTGACTAAAACTATTGAACACGGGAAACACACTTTCAAACACGGTATATCCTGTGTTTAAAGGATCTTTTTCCTGTAGTGTAAGAACATCTCCATTGGTGCAATGGTATTTGCAATCGCATTTGTTTTTTTTTATTGTTACTTCAGTTTTTTGCAATCCAACTCATCTTACTTGCATTGCACCACATTAATGCAATTAACTTGCAATTGCAACTAATTTTTTCGATTTAATTTATTAACACATAAACACTCAAATAATAAAACAAATGAATAATTTGATAATAAAAAAGATGATGTGGCTTGCATTCCATAATTGCATTATATGCAAGCTTGCAAAGATGCAATTGTCATCTACATCAATGCAATTGCAAATGAATGTCATGCCATAATGCAATTCTAATTGCAATTCCAATGAAGATGCTCTGATGTTATGTGTCTTATGGATTGCCGTTTTGCAGGAGAAAGATTACGTTTGCTTGTAGGATTTGAAAATGAAGTTTTTGGATTTTAAAAACCTTTGGATTTATGATGGATTTGGAAGAGTACATTATTTGTTTAGTTAATTTTTATCATGGATTTATAATGAATTCTCACAACTTTGCCTTCGATTATCAAATCCCAAATGAAATGTGAGATTTGTAAATCCGTGGGATCCATGAATTTGGATAATAAAAAAAAGGTCCAAATCCATAGACTCCACGAATTTGTATCTCTCAGCTAACAATGAATTTGTATCAAAGTCCTTGATATTTGGTATTTAACTGCCAAATCCATCACTCAAATCTCACAAACAAACGATAAAAGAGAACTAGAAGAAGGCGAAGAAGATTAATGAACCCATAACCGAAAAGAATCCAAAGAACCTACTTTATGATGATCGACCTCATGTTGCGATCATGTCATTCATGGCGACACAAAGCTTTCTCATATATTTATATAAAAAAAAAAAACCCACGCTGCTACGACGCCGTGTAGAGAGGTTGGTGAAGTGGTAGCCTCTTTAGCCTTTAAATTTAGCTTATGGTGCAGCAACCTGTATGCTTGGGGTCTAATCTTGCCCCCCACCAAGAACTAATAAGCCCTTTATTAACCACCTTAATAACCTTAATCAGCGGGCAAAATTCAAGTGATGATAAAAAGATACACAACACCAACCAGCCACGTAGCTACACTAGCAGTTATGGTGCTTACCGAGCTTGTAGTGCATGTTATCATAGAGGTTGTACAGTAGTCACCGGATCGAGCACAAAGTATTTGTGACCGTTGAAATGGATGCAGTGACAATTTTATAACCACGCACGCAGCAGCAGTTATGATACTTACAACTTATAGTGCATGCTTCGTAGAAGTCGTACATCTCAGATTTAGCACAAAACGTCCGCGACGACTGTAGAATGTACACCGCATCCAACAACTAGCTAGTATGCATCCTGCGCTTGATCCGACGACTCGCAGTTTGGGCTGAGCCAAATTGGCCACGTAGAGACGTAGTAACCCGGGCCCCCCCTTTGTCCATGTGGGTCGTCGGGTCGCAGAACTACATTCATATACCAAAATTGTGATAAAGTCATGATCAAAGTACAAAACGAAGATATTAATTTATGATCTTCCCATGAACTAACTACTAGCTAGTTCCCATGCTATAAATGAAATGGAATGTTTATTGCAAAAATCAATGGAAGAAAAGCATCAATGAGAAGGAGAAAAAAGAAAGCACTGCCATGTGAAAGCACACATGCATTCACGCCACACAGACCCCTCCATCTCTCTCTGGTAGCCATTAACACATATCACTGTTCCCCGTTCCTTTTGTCAAGATGATGATGACATGATGATGATGAAGAAGATGTGGTGTAGCAAATTGCTCAAAAAGTCTTAAGGAGGGAAGCCTTTGATTCATATCCTGCTGTCGGGGATGAAATAAGCATATGATTCAAAGATCGTGGAGCAGCTCCAACACTGTTGTTATGAAGATTTACCATGGCCCCCTGCCCCGACAGCAGTAATAAATTTCCTTTGTCCACAAACTATAAACAAACATGGCAGGAGAAGAAGAAGAAGAAGATGACAAAGAATTTTCAAACGTATAATGTCAAACACAAAGCGGCCACGTAACCGGCACCGACAGGGGAGAGGGAAATTTTTGGAACAGCCGGCGGGGGGACGGCCATGTGTCTTGTGGATTGCCATTTTGTTTTTTCGTGGCATAAACCAGCTGGTATCAATAACTCGAGTTATTGAATAATCGGTTATATTGGATGTTATCTGATCTGAATCGAGGTAGGGTGCGGTATGGATACTACTTACGATCTCACATGTCTCGTCGTGCGCTATTACCATTCAATAGACTTCGAATACAATTTCTAGTGGATGAAGTCGGTGGTGGAGGCAGGATTTGAAACCATCCCTGTCCTGTTTTCGTATTATAAATATATAAATATTTAATGAATTTAAATTAATAATATCTAAATAATTTATTTTCATATATAAAAAATAACGACTAATACAAATGGTATTTTCATATATAAAAAATATACTCTTAAGTAAGTCCTTTCCAATAGATCCCACTAAACACTATTTAGCAAACTGGTTGTGAATTCGACTTCAGAGTTCGTTCTTGATATATCTCAAAGCTGGAAATATTTTATCTACACTTGTCGTCAAAACTAGTCTATCACTGAACTATTTCAAGATTGCTGGGAAAATAATCGAATAGGCATATGAAGAAAAGATATATATTCCAATTGAGATTTCGTTTATAGTATAATAAATTAATTTAATGTCAATCTATAATCAAATAATGAATTGTGGTATAGTGACAAAATACGTTGTGCTAGGTGTCATGTTCCATCCTTAACATAAACATATATGGAGTATGTTTGTTCATCCCAAAATTTACCCCTGTATCGGGAAAATGCCAAACTAGGTTGGTTCCGCCTATGGATGAAGTGAATTCTTCTTTTGAATTTGCAATTAACTATGAGAAAGGAAACCAAGCCAAACATCCCCCACGTTTCGGCCCGAAGATATTATGGCAGGCAGCTACCCTTTTTTAGAGGTTATAATTAGGGATGGCAATTTCGACCTGACCCGTTTTACCCGACCTGTTTGACCTGTTTTGGGGCGGGTTCGACCCGCCCCGTAGGCGGGGCGGGGCGGGCATGAGTAGTCTCATCGACCCGACCTGCCCTGACCCGCCCCATTCTCGACCCGTTCTTGTCTAAATTACATGAAATCTTAGTCAAATTACTTTGAATTTTACTTTTATCGCATCATATTTTAGCTATAATAAAGTTGTAAATTAGTGAAAACCTCAATTTCTCCAATAATTTAACTACAATTGTCATAATATTGTTTATTTTCTTAGTTTTATAATAAAAATAACGAATATTTCTAATGTTTTTCAAATAAATTGCATACCCATTGGGTCGACCTGCCCCAACCCGCGACCCGTGATCAATTACCCGACCTGGACCCGCCCTGCCACGGGGCGGATCTGGGTACCAAGAAACCCGGCCCTGACCTGCCCCATTGCCATTCCTAGTTATAATTAGGGGTTGCAATTAATAAGAGTCCAACGACGACCAACACCAACTGCAACCGCCACCTCTTCACATATACACATGACATCCAAAAACGACGTCCCACCAGCCATGTAGCTTTTTTGACAAAATGCAACCTCGACGGGACACTCCAAACATGCCCGCTTTCTTTCCTCTTCTATTTAAAGTTAAGTGGGTAATCTATTTGATATTGATTTGCAACAACTCAAGTTATGAACAGGAAAAGCCCGGGAAAAAATCTGCCATTATGGATCGCATCGTTATGATTTGAACATATAATTCGTGCTTAAGAGACTACTAGATAGAAAAATCAATATGAATTTGTGAATGACTCAATCTTGTCAATACAAAATTTGTGGGAGAATTTGTATAAAGTTGTGAATGAGTCGATTTCACTAAAGATAACGGACGTAATGCGAAATATAACTATATCAAATTTATGCGTCAATCCTTGTTTGTCGGGGGATTGGTAGAGTTAATTAGTAGGTGGCTATACGGTCCGGTCTGGTTAAATTGGCCCGAATTGATCTGGGCATGTCCGGTCTTTTTGGAAATATAAGGATCAAAGATTGGATTGGATACAGTCCGGTCTTGACCCGATCCGGTCCAAATTTGGTCTTACTTTTAGATGGAGCTAGTGGGTATTTGAGTTGCCTGGGACCTCAAAAGGTGAGGAGTTTTTGGGTGTTGGGGTCTCTTATTCGGTCTTTATCCGATTTTCGATCCGGTCTCAAACGATTTTTTACCTCAAATCTAAGCTCGAATATGAGATTGGATTGTTTGCTATCCAGTCCCAATGCGATCCCGGTCCGAGTTATACAGTCCGATTTCGGATAAAACCAAACAGTCCGGACCAAATAGCCAGCCTACAGTTAATAGTGTAAGTTGAATGGGAATGGCCACACTACGAGTTGGGCAAGTAATGTACCAATGGGTCCATGGGCCATGATGATGATACCGTAGACAAAGCCCATGTTGATCACTGTAAACTAGTCCATCCTGGACAAGGACTACTCACTCGAAAGCCCTCTCATTCCCACTTGCTTCATCAAGCAAGTGATAGACAGGCATACCAGATAAGACTTTAGCAGCAAGCGCCACCTCAATCTAAAAGGACCGCTATTCTGAATCTGCAGAGTTTCAGAAGAAGAAACACATTGCACCAAAAGGACAGAAACCATTATAATGGAACAAGTACTTGATACAGCTCGCTTCACACACAAGAACTTGCTTACTCTTTAAGAATCCACAAGCAGTACTACTAGCAGCTTGCTACTAAGTACATTATTCTCAATTAACTAACAACAAGCTGAACAATCAATACGGAGTTACGGATGCTCATCACTGCTGCACTAGCCAAATATACACACGAACCGCATCAGCCTTCCAACGCGTAATAACTGATAAAATCACCCGAACTTTCTACTTAGTGCAACCCAAACACAACCGTGACAAGTACGAATAAACCAATCAGCAGAAGCAGGTTCTTCAAAGCATTATCAGTCTGGTTCTGTCGATTCCTCGGTGGTGGGAACCAGTTGGCGTGGCCACCGTGGAAGTTATGGAACCCATGATGGAAACCAGGAGCAGTTCCATAGGCAGCAGCATCGTGGAACCCGTGGAACTGGATATTGAACAATGATGGGAACAGAGAAAACCCACCGAAACCAAATCCACCCGACCACATGAAGTTTCCGATCCTTCCAGTTGCCATCGGAGCAAACCCTCCTCCTCCCAGTGGTCCAAACCTGAAGTTGCCGAAAGCATTGTCTGGTGCAGGACGCGGGGCGGTCTCCGGCCTCTGCCCGGCTGGCCTTGGAGGGGTGTCAGTGATGCCTGGATACGATCTGGAGCGAGGATCGTCGGCCTGCGTTTTGCCTCTGCCGTAGAGAGGGACCAACTTCTCTTCCTGAATTAGAGCCTTGCAAACAGGGCACTCTTGGGAGTTGGAGTGGTGGTGAAGCCATCTGTAGAGACATGGCCAGCAGTAGAGATGGCCACACAGGGTCACAATTGGATCCTGAGCTAACTCGAAGCAGATGTTGCACTCGAAATCCTCAGCAACCAGCATCGCCTGAAATTTTGTAGCCGCGGGAAATCGGTCGATGTTTCCTTACTCAGTTACTCTCTCCACTCCTCCTTCCAAACCCTAGATCAAAGCACAAACGCTAGAAGAGCTTAAATTGGAGGGCGATCTCCAAAAACCCTCTTGAAGAAATCATATCATTGATATCCCCAACAATTCTAAATTCCACCTAACAGAAACCCTCCCATTCATTCATCAATTCGATTAGAGGAGAAACTCGAACAACGTGAAGAGCACATCAAAATTAGCTCAAAACCCACATGGTACGTACTTACCGGAGAACACACAAGGACTTGAAACGAAGGGCAGTGGATCCGGATTCGGGAGCAAAGCAGCGAGATTTCTGCTTCTTCAGTGGGTTGGGAAGGATTGGAAGCAGGAGAGAGATGAAGTGGCTTGGGTTCTTTTTGCTGCCTATTTATATCGAGGCTGTGGCTGGATGGCTCGAGTTAGTAGTGTCAAAAAACAGAAAAAACAAAACAAAAAAGAACGTCCCGTTTGCATAACTATGATGCGGGCCAATCATATTTGGGTCTTTGATTCGGGCCAATGGTTTTCGAAAAGGTTTTTGAATGATGTAATGTGGGCCTTATGGGCCTTGTCGCCTTGATATCTGTGAATTTGGGCCTTATGTGCATGTTTATCGTTTTGGAGTAGGAAATCCAAAAATCTTAAAAGACGTCTAACTCTTGCGGTTGTAATTAATTGTACCTAGCTACTACCCTTCAGGCCTCCCTAACTATCATCAATCAACCACATCGCCGACATAATTAGAAAGTGACCCTCCCCATTTTTCTTCTTTGTCCTTAAGCAAGAAAAGAGGAAAAGGACATATCGTTAAGCATATATTACAGTGCATCTACATGTTAAGCATGGAAGAGTGAAGTTGCTTGTCTTCAAATATGCAAGCCATCGGCTAACATTTTTGCAAAATATTGTATAATTATGCTAAATGGGTGATATTATTGTTCATAATCGTGAGTGTCCTAATCATCTCCGATTCAATCAATAGATACCATACAAAATAATTATCCGGATAGAGCTTCAAAAACAAGAGAACGACGGAAATAAAGAGAGAATAGAATAAGAGACATATTGGGCTCTCTCTTATAGTCTTATTACGAGGAGAATTTGCCATTGGCGTCTCTCATCTCATGAATAATTTTGGTTAATTAGAGACACAACACAACCCCAGCTGGCAATTGGGTAACTAGTAAAGCTTTTTTTTTTTATCTCTTTCTTTTGCATTATACGAAAAGCTTAACATCGTAGCATAGATTCACTAGTACTTTGCTATTGACGTTGATTAATCTAATAATACACTAAAAAGCAAGCTATCACACTAATTCTCCATCCCTAGGCACCGCACCCACTTTACCGTCATTATATGTTATTTTACCCAACAGGCCAACACAAATACAATTAGTAGATTGATGATCATTCATCAATGTTACGATTCGTAATTTCAAAAGAAGCACCTTTGACCAAAGAAAAAAAAATGTTGCAACTTATTGACGTTAACCAAATGTTTTAACTCTCTCACGCGTTTACAGGTACAATAAGACCTCTCATATCGACATCGTGACAAAACATTGCATGTCGTCATTGGTTCAACGCATGTTGATCAACATACTCTACTTTTTCTTTTTTAGTTTGGTTAGTGTATATTCTTTATATTATTCATATCTTGTTATTTTACGAAGAGAATATGTATATAAAAAAAGGTGTAATGAGCACGTATATTGAATACAAGTCATATGAAAACTTTTAAATGTGATAGCCTCTCCTTCCACCGGTCCAAATTAATCATAATGCATAATATTATTTTTTGATAATGTAATGCATAATATTATTAGTCGGAGTAAAACGTGCTCCATATCTATTGCTAGTTTATCTAAACAATATATAATGGAGATTCAAGGGTGGGGTTTTCTCCATTTGAATTTTCCTGCTCTTAGAGCATTTCTCGGTAGGGTGATAAAGTCATTTTACACACTTTAAAAGAAACTCACCGTTTTAATTTGTTAGCCCTTTATGTTTTTTTTATTTATTTTGTTTTATATCAGGCCTTTTTTTTTCCCTAAACCCACGCAACAGTGTAACCAGCCATTCATCTTTTATTTAGCAGACATTTAGTATGTATTATCTTTATAATTTTTATATAGGATTTTTTCTTTTTTATTTTACTTCATAATTCTTATATATTTGACACAAAATGGCTAATCATATTCTCCAAAATAACATGCATTTTCATATATTTGACACAAAATTGAGCTATATTTGCTCATTTTGTATACCATGGTGGCAAAACGTGGTAGTGCATAAGACTATATCATTATGCTATGAAGATATTGTAGTGTACAATAATTGTATGCAAGATAGTATGAATATATTAATCATGTATCCTCTACACCATCATCAACAACCATTAATTAACATTATGCTGTAGTAAGGAAAATGGAGGTATATTTGGTCCCAAAAATATTTCCTAGAAATATATTGAATTCTTTAGCTTGCGATGAATTTATTATTTTAGCAAAAAAATTCAAAATTTAAATTAAAACAAAAAAGATACAAATCACTTAAAAAGTAGAAAATGAATGGCTAAATTTTCAAGGATCAACGCTGAAATGAGGTTTATAGTTTGTGGGTTTCAATTTAGGTATATGTTGCTTTTAGTTTCAGTCTTTTGTTTCACTCTGATTTAGCTCTTCATGTGCTTTCCTATTAGTTTAACTTGCCATTTAGAGATTCAGAAGCTTAGATAACATTAGTGTCGCGATGATGTTTAGTTAACATTAGTCAAATTGCTTCTATATGAAATAACACTCCAACCATGATTGTGTGAGTTAGTTTCTTATTAATGTTGCTCTCTTCTAAACATATTGTCGTTTGGATTTACAAACTCTCACTCAATGAGTCGGAAATGATGCTATCTTTAGATAGTCTTTGTTGTCGCATTTAGTTGACATTTCACATACACTCATCTAAAATCTTGAATTGTTTAAAATTTAGAGATTTAGCTCTTATTCTCCAAACGATCCCTGAGAATACTGAGCTTGATTCGTATAATGCATTTTTGGAGGCGATTTGAATATGGAAGTTGAAAGCATTTGAGATAGATTTGGTGCGGTCACCATGATTTTTGTTTTTGTAATATAAATAATTTTATACCATTTCCACAACATTGATCCACACAAATTTAGTATAGTATTTTCATAGCATCACCTCGATGTATTTTATTGATACTCTAATCAATTGAAACATTTCCTCACATCTAGCTAAATGGAGAAGTACTTCATTAATCAATGATCTTGGTACAAGCGAGACCAACTACAACCAAGATGAGACAGAATACAACTATAACCATAGTGAGATTAAATCAAGAATATGAATCCAATCGGGAGGGAGAGATCCCCGAGCCATTTCTTTCGCCACCCAGTCTGTGCATTTGTTATACCCTCTTACTTTCAAAGACATTTGTCATTGGCACTGAACCTATATTGAGACGCCATCAGAAGCATTTTTTAAATATAGCAATTTATTGACATATGTTAGTTCTTATGCTATCAAAAAGAAAATCTTTGTGTATACCAAGTTGCAAAGTAAAATATACCATGATTTCTTTGTGTTCTCTTTAAGTAATGTTTCTACAAGCATAATGGTCATATCCAACAAGAAACTTTTGCAAAAAGGGAACAACTAAATCAAATTTATTGATGTAAAAAAATCAAATTTATTCCTTCATTTGTTTGAAATTTAATTCATTCGGTACTGGTTGCTTTGACTTAAATTTCACCAATCTCAAATTTTATACATATGTAGAGATTGATTCTCTCCCGAAACTTGAGGAGATTATTGAAGTGAAACCCATTTTTCGTGCCATTAGAAAATGTTTAAAGGAACAACCGCATAACAGTCTAATTAGTAATTACCATCAAAATGTTGTTTTTCCATTTCACTTTCGGGTTGTATAGTTATGTGTGTGCAATGCACGTTTGCAGGTCATCCTTTCGTTTATAGAGTACACGTTTATCTATTGTCTTCATTTTCAAGTTTGTTTAGAGAAAAAAATTAAATTTTCATTGGGTATATATTTATATTAGGTACATGTATCATATTTCTAATGTTTACTACACATTGGTAGTATTTTATAGATCCATGAGTTAAATATGTTCAATATTTTCCTTAGTTGTTCATGGCAACTTCCCAAACAAACACTCCAAACGTCAATAATCCAAATGAAAAAAGATTAAACCTCACATATTACACATAAATTTCAAATAAATGTCAAAGTTCGTTACACCGCTACAAAAATATCAAACTCTCCCGACCAATGGGTCGGGCTCTGTGCTAGTTAGTACATAGTCAAAACTCAAAACCAGAATTATCGAAATAAATAAGAATAAAAACGCAAGCGTGTAATCCCCACACGCACCTACAACCAATAATATCTCTCCACGCGTTGCCGGCCCATTTCCCTGCAATAGCAAACCAACGCCCTCGGCCCACCACCACATTTCTTGTTTCCGCAAATTAATTTCTTCAATTTTTTCATATAAAACCAAAATAAAACCAGGAGCCAAATTGCCCCGCAAGATTCTTTCCTAATTCCCACCCTTTCCCACTTTCTTCTCTGCCGCATTTCATCGAACACATGATCGGCTAACCACCGGCAACAAAGGGGGGAAAAATCCACCGCCTCCGCCTCCCAACGGTGGTGCTAGCTCCTCCGCCGAGCCAATCCACCACCGTCCCGCCATCCCATCCCTCCAAAAAGTTAAAAAAACACACACACACACACACACAAAACCATGATGCAGACGGTGAAATTCTACCTGGCGGAGCACCCGTCGATCGTGAAATTCCGGTGGAGCCACAGCCAATCATGGGGATCCACCTGGTCCTTCCTCGTCACCTCAATCGCCTTCTACCTCGCCGTCGCCACCTTCCTCCACCTCCTCCTCGCCCTAATCGCCCGCGGCGGCCGCCGCCGCCCCATCCCTCTCGGCCCGATCCCGGCCCTCCACAGCCTCACCATGGCCCTAATCTCCGCCACGATCTTCGCCGGGATCCTCCTCTCCGCGGCCTCCGAGATCCGAGAAACCCGCTGGTTCTGGCGCCGGACCAAAACCCCATTCCAGTGGCTCCTCTGCTTCCCCATCGGAACCCGCCCTTCCGGCCGGGTCTTCTTCTGGTCCTACATGTACTACCTCTCCCGATTCGTCCACATGCTCCGCACCTTCGTCTCCATCCTCTCCGCCCGCCGCCTCGTCTTCTTCCAGCTCTTCAACCACATCATCCTCACCGTCGTGTCGTTCCTCTGGCTCGAGTTCTCGCAGAGTTTTCAGGTCCTCGGGATCATGCTCGCCACCATGGTCTACTCGGCGGTGTACGGGTACAGGTTCTGGACCGCGATTGGCCTGCCGGGGGCTTGTTTTCCCTTTGTGCTCAACTGCCAGATTGCTCTGCTCGGAGGGAATTTGGTCTGCCATGTCGGAGTTCTGCTGCTGCATTTCATGAAGGGTGGGTGTAACGGGATCGGAGCTTGGGTGTTCAATTCGGTTCTGAACGGCGCGGTTATGCTTCTGTTCTTGAATTTCTATGTGCGGATGCATATCATGAGGAGGAAGAGGAAGAGGAAGGTGAAGGAGGAGGTGGTTGTGGGTCGCAACAATGGCGGTCAAAATCAGATTGCAGGTAGGGATGATGAGGATGATGATGAGGATATCAAACTTATTTGAAAGTGAGAAAATTGAAAAAAAATATGGAGGATTAGGGTTTAGGGGAATGATTAACAAAAATATAAAACGAAAATGTGTAGGATGGTCGCGGTACAACGGATAAAGTAGTTGTGTTTCAATCTGAAGATTTCGAGTTTGAATCTCGATTTGATCGATTGATTTTCCACGCTTTATGATAGTCGATGGTCTACGGGAAAAAAAAAGATAATGTATGAGGGTTTTGTGGGGGGTTCAAGAGGGGATTACCAAAAGTACAGTGACCAAATTTTCTTGGTAATTTCTTTCTTTTGATCTTGTTTTGGTGATTTTCTTACCTTTTATATACAATGTGAATATATAGATAGATTGTTGCAGAGCTTAGATTGTAAAAATTGTAAAGGAAGAGTTAAATGGGAAGTGAACTTTGTAAGTTCCAGAGGTCACTTATCCTGGTTACGTTTCCAGCTTCTTCTGTTCTTCTTTGTTTTTTTCAATGATAAAAGAAGAGGGGGTTAATTACATGGTTGGTCACTGAGATTACAAAAAACGTTCATGTTTGGTCACTGAAAATTTTTAAATCCAATCTTGGTCACTCAAATTAGTTAAATGGTTCAAGTTTGGTCACTCTCCGTCTATTTCCGTTAACTCTAGCTTACGTGGCAGTCAACTTTCATAGTTGACCGTTAAATATGTGACGTGGCAACTAAAAAATTATTAAAAATAAAAGAATAAACTTTTATATTTTCCAACTCATTATTATATTCATTAAAAAATAAAATAAAAAGTAAAAAAACATAATTTATTTTACACACTCACATACCCTACCCGACCCAACCTCACCGCCACCCGAACACACCCTCCGGCGGCCATCTTCTTCAACTCCGCTTCCGCCTTCGGCGAGTCCTTCAAAGAATTGTTGGAACAACACCGCCCCGATTGCTTAGTCGCCGACGCCTTCACCTGGACCACGGAATTGGCGGCAAGACTGGGCATCCCTAAGGTAGTTTCCGGCGAGAAGTGCTTCTTCTCCCTGTGCGCCGAACAGAGCCTGGTCGAACATGGGCCAAATGCAGACTCAACAAGTCAAAATGTAAAAGGGGAGTCTGGATGGGGTCAAACACCGGAATAACGGGGCAAAATGGACAAACTAAGAACCCACAGGTAGAAAAAACCAAAAGCAGCAAGAAGCTCCACCGCTGCCAGATTCAACCAGTACCCAACGCGAGGGAGCTGAGCCTCAATAGCAATAAAATGGCTGTCAAACTTAATCCACATTTTAAATGTTCGAGGAGAGATTACAGTGAAAGTGTGCGAAGATTGGAAATCTAGGGACATTGGGGGAAAAGAAAATAGAGTAATAAATATGCAATTGCAATTACCTTAATCGACGAGATCGGGAACAGGGGAGAGGGGATGCGGACAATTCCTACGGCGTTCTCGTCAACAGTTTCTACGAATTGGAACCTCTCTACGCCGACCACTACAGATCAGCCGTAGTGAAACGGGCCTGGTATGTCGGCCCCGTTTCTCTTTTCGCCGACGGCGCGGGGGAGAAAGAAAGCAGAGGGATGGTTACAGTGACGGAAGCTGCTACAGTCTCGGGACAGGGGTTTGTTTGGGTTGTGAAGAGAAGGGAAGATCAGCCGGAGGGATTTGAGGAGAGAGTCGAAGAGCAAGGATTGGTAATTGAAGGGTGGAAAGCCTCAACTATTGATTTTAGGGAAGGCGACGGTGGGTGGATTCGTTACCCACCGTGGCTGGAACTCTGTCGTGGAAGCGATTGCTGCTGGAGTTCCGATGGTGACATGGTCGCTGGCGGCGGAGCAATTCTTCACCGAGAAGTTGGTGAGGCTGTGGTCTGGTGGTGGTAAGGTTGGGTCGGGTAGGGTATGGGGTGGGTAGAAAAGAAATTAGGTTTTTTTTTTATTTTTTTATTTTTTAATGAATATAATAATGAGGTGGAAAATATAAAAGTATTTTTTTATTATTTTTTAGTTGCCACGTCACATATTTAACGGTCAACTATGAAAGTTGACTGCCACATAGGATAGAGTTAACGGAAATGGACAGAGAATGACCAAACTTGAACCATTTAACTAATTTGAGTGACCAAGATTGAATTTAAATATTTTCAGTGACCAAACATGAACATTTTTTGTAATCTCAGTGACCAACCATGCAATTAACCCAAAGAAGAGGTGGTGTAAAATGTTGGACTGTATCATAAAGAGTAAAATTTGTAAATATTAATTTTTGTTTTTGTTTTGAGCAAGTGATGAGATATTTGTTGACAGAAAATGTGAAGGAGAATGTCGGCTACCTACACCAATATTTGTTGACTTAAAATACTACTATGTACCGTGTTTATCGTCTAAATCATGCAATAATCAATATTGCAAATCTGAGACCTTCAGTTTCAAGATTAGTGGTATTACTACTATACCAAATTCTTGTTCATGATAGTCTCGCAAATATTGATTGCTAGTAAATCTCGTAATTCATCATATTGTATGAATTTTGCATAAATATTTCATTTCCATCAGCTTAAATTGAGAGGATATTTTGGGAGAAAGAATATACCTTATGGCTTATTACCAACCAATCTAGCTAGTCAAAGCCATATTTTGGGAACTTGAACAATTTCAGGGGAATTGGGGAGTTTGGAATATTTTGATGTCTCCAAGCGACTATCCTCTCTCACTCAAGACTCAAGAGTGTGTACTGATATGAATCTGGGAAAATGGTAGTAAAAAAAAAAAGTAAGCATTATCAACAGGCAAAGGTGAACATGATCATTCTATCATGTTACATAGCGAAATTGGTAGTAAAAAAATCATTATTATTGTCAGAATCTTATACACATATGGCTTTCCATTGACCATTATTCACTAGTAGTCATTATTATCATCATCATCATTAATATATATTATCAAGTATAAAGGTTTGAATGATTGTGTTGTAAGATCCCCTACGTAATTAGAAATGCATTCCTAATTTGTCACGAATATGAAAAATAAAACCGTTGCACATCTGGTCACTTGTTATCTAATTACAACGGTAAGAACTTTATTCGTACAACTTATGTTTCGAGATCTGGAACTTGGTATATACAAGTGATCAACTGCAACATATGTTAGTTTGATCCTGCGAGAAAAAATTATGTAAACTTATGAAGAAAGGGAGTGGAATTATTCTGAAGGAAACAAGCAATTTGTAGGAACTTATTCTTAGCTTGCTTTCAGGTGGTGGAATCTGCAGAAAAGCTACCAAAATCCTCAGTTTGCATCAAGTTCCGATTGCTTGCTGCCAAAAAAGAATGCAACCCAAGTGGAGAGTGGCATTGGCATCCAAAACTTTCGAGCATCAGCAGCTCGAGATGCATTGGAAAGCAACAGTTTGTCCATTTTTTGGTCCTTGTCTTGTTTTTATATGTTCATGGGCTTCACCAAAATTGATAGATTAGGGCAAAGATCAACATTGAGGGGACTCTTGTTATTTCTTTCATATGCTTTGGCAGGGTCTGTATTTTGAGTTTTTGACACTTTTCAATCACAATTTGTTTAGTGGTGGAGTGAACTATGTGAGTGAGATTTGTTTTCCTTTCCTTTTCGTCTAATTGTTAACCACTTTGATAATTGATACACGTAAACCAAATCTCTTTCTTAGTCACCTAACGGAGTGCTAGTGGTATCAAGAGAGTTTTTGGTCTATCATTATGGCTTGCTTGGTGCATTGTGTTTCCCTTGAGAGTGTTTTTTTTCTAACAAAGATAGTAGTGTATAAGTGGCTTTGGCTCTCGAATTATTACGGGTGAAACGAGCCCGATGAGCCTCAGTTTGGCTTTGATTTTCCCGCCATATTTGTTTGGGGACAACTTAATTGACTGGTCGATTGACATTAAAGGAACAACTTAATGCGAGTTTTCACCATTTGCCCCTTCCTTACTTTCAACTTGCTGATCCATCCAATCCAAGTGGTGTCATTGAACTAATCACTTCTTCAATTTTGACACCTTATTTCTGCCTGGATCTATCCCTCCCAAAAAAATACCGCAAATCATTTATTAGGCGCACTCTTTTTAGGAAATGAAAACGAACCTACGACCCATTACATTGACTCTTGAGTCAATAGTTTTAAAGAATTAAATGTATTATCTTTTCAGACGAAACAATGAGATGATGGCTAACTTAATTAGGGGGTGTGATCTAAACTCAATTCATATGTCAGATTATGTTAGGTTGGATGATTCAGAAAGAAGCAACAAAGAAGAGCGCACAAAATAATCCCCTCGAGTCAATGATTTAGGGGTGATTCCTACAGTAATCAAAAAGTTAAATGGCACTTTAGTATAGTTTGGTGTTGGAATGAACAATTCATACCACGGCATTGCATGTGCATGGGAATCTCCAAAATATGGGAGTCAATCAAGAAAGCTACACCATGTATCACTTAAGATACATGCACTTTACTCTATATGGTTATTCGAGAAGTTTTTACGATATGACAATTTTGCCAAAGATTTTCATGATTTTAGATCAAGACTTCATTTAAATGTATGTTATAAATGTTTGACTCCTAAAGACGCTCATCAATGTGAGTCATTCCAATTCAAACCTCGCAATAACAGGGAAAGGCAATACCAGAACGATCAACGCCTGAAAATCCCGTTCAATAGCTCCCACGTTTTTAGTTGTGTTAGATTGACACGCTGATAATGCTCTACATCCAATGACTGCAAAACGCCCCAGAAGGGCAATTCAACGTCAAAACGTGCTAATCGCCCGATGTGTCCGCATAGTACGGGCACATTCTACTGATTTGAGTGTTCTATTCTATGTAAGATGCACGTCTGCTATAACTGCTAAAACCCAAGAACTGATGAAGGAAGCTACGGGAAGTTAACTGGCACATCTACCTGTGTGTACAGCTTTGAAGTGGACAGGTTTGTAACTTTGTATGGAATCGGACGATACGGCAGCAGCATATAATTTCACGTTCTAAGACAATATAAAGAGAGTCATCTATCAACCATACATCGCTTCTTTTTGGACCACAAGCTAAGCTCCAGACCGACCATCAACTCTGTCTTGTCCTGGACCATTTTTTCACATCATTTTCACACATTTGGACTAACCCGCTCGGTTCGACCTGACCCAACTCGGCTCGAGTCTTCCTTGGTTAAGTCGATGGTAATAAAACAAGAACAGGATTCTATGGGTTCCAGGATCGAAGCTCTTCAAACACCTAGGTACTAGTTCCTTCCAAAAATTAGAAGATGAAAAGCTCGAACTGAAAGAACACAGCCACTCCTGAACATAACCTGGAAAAAAGCCTGAGCTATCCCGGGATAGCCACGGTGAAAGATTTAACCGATAAGGACAGCTATCGATAATTCTCATGTTCTCGAGAAAAATTTGCAGAATGGAATACTGAACCGTGGATGATTACGAGTTAATCTAGAACCACAAAGACCTTAAATAGACATTTTCTACATTCAAAGCACCAAATCATCGGTTAAAATTCGTATTCTGGAACGGAGTGCTATTCGGTGGTGCTCGTAAGCAAGTAGCAACTGACCGTGCTCTTTTTGGAGAATGGCATGAGCTGGGGATCAGTTCTCTTGAGTTTATTAGTCTTCCTTGTCCCGCGTGCGTTCTCCTTCCGATGCTGTAGTGGTAGTGGTAGTATGATCGACTGAGTCTCGGGTGCCAACAGTAAGAGGCTCTTCCTTGCAAATGCTCTGGATAAGCATGAAGACACCGACGAGGAACACGAGTATGTACACAAGTCTGACCCCGATTAGTGAATTGATGAAGCTCATGAAGGAAGGACCGCTTATCTGTCTCTTGTCAGTTCGCCCTGCTCTAAATCCCTCGAGGAACTGTGAGATCTGGGTTCCTTGGTCTTCCTCCTCCATTCTCTCTGAGCCAAGAACCTAAAAGAGAGGTAAAGAAGATGTAGAACGTCAATGTTGAGCAAAGGTAAAAAAAAACATCTACCATCCCTTCAATCACTCTTTATATCATTAGACAAACTATCTGCACATCTACCATCCATTCAATCACTCTATATCATTAGACAAACTATCTGCTAATCCCTTTGATTACTTTTTTCTATTCAACAAACTCTTTATTTCTCATCAGCTTGTATTTTTCTAAACTCTTACCAGATACTTTCTCCTTACATTTACTACAAGTTAAAAGAACACATAAAGCATAGTGCAAGACGGAGCAGATCTTTCGGTTGATTGATAATGAGATTCACAGTTGAGTTTAGGGAGTGTTAATGTAAAGACTTGTTTATTGGATTGGATGCCTTTCATTAGAGGCTAATTGGGAGTTTTTTTTTCTGGCTGACTGAAGTTTGTGGTTAGCCTGCTTCAGTTTTGGTGAGGTTGAGAGATAGTGGTATTTATATGGCAGTCTTTCTTTTTGCTACATTCCGTTAGAAGTTGGGGAGGTTTTTCTTTTTTCTTCTTCTAGAGATCGGTTGTAGGCTCTGTCGAGGCCTGCTATATCCCTGCAGTTGCAGGTTTGGTGAGGGAATAAAGCCTAAACTCACCAAAAACTATACTTCTGTCGGTTCAAAAGCTGAAACAAACAAACCCATGATAATGGGGAATAGAAGGCACAAAATGTTGAGAGAACTTACCACATGATACTCCTCATCTCCATCCCACACGACTGATCTTGGAAGATTCTTTTTGCCATTGTCGCCAAATGAATCAGCAAACTCTCCCCATTGTTTGACTCCTACATAACCGAATACCAAATCACGATTTGCAGATGCAGCAGCCTTCAGTAACTTGATCAAGTTTCTTGATTTCTCCTCCAGTTCATCCTCCACAATGGTCAGCACAATTTTCCTCTTATCATCCTTCAAAATCTTCAGTGTGTCGTGGTTCATCGGCACAGCAAGTGGCAGAAAATTTTGGGTAATGAATGTATCAATAAACTCCTCTGCACACATAAGCCATAGATAATTCATTCATGCAGCCACCAAGATTATAATTCCTAAGGAGACGATGGGACACATCACACAAGCAACCAGCTAGCTAAAAGGGTACAATAAGGACAATCAGAGATTCTGATAAGAGGATCTTGAGCCCTTCTTCTGGCAAAGTAATGAGTCCCACGCATTCTTAGAAAATAAAAGTTCCAACTATGTCAATGGATGTGTAATTCACTGACCTTCAAAGGGACCATAGAAGGTGTTCTGCTCATTATAAGTAGGATTAATGGACACCAAAGCAGGAGCCTTGTCGAAGTTATACTGCAACATAACATCCTCCGAGAAACCCTTCGCCACAGCAAACCAAGCTTTCTTCTTGTACTTCACAGCTAAATTTGAGATTGTAGACTCATCTAACCCAAACCCCAGATATATAGGGAAAAACGTGCCAGCCCCTTCGACAAACTCCTTAATTGCAGAGTCAGAATCAAGAGTTGCAACATTGGGGGCCACAAATTTCTTCAAATAACGAACCAGCAAATCAGCTTTCCTTGGACCGTAATAGTCCATGCCAACTCCATGGATGAAGATCTTCAGAGTTGGATACCCACTACACATAACACATCAATCAGAGTAGAGCTTTCGATAGCTGTAAAATCCAACCACATTCTCAACCTAAAAAGCAAAGGGTACATAGAGGCAGTGTGGTTCATACTCCACATCGTGTTTATCAGCGAGCCGCCTATACTTCTCGGCATCGATTTTGGCTATAACAATGGCGTCTTTCGATTCGGCCACAATCGCAGCAGCCTTGTCCAACTGCAATCGGTCATAGTTTCAAATAAACAGCACAGCAGATTCATAAACCTAACCCCCCTAATACGTGCAAAGCATCGAATTCGGAGAATCGAAAACCGCGGATTACCTCGGGAGCTAGGCGCTTGCAGTGGCCGCACCATGGAGCGTAGAAGTCGACGAAGATATGATCGAAGGTGGAGATCGCGGAATCGAAGTTGGACTCGTCCAGTACCAGCACTTTGCCGTCCTCGACCTTGAAGTCCTCGATTGGCGCCGCCGTGACCGCCGCCGCCACGATCAGCACAGAACAGATCGAGTAGCAGAAGAGGATTGGTGGTTTCATCATTCTCGCCTTCATTTTTTCTCCTCCTCCTACTACGCCGCTGCTCTCTGATGAATCGAAGGAGTATTCTAGCTTTGAAATTTAGTTGGAATCATCTGGATTTCGTAGAAGTCAGGCTTCGGGCCGCTCCTTCTCTTCGTTTATTTATGGATCCCTTTATTTTTTCTAGTCAAAACTAGAAAGTAAAAGTTACAAAGTGACCCCTAAACTTTTCAGTGGAGTGGGTGGACCTCTTTGGTTCCATTTTCTTGGTTGATCGAATCTTACTGAATCAAGTATTCAAGTATATAATTATAATCTATCTCGATTATGATTTTGAGGAATTATCTAAAAATAAAATGCTCCATAAACAAAGATCTACAAGTGGTTGATCTATTGACTAACTGAAAGCCTAATTGCTTAGAATGTACAGAAAGCACCAAACATCTCGGCTTTTTTACCATTTCTTTCACGTACAAAAATGCAGAACCATGATTGTGATCATCAACTAGTTTCTTCCCAAAATTGAACTCTGCCATTTCCACTGCTAGTCAGGAGTGCAAAAGAGAAAAGGAGCAAGCTTCCATTAAGATCGTAATCATGGTCAGCAGCAGCTCTACTCTGTTTCGGGGCGCTTCGAGTAGTGGGTTTCCTTCATCCACTCAAGGCATTCATGGGCAGTCCCAGTTGGATGAGCAAGTTGCCATGACAGTATCTTTTGTTGCTGCATTATGAAAATCAAATCCCCCAAGGAGAAGGAAACAGTTCAATTGTGGATTGCTGAATCCAAGGAGAAGAGGAGAAAACAAAGAAAGAAAGAAAGAAATGGTTAGACATACCCATTCCTTGACAAGGGGTCCTCCGGATTTAAGCTGTAGGACGCTCATGATCTCTTTCCCATTGATCAATGGCTTCATGTCCCACACATTGTCCAGACCTGTTTCGAACAGAACAGGAGGGCCGCGATTACCCCCAGCAATGAGATTAGACACGTGAAGCGTTGGGTTTGTTTGTTTTGCCTTGAACGATAAGTAACTTGAAAGGGAAGACTTAAAGCCCAAACAAACACACTTAGACAATCCAACCAACAGTTTAGAATCATTGTCCACCCTAAATCTCGAATCACTCTGATAAATTTCAGCTCCAACTTTACTCACATTTCTGAAATCACTTATTACTATACCATGAAACAAACTACCTGTCATTGCATCAATTTTATTAAGTAATAAATAATGACCCAGATGCTGGCAACTCGATTGTTTTCTATAGGTCAACCAAAACGATTCTCTCTTCACTTCTAATAAGACTTAAAGAAAAGGTTATTTTTTAGCAAAAGCTGAAGTAATCAAACCCAGCATTTTGGTTTCCGTACCTAGTTCAAGGATGGCAGCCTCGGCTGCCTTGAACAAGTCTTTCCTCTTGTCAAGCTCGGGCTTACCATTATCCTCCTTGGAAGAAGAAGCCAAGTCAGAGGGGTGTAGCATTGTAGATATCAGTAGAGCAATTCGCCATAGATCTTTGACCTCTCGTAGTACGAATCCTGCAATAAGTAATGAATAAGGAGTTGAAGAGAAGGAATTTGTGTTAAGGTTAGCAGCATGATTCGTATAGAAATGCACAGTACCTGTTGAAATTTGGAGCTTTGAATTGGTGGCCACATCAGCAAATTCCATTTCCTGATTGACTTCAGGGGGCATGGTTTCTGCCTTGGATATAAGTGAAGGAATCAATGTTGTAAGTTTATCTATTGACTGATGTACCTTCATCACCTACAACCAAAGAGATAACCGGTTAAATGGCAACTCGATGTATACTTGGATCTTAGAACTACGACGGCAACAGAGCTTTACTAACCAAGTCAGGATCACTGGCTTTCTGCTTAAGAGAGTCTCTAAAAATATAGTTGACAACCGGCATCTGCGATAAATGTCATAAATTTAAGACGAATACCACACCAAAGAAGCCAATACACTGATATACATAAAGAGAAAACAAGAGACAAGGGTGAGAGAAATGAATACCCTTTTTCCCTTAGCATCCTTATAAGTAATATTTCTGAAGGGAAGAAACAGAGATGCATATAAAGCAAGTCGCCTTTGCTGATCCTAAATTGAAAATGTCGAAAGATCCCATAAAATATTTAAGGGGAATAGATTAATGTAACTAGAAGAACTAATGTACTATGGCAAGGAATGTCGAAAGGATTACTGTGAACGAAGCGTATCCAATTGAGTGAATCAGACTCCATGCTGCTTCCAAGTAAGCTATGGACTGCCTGAAATAGAGGTGGGAATATAAATTAGAAAATACCACTTAGAGATGGTTGAACAAGGTGAAGATATGTTATGTTGATTATTTCATACGTCTGGCATCCTTCAGAGACTTCTGGTTGATAATTTGGTGGGAAACAGAAGACAACCGGATATAATGTCAAATCGGCTATGTATGACATGGCTTTGACAGGTTGATTACCAGAGATCATTAGCTCAATCTGCATACCGAATGACACAAAACAGACAGTCAAAAAGAGGGAACCATTTCATCCCCACAATCATAAAAATAGGGGAAAACATTTCATCTCCGTTGCTGAATATCATCCTAAGAATTTGAACAGGAGATAGAAACAAGGGTAACATACCTCAGTCCCAACACGCTCTTTGCTAATTTTAGCTGCAAGAGCATTTTTCACTTCCTCGCATCTAGCCGCTTCTTTGAGATCTTCATCCATCTCAAACTCAAACCTTGCACCTATTTACACAAGTTGTATTATGAAAATTCAGAACAACAACAGTAATGGGCGTGGAAACAGAATAATTAAAATAATCAGCAGTGACTATTCAAGTGTGGTAAAGCTTAGCAGTATCTATAGAGATAAAACGAAATGACGTAAAAATGCACAAGATTTCAGCATGCTAACAATCACCTCTGACCAGTATAAAGTAGTAATCCCCCAAACATTATACAAACGAAAGAGAGACTGAACACTACCAACTTACCAAACCGAATAGCCCGAAGAACACGAAGAGGATCATCCAAGAATGTCTCCTTTGGAGGTAAAGGGGTCACTATTTTTCCAGATTTTAGATCTGCAATGCCTGCAAAAAGGAACAAAAGGCTAAGTTCAAATAAGGAAACAATTGTGTAAGTTGGATTTTTCAGAAAAGTGTAGGAGCAGAAAATGGACACTGACCTCTGCCTGTAAGGTCTTCGACTGAACTATTATTGATATTATAGAACAAGCTGGTGAAGAAAGAAATGCAATTATTATATTAACACATAAATATTCCATGAGCATCCATTCAAAAAGAAAAAATAACTTCAGAGTGACTATGGAGCTAATCAATCACCTGTTAATGGTTAAATCTCTTCTATATGCATCCTCTTCAGCAGTACCAAACTTCTGTAGCCACGCAAAGATGAATCCAACATTAACACGATAGACATTCAGGCAATAAGTTCTTGTTCTTCACCTAGCACAGCAACTAACTTGCAAAAGAATCCAAACTCTACATTGGAAGAAAACATGGAAACCCAGTTGAGAGTTGAGACTAAACTATCTGATAAACACAGAGATCCTGGTACAGTTCAGTAGAATACCATTGTCGGGATGCGACTGTTCTCGTTGTAATCTTCACACCTCAAGTTAACGAAATCAATCCATTGATCAAATAGCCTCATCCTCGCAGTTTCCAAGTGTTTGGACTGGTCAGGATTCCTGCAAAAGATATGACCACAGTTAAGAACACGCCCAAGGCCAAGCAATTAAGTAACCACACACAAGATAACCATACTGTAGATGAAGAACGAAAAATGCATACCGAGCAATGACACAATCCCCTTGAGCTACTTCGTTTACTGTTTCCAAATAGTCCTTCACGCTATCAACAAATTGACTTCCGGACATATTGTCAATGGCGATATCAATGTCGTAGCACTCTTTCCCCAGCAGCTGCCCACCAAAATCATCACATTTGCTTCATCATAACAAGCGAATAAACTGGAAGCCGAGTAAACGGGAGGACGGAAACTAGGGATGGACGAACCGACCTTGTCGCGGACCCAACCGCCGGCGACGCGGAGCTCCGTGGTGAGATTAAATTTGCGGAGAGTGCCAAGGAGCCTGTCGAATATCTTCCGCTCAACCTCCGTCAGTTCAATTTCGTCTCTCACCGGAACCGCCGGAGGATCGGTGGCCATAGTTGTGCAGGTGCAGCGACGGAGAAGAAGACGAGAAGTTGTTGCGGCTCCGGTGCTTAGTGAACTCTTCGCCGCCGACCGAAGCGCTGTCTGGGAACCGACGACGGGGTTGTAGAAGAAGCCGGCGCGGGAGAAAATTGGGGAGAAGCGAAGAAGAGGGAAATGGTAGTGGAGGTTTGCAACGGAGTTCAAATTTGGTCTCATGGCTTTCCTATACCCCTGCACGCCAGGGTTTTCCTGGGAACCGGAGGCATTCCCTTTCCCGATAGTGTTTTCCTTTTTCCTACTTTTTTTTCTTTTCTTTTCTTCTTTCTTATTTTCATTGAATTCGGCGTCTGGGCTTACCCAAATCTTACGACTTTGGGCTCGGCAGAAAGCCCTATATCGGAGTAAGCTCACACTTCGAGACTCGAGGCCCGGAACATATATTGGTCATTTGTTTTACAACCTGTTATTAGGGCTGGCAATTTGGTTCAGGACTGTTTGGTTTTACCCGAAACCGGATCGGGACCGGATTGGGACCGGATAGCAAACAATCTAATCTCATATTCGGGCATAGATTTGAGGTAAAAAAAACCCGGATAAAGACCGGATAAGAGACCCCCAACACCTAAAATCAAGATAAAATTGGGACCGGACCGGATCAAGACCGGAGTGTATCCAATTCAATCTTTGGTCCTTATATTCCCGAAAAGATCGGACTGGGACCGGATCAATTTGGTCCAATTTAACCGGACCGGACCGTATAGCCACCCCTACCTGTTATGGTGATGGTTGTTTGTCATGTATGATGTATGGTTGATCGTGACTTAAACGGGCATGTTAGATTTGATGTTAGGGTTCATTCCTCGTGTTTTACCAACTCGCTACTCAAATGTTGGATTACAATATGGCTTTGTGCATACCGCTTGGGAGTACCTGCATCAACAACATTTTCAAGGCCTAGCACTTGATATCGGGGGACACAAAATCTCCAACACTCGAAGTGTCTCCGGGAACACCAAGTAGTATAGCGGGGTTCGAACTTAAAATCTCACATATTTCAGTTCCGAAAGATCACACTCCCGACCAACTAGGCTGTATTACCTCCGACGTCACTAGATGGACTATTATCGCCATGATGATAAAGAAGAGAAAGTGAAAGGCAGAGACAGCTAATACTGGTCATCCATCCACCAGGCCATGTTCTATTCATTGCCAATTTCTGCACAATAGTACCCTACCATAAAAATTTTATAGTTCATTGCTTGTTGGCTACTTCCTAAATCCCAATCCCGTCTCTTATTCTTATCCGTCCACCAAATGGGGACAATCCCCCAATGCCCCGACGATTAATTGTTGGTTAGGTCATAGGTGATATCGAAAGTGTCATTTATTTATTATACAAAAAAGTGTCATCTGTTGGAAATTACTAGATTGATTTTGGTACTATGTATTGTTATGATTTGAAGTTGAATTATCCAAGTCGTCGTTTGAAAGTAATGGGATTCCGAGTTTATACATACTAGCTTTTTACCCGGTCCGTTGGCCGGTGAGTTTCATTTTATCATTTACATTAATCAATTTATCTATATGTTTAAACTATTTTGGATCTTCTAAATTTTTTACATTTGCATTCATATGTGAGTATGCAGTGCGTCTATAAATTAAAAATTCTCAATACTAAGCACATTCACTTATGATGTTTCGATTATCTGATCATAAATCATGTCACAAAGATATACCACGTCCCATGTAGAATCTTATGTCAAGATTTGTCAACAACGATACTCAATTTTTTTTTATCTTGTACAATATATGACATTCAATGAATCTCGAGTTTGGACGAACTCTCGACCAATGATGTTGCTCAGATGACAACAACTTAGTTAGAATTTTTTTTATAAAGGTACTTCAATATTAGATAAATTTGGTCATACCAATTGAAAGTTTACTATCTTAGTGTATGATCATATTTGTCGATCAAGACACTCAATTTAATATCTTATACAATATGTACCAATTGTTAATACCTAAAGTTTAATTTTGACTCACCCTTAATTCATGGTCGTTGTTTAGATGTTGGTTTAGAATCTCGGTCCAAGATACTCACACACTGTCGAGGGTTCTAATCTTAACATGGTCCATTAGTGTATAATTTTCTAACTTATCAAATATGCATTTGCTAAAATTTATTTATCTTTGGTGTTTGTTTTGGGATAAAAATTTCATTACTTATACTAATATCTTCATTTTATTGGTGTAGTGCCACATCCCTAATCAATATCTAAGCATGATACTATACTCTAAGTAAGAAAACGCTATCAGAATCACGAATTAATCGGATTTGTGGGCATGATACTATACCCTAACCCTTGATAAGTGAACCCGATGTCTTAGTTATCTAAATCATAGAGCTTAACCCCTAAGATTGTGCAGGTAATTTGTTGCATATATTTTTTTGAATCATAACCGTTGATTTTTGTTTATAATTAAACTGATCTTAGTGTATGAGATTTATAAATTTAAGACCTAGATTTTAATCTTTAAGGCTTTGAGAATAATACCATATGTCAAACTCTAGTCAATTCAAGGGCTATATATCGTTTTCTTACTCAAGGTATGTCATAATATACATATATTTTTAAGTGTAATTAACACATTTGTTTGACCAAAATATGTAAATAAGGGGAAATATGAACAAATATAAGAGAAAAATAAGGTGTGGAAACATGCATTATAAGAGAGACGAAAAGTTTTCTTTCTTTATCGCCTTTATTTGTACAATTAGGTACTACATTATGGCTTCGTCATGTTTCTATTAAAATAAAAAAAACAACTTTTGAAGTATTTTGCTATTTAATACTTGTTTGTGTTGATAGATACAAATATTAGAAAAAGATAGTGTTTGATACCCAAAACATAAAATTATAACTTCACTATATTAAGTTCTAATAAAAATAAAAATTAATTGATCAGATTTAATCAAATACATTTTTTTAAATTACAATATATGTCACTCTCCAAATGTAAGTATACTGCTGCTACATATATATTGCAAAAAAGTTATTGAATAAAAAAAAGAAAACATTAAAAGAAGATAGAGATACCTACATAAATGATTATTAAAATAAAAGAAAAATATTAAAAGAAGATAGATATAGCTACACTAATTGATCATTAATTAACTTTTTTGTTTGTAAAAAAAAGTGTCCACCATGGCACCTTGTAAATTCTCCAAATGCTTATGTGGCAACAAACTACTTTTGAATTGCCATAATATTATGTATAGATAGATAGATAGATAGATAGATAGATAGATAGATAGATAGATAGGTATTTGTTTTTCGGCCTGGTCTAATCTTTTCCTTTCGAGTTTGAATTAGTGGTAGACCGTATAGAGAAAGTGTTGTTACATACCTTTTCAATTGCTTGTAATCTATATATTTTTATATATAGTGAATACTGTCTATTGTCATGAATTAGTATTAGTGAAACACATAAATTTGTGTGTACTATATTTTTTATATTGTTGATATCCTGTTTCGTTCTACTATTGTACTCATATGCAGGGGCAAACCTAGGGCTAGGGAAGGGGTGTTGTCTGACACCCCTCAGCCCGATTTTTTTTGTGAAGGACCTCCATTTTTTTCGGTACAAAAATTTTTAATTTGAGACTTCTCACGCCGCTCTAATAATTATAAGCGACACACCTTCATTATACGATAATAGTTTGAATGTTATAAAGTTATTCATCATAATTAGCAATTAACAATAATAAGTAAAATCAAATAAACATGCTTGTTTTAACTAACCCACTACCCAATTTGACTTGTCAATTTGTAGTTAATAGGTGAATTGCGTAGATTTATGTGAGATTGTGGTTAGATTTTGGTTAATTTTGTAGAACTAGAGAAAAAATGCTAATGATATTAATTTAGGCATACTTTGTTTTGTTTAAAATTGCCAATTGGTAGATCGTGATTTACTATATTTGACTGTAAACTAATTTATTTTAACTTTGATTTATGAATTATTATGTAGTTGTGTATATCGAAAAATGTTTGATTTGCAACATAAACGATGAATGTATTTTTTTAAAAAAATATTAGGATATGAAAAAACTTCATAGTAAAGATGACGTTGTCAACTTATAAATGAATATCTAGTAATTTCAATTAAATTTTTATTAATTATAATTTTTTATCGACGCCACCCCTATTCAATAATTTTGGATCCGCCAATGCTCATATGCATCACAGTTCGTAGGGGCGCTTCAACTACCAACTGAGAGTCTTTGGAAGCACATTTCTCAAGCGTTCTGTAAGCACCATTACCAAATTGTATCTAGACATAACAAATCTAAATTTTATTCAATCATACACAATCACCATGGTACACTCTTTTTATTTGGGGTGCTATAAGCCTATAACACAAACATTAGGTAGGAATAGTAAACACACAAGCTGCTTCCTCCATAGCAAAAGGGCTCTCAATCAGAAGGCCATAAACCAGCCCCTCCTTCACCAGCTTATCTAGAGAGGCGCCTTGATGTACGCCAAATGAGTCGAATTGTCAACCCGAATCATCGTCCCCAACTCGTAAGCAATCCAGCACCTCCTCGAAACCGTATGATAAAAATACCCTTTACACTTACAATCCTTGCCGCACTTCCCCGCACACGATTCCTTCGTCACCGGCCCGTCCCCTCTCGAATACTTCGCCGTGAAATGATCAATTCCGGCCATCTCAACATACCTGAACCCACCCTTCTTCCCTCCGCAAGCACCCAACTCCGGCGCCCGACAATCCTCCGACCAACCCAACAACCCACCACTCGCCGACGGGCACCCGACGCACTGACTGTTCCGACAAACCCCAAACTCCCCGCACCGGCCGGGGAGCTGACACTTGGTCTCCACCGCCCACCAATCGTCCTCGGAGAAAAACGTCACCGTATTCTCCCAATAATGAACCTCATACCCGGACTCCTCAAACGTGATCAGATACGTGAAAATCCTCAAATTCCCGTCGATTCCCAGCCGGAGATACGACAGCGTCGAGTTGTACCTCGGATTCTTGAACCCCCCGCCGGTGCCGTTGTACCCGTTCTTCACCTCGTAATCGAACCCTAACGTGGGATTCATCGTGATCTTCTCCAGTGTCCCCTGGCTCCGACTGAGGTCGAAGAAGGTAAAGTAAGGGTACGGCTTAGGGGTATTTTCGGTAGTGTAGTACAAAGCAATCCTACTGGGCTCGAGGACCAAACTATACGGCCCATTCTCGTTCGCCCCCTCGGAAACCCGGCTCACTAATTTGGACCCGACCCGGAGAGACTGCCCGACGAGGAGCGTGTCCGTGACGTAATCGAAGCTCTGCCACACCACCCTCCCCACGGCGTCGTACAGGACCATGTTCCCGGTCTGGAGCATCTCGAACCGGACGACGGCGTTTCGTTTGGTGCCCGACTCCCACGCGACGGTGCCGTTTTGGTGGGCGAGGACGAGGTTGCCGTCCGACCCGAACGAGAAGGTGGCGTTCTCCCCGACCGGGTTGCCCCGGTTCGCCTCCCAGACGAACCGGCGCGTGGCCTCGGAGCGCTGCATCCCCATCCGGACCGCGAGTGTGAAGGCGGTCGGGGTGGTGTTGTAGAAGAAGAGCTGGAACGGGGTTCGGGCGATCGGGAGGATGCGGTAGCTGGCGTCGTATTCGACGATGTACGGGCCGAATTCGCCGGCGTTGGTGTAGGAGAATTGGGCGGCGGCGGGGACGGTGGCTTGGGAAAGTGAGGGGAAGAGGGGGATTGTTATGAAGAAGAAGGATGAGAGGAGGAATAGTAATGGTGGTGGTGCCATTTTTTTTTTTGGGGTTTTGGAGGGAGCTTGGTGTACAGTGAATCAGTGAGAAAGTGGGGTGTTCGAATTTGTAATCAAATTCTGGTTTGATTATATAGGGTGAGTGGAAGGTGTGACAAGTTCATTATTAGTAGATAAATTATTCAGTACAGTCCAATCGTACCATAAGATATATATCACAGGCGCGGGATATTTCTGGTCAAAATGGCCTGCGCGAACATTTAACAGTTGGTGGTGGCAAGTGGGGCGGCTTCTGTGAAGCATTTGGATGTTTGGATGAGTGGTGCGGACCCAAATTTCTTTTAGAAGTGTAATCTTTTAAAATATAAATTGACAAAATACAGTTTATATTCACAACTATTAGGTTTGTGACAAATATATTCACAACTATCGAAATATACGAAATATGCAAAAATCGGAAGGTTGCGTGACAAATCTATCCACTTCTGTATAAAACTATAACGGCGTGTCAGACGGCGTTAAATTGACTAACGAAATGCTGAACTGATGCCATGTCACCTGCCACATAAGCCAAAAAGCTACCAAACTTTACACGTAGATGCCAAATAGGCTAGTTGAATAAAGGCACAATACAGTTGTATATCCACAACTATCAGGTTTGTGACAAATATATTCACCACTATCAGGTTTGTGACAAATATATCTACAACTATCGAAATACATGAAATATCCATTTCCGTTCACTTTGTTAACTCCGTCAGTTAACTTGATGACTGGACAGACGGTGGATGCTTAGTTTGGCGTGTTTCTGGCCCCACTGAATGACGTGGATTAAAAGAGAATTTTTAAAAAAAATCCTAAAAACCATAGACGACGAGACTAAAATTCCAACCTAGGAACATGCCTGATAACCACTAATCCTCCTCCGATCGACGCCTCCACCCCCGAATAACCCTACCCCTAGCCCAGATTTCGATTCCAACCACAATCCCCAACCATTGCCTCCCTTTTACTCCGACAGCTTCCATGCAGTCGGCGCCATGGTGATACCAAGCTTGAATCTCAAACAAAAAAAGTTTGAATCTAACCAAATCGCCAAAAGAGAAGACTGCAGCAGCGAGGTCTAACAGATAACGTTGTAAAGTTTGGTTGCTTTTTGGCTTATGTGGCAGGTGAAATGGCATCGATTCAGCATTCCGTTAGTCAATTTAACGTCGTCTGACACATCGTTATAGTTTCAGACGAAAGTGGATAGATTTGTCACACAACCTTCCGATTTTTGGATATTTCGTGTATATCGATAGTTGTGGATATATTTGTCACAAACCTGATAGTTGTGAATATACAACTGTATTTTGCCTAAATTTTGTTTTCTCTTTTAATCCGTGTCATTTTGTGGGGTCAGAAATACGCCAACTAAGCATCCACCGTCTGTCCAGTCATCAAGTTAACGGACGGAGTTAACGGAGTGGACGGAAATGGATATTTCGTGTATTTCGATAGTTGTGGATATATTTGTCACAAACCTGATAATCGTGGATATACAACTGTATTTTGCCATATAAATTTAATAAAAATAATTAATACAAAATTAGCAATTTTTAAATAAAAAATTATCTAAATCGTACAAGTTAGAAAAAAGTTCACAATGTGTTTTTATATTTGAAAATAATTGTAAAATATACCTTTTGTTTACACTACTCAAATAAATTGGCTCTGACTCTAACTATATCCCTACAGCGTCCTGTAGTAAGAAGAAGGGGGAAAAACCCATCAAACCTCACAACCTTTTGTGTTTCCTAATTTATATTGTGACGACCAAAAGGAAATGAAATGACAAGTGAACGGGTATGTAACTACACTCATATTTAATAAAAAAACAAACAAAACTACTGAAAGAACAAAGTAAGAAAACAAGTATTGAGAAACCTCAATGGCCAAGACACAAAACAACATAAATTTAACAATAAGAATCAAAATATCATACCGTAGAATCAAAATATCATACCGTAATTGAACCTCTAAATACCGCTATCCGAAGCCAAAATCAGGACGATATGATCAAAATGCACTAAAATACCATGTCGGCTGGCTTTTATCGGTTGAACCTCCGACCCGCTTAATACCGCCTGGGTTAAGTTGTACCGATCACCCCGTAAAAAAAAATAGACCCAAAATGACGTCGTTTTATCCAGTGAAGGGGCAAAAAAAAAAAAAAAAAAAAAGAAGAAGAGAAAAAGCATCGTCTGCCGTTAATGACCTAAACTCAGCTAGAGCAATGATTCTCCGCTGCTGCCGCCTGCCGGCCTTGTCTCTCGTCCCCTCACCGGCGGCCCGCGATTTCTGCCCTCTAAAACACTATTTGAAATTCTCGGTTGGAAGATTTTCGTCGTCGAGCTCACAAGGTCATGTCTCGGCTTCAAAGGCTGCAAAACCGTTGGTCTCGGACCCGGCGCGGTCTGTTCGCACGGTTCTCTTCGTTCCGCCGGGAGTGGAGCTGGAAGAGGTGAAGGAGGACATGGTTTTGCCCGGTTCGAACATCGTGGTCGGACCATACGCGGGTCATTCACAGATAAAGGAAGTGCAATTCGTGAAGAGCAGCCCGCGGGCGAAGGATTGCCCCAAAGACGATAAACCGGAGTTCGCCATTGTAGGGAGGTCCAATGTTGGCAAGTCTTCGCTAATCAATTCCTTGGTTCGGAAGAAAGAACTTGCTCTTACATCCAAAAAGCCAGGTAATTGCCTTCTGTTTCAGTGAACCAGAAGGTTCGAGATTTTTTTTTTTTTTATAACTTTCCTTAGGGTTTCCAGTTGTTTACTTATCAGTGGGTTGCTATGGCTTTTCTTTTGGTGCAGGGAAGACCCAATTGATAAATCATTTCTTGGTTAATAAGAGTTGGTACCTTGTGGATTTGCCTGGTTACGGGTAAGCAAAGCCGTATGGATAACTGAGTTTAGGTCATTACCTGCAAATTTTAACTTTGTGATTTCATTATGGTACATGTTAGTTCTCATTAGTAATAGTATTACCTTCACAGGCATCCATTGCTTTGCCATTTGTGTTGTTGGTTGATGGCTTATTAGAAATAGAGGTTAACTTTGCAGAGATATAGGTAGCAGCAGTTCTAGTCTCTGATTTTCAAACAATGGATTGTTGATATCAAACCAAAGGGTTCTTATCATCTTCTACATCATTGGGGGATTGAATTCCTATTCAAAATTACATATTTCCTTCATTGCTCATGGCCTACTGGTTCCTACAGTCTGCTTGCCTCTCCAGCCCGTCAGGCGTCAATGGCACAACTTATAGTATGCTTATCTCGGTTCTTGTTCTGAATCATAAGCATCAATGATTCGTTGATGGTTTTATTGTGTCAATGACTTCCCCACTGTATGTTTGCGTAATGGATTTTACATAGTATGATGTTCGTGGTCAAATGTACTGTTTGGGATTGGGACAGTAGGCAGTGGTCTTTCGCTTGATGTACTATGTTCTTCCTACAAAGTGTAAATAAACCATTTCGTGATCTCATAATGCAAACTGCCTGCACGTGTTTTGAACCGAAAACTTCCGTCATGGTTAATGCAGTGAAGCTTGTTCTGTCCTAGCTAGAGTAATGCTGCTTTAAGTTCTGATAAATCCTCCCCATTTTGGTCTCAGATTTGCTAAAGCTCCAGATGCAGCTATAATGGATTGGTCTGCCTTCACAAAGGGCTACTTTCTGAACAGAGAAACACTTGTTGCAGTTCTACTCCTCATTGATGCAAGTGTTCCACCTCAAAAGATTGATCTAGACTGTGCAAACTGGCTCGGTCGCAACAATGTATGCTTTTCTTCTTCTATCTACAAACAATTCCCATTTTGATCATGTACTTAAACTCATTTGACATTGCTACATTCCTTCTTTGTTTGTGCTGCAGATACCATTAACGTTCGTGTTCACCAAGTGCGACAAGGTAAAAGGTGGGAAAGGAACTAGGCCAGATGAGAACGTAAGGAATTTCCAAGAGTTGATCGATAAAAACTATCGGCAACAACCGCCGTGGATCATGACGAGTAGTGTCACAGGGTTTGGAAGGGATGAGCTTCTCTTGCACATGTCACAGCTTAGGAACTTCTGGGATCAGTAACTGGTGCTAAGTTTAAAAAAGAGAACTGATGCGACCTGTATTGTATTCATACTTTCCACTGACTTGTTAAGATATTTTTTTGACAAGTAACTTGTTCAAATATGGTGCGAATGCCAGTTGCCATCTCTATCGGAAAACAACTCTCCACAAGGGAATCATTATCATCCCACTGGTTCGTGGCTTCATCAATTAATACCCTTACCGTCGTCGCGTAAAGGTATATAGGTTTGTGTATAGGCATTGGCCAATCGATCAATCAATAATAAGAAAACACAAACCGGAGAGGTTACCTCTCTCGTGGACTAGTCCCGTACTTATGGGGATACCACGTACATAGATAGTATCTTTACGCTTCCGCACTAAATCTCGTTTTTCTCATACATTGTGTTACAAAAATTTAACGTGCCTATAAATTTTCATTATAACATTTTAGTACCTAATTTTTGTAATTTTCATATTAGTCAATGTTTGTCCATCATTTGGATTAGTGATCCAATCCAGTTGTCACCTATATTTCCAGTTTCCTACTCGCTCACTACCCTGTGTTACTGAATTTGTTAACCCGGTCGAATGAACTCCGAAAAGGTTAACTTTATTCCACTTTTGGCCCAAAATCAAAAGGTTAAAAAAAAAAAACGAAAGCAACCGAGAAAATTTCAATGCAAAAGGGTCTTAATAGAGCAATTGAATTAGCTCCAACCTAGGATCAGGATTCAGCTGTTGCGTCCAACAAAAAAAATCAACTTTGCTTAGAAAGGTATTGTCGAATGTCGATGATGCTAGAAGAGTTGGGTTACCAATCAAGGCCACAATTGATTTATTTGCAATAGAAAATGGAAGATGGTTTCTAAAAAAAAAAGAAAAAGAGGTTGCCAAAACAAAGAGTTTCTAGACTCGGACAACCACAATTATATTTATGAGATTATGGGATTGCTTATGGAAAGCACAAGCAGATGATCCATCATAGTTTTATGATGTACAGTTTGATGAGGATGATCTTATATTGAATATGTTTTGGATAAACATTCAGTCAATAGTTTACTATAAACACTTTGGAGATGTTGTATGTTTTGATACAAGCTATAGAAATAACAAGTATGATCAACCTTAGCATCATTCCAAATTTAGTTTCAGAAATTATCAAAAGGGTTTTAAGCTAGATTGTCGACAAGCAACTAGTTCCTCCGTTTCTTCATGCCTGACCTAGATATTGTGAGAGAATTGGGATTTTGTGATTGTGGTAAAAACCAACTTGATTCTCATTGATGATTCTCTACAACTAATATACAGAAGAGATGAGGGAAAAGTGGTGCACGTATTAACAGAATGGCAGCCACTTCCCACAAGAATAGGAACAGAAAATATACAGGAAAAAGAATAAAGAAATTAATAACAGATGTGGGATCATGTATCTCTAATACGCCCCCGCAAGATGGAGGAGGTATCAACGACTCCAATCTTGTCTCGTAGAAGAAGAAAGCGTGTGGACGGTAAGGGCTTGGTGAGAGCATCGGCAAGCTGGTGAGACGTGGGAATGTAGGAGACATGCAGACGACCAGCCTGAACGAGTTGCCTAACAAAGTGATAGTCGAGAGCTAGGTGCTTCATGCGAGAGTGAAAAACGGGATTAGAGCTGAAGTAGGTAGCACCAAGATTGTCGGAGTAGATCGTAGGGGCCACGGCCAAAGGATGATGAAGTTCCTGAAGAAGATTCTGCACCCACTCCAATTCGGCAGTGGCATTGGCAATGGCACGATATTCGGCCTCTGTGCTGGAGCGGGCAACAGTACGTTGCTTCTGGGAGCGCCAGGAGATGAGAGTAGAGCCGAGATAAACTAGATAACCGGAGGTGGAAGACCGGTCATCGAGATTACCGGCCCAGTCAGCATCAGCAAAAGCAGAGAGAGACAGAGAGCCAGGACAGCGACGGATAGAGAGGCCATAGGAGAGAGTGCCTGAGACGTAGCGAAGCAACCGCTTAACGCACTGCCAATGAGACACCGTCGGAGCATGCATAAATTGAGAGAGCTTATTGACCGAATACGCAATATCAAGACGCGTGTAAACAAGATACTGGAGAGCACCCAGAACCTGGCGAAACCGGGTGGCATCAGTAGGAGCACTGCCATCAGAGAGAGTAAGCGAAGCAGAGGCAGCAAGAGGCGTGTCAACGGGCTTGGCATCCATCATAAGAAAACGATTAAGCAGATCAACCATGTACTTATGCTGAGAGAGAATATATCCTGTGGAAGTAGGAATAACTTCAATGCCCATAAAGTAACCGACATCCCCAAGAGCCTTGAGAGAGAACCGGGCAGAGAGAGCCTGCTGAAAAGAGGCGAGTGTGGCAGAGTCATTGCCGGTGAGCAACAAATCGTCGACATAGACCAAAAAATATAGCAGAACCTCCCCACGAGAATACACAAACAAGGAAGCATCAGAATGCGTCTTCGTGAAGCCAAAATCAATCAGAAATGTGCTCAAAGCAGTAAACCACGCTCGGGGGGCTTGTCGAAGCCCATAAATAGCACGACGAAGACGACAAACATGATGAGGACGGGAGGAGTCAACAAAGCCCGGAGGTTGCTCCATATAAACTTCTTCTTCTAAAGGACCCTGAAGAAAAGCATTGTTAACGTCAAATTGAGCAATGGGCCAAGACTGAGAGAGGGCCAGAGTGAAGACGGTACGAACAGTGACCGGTTTGACAACCGGACTGAAGGTGTCTGCAAAATCAAGCCCAGGGCGCTGATGATAACCCTTAGCTACCAAGCGTGTCTTAAACCGAGAGATAGAGCCATTAGGATGATGCTTGACACGGTAAACCCACCGATTCCCAAGGACGTGATAATGAGGAAGACGAGGGACCAAGTCCCATGTATGGTTGGCCAATAATGCGGAGTGCTCGGTGCGGAGAGCAGCATCCCACTCCGGGAATTGGAGAGCCTCATGAATGGATTTGGGCTCAAGTGGAGACGGGCCGTGAGACATCATAGTGTGAAACAGGCGCTTCTTTGGGCAAAAAATTCCATGCTGGGCGCGGGTGGTCATCTGATGAGAGCGGGCCGGAGGCGGAGGCGGGCCGGAGGGGCGGGAGGGCCCAGCAGGCGGTGTAACAGGCACGGATTGAGGGGGCAGGGGCCCGGGAGCTGAGGAAGCATGCTGAATGGGCCCAGTCGTGGAATCAGGCCCAGTCGTGGAAGATCCACGCGCGGGTGAGACTGCTGGGGAGGAAACGGTCACAGGTGATGAAGACGAAGCAGGCCCAGGAAGTGCAGCGGGCCCAGCCGGTGACAAAGTGGAGCAGGCTGGAAGAGTATAAATGGTAGGGGAGAGGTCAAAAAGCCACGAGTCAACCCAATGAGATTCAGCAGGAGTGGTGTCAAAGCCTGGAAATTGCGACTCAACAAAAACAACATGTCGTGAAATAAAAATGCGACGTGTGTTAGGATCAAAACATCTATAGGCACTACGTTGAGGACAATAACCAATGAAGAGACATGGACGTGAGCAGGGATCAAGCTTATGAGAGGAATATGGGCGAAGCCAAGGATAGCACAAACAACCAAAAATACGAAGTTTATGGAAGTTTGGAGGAAGATTGAAAAGAAGTGTATAAGGAATTTTACCACGCAGGGCGGAAGACGGAAGCCGGTTGATAAGATAGACTGCAGTGGAAAAGGCAAAAGACCAAAAAGAAATGGGAAGTTTAGCATGATGAAGAAGAGTGATACCAGTTTCGACCAGATGACGATGTTTTCGTTCAGCAATCCCGTTATGTTCAGGAGTATGGGGTGGAGTGAGAAGATGGATAATTCCATGATTAAGTAGATCAGAACGCAATTTTATGAATTCACCGCCACCATCTGTATAGAGATGACGAATGGTGGTGGAGAAATAGTTTTCAACCATCTTTCTAAAATCAAGAAAGGTTTGGAGAACATCAGATTTGTTGCGTAAAGGATAATACCAAGTGTACCGAGTGAAATGATCAACAATAATCAAGTAATAATGAAACCCATCAATTGAAGAAACTGGAGCAGGACCCCAAACATCCGTGTACAAAAGATCAAAAGGACGAGTGCTAACCAAAGTGGAAACTGAGAAAGGCAATTTATGGCTTTTATTGGAAAGACAAGCATCACATGGAAAACTAGCAAGTGACGATGACACAGGAAGAGAATATGACCGAACTAAATTGGTGAGAGAATGATGTGAAGGGTGACCAAGACGAGCGTGCCACGAAGTAGCGGAGGTTCGAGTTGTGACCAAGGCCATGCTGACATGCTCCACTTCCCGAGGCAGTTCATAGACATCACCGTTGTTTTCCCCCTTCAGCAGAGGCGCCCCCGTGCGAAGATCCTTCACAAGAAAATGAGTGGCAAAAAATTCCACCGAGACAGGGTTAGTTTGACAGAGTTTGGCAACAGAAATCAAATGTTTCTTGATACTTGGAACACACAAAATATCACGTAAATGAAACTGAGTGGAGCCAAAAGTGACTGAAGAAGAACCGATATGACTGATTGCCAAACCTGAACCATCACCAACAAGGATCTCGTCGGGCCCTGTATAATCAGAATAGAGAGAAAGCTGCCCCAAATCAGAAGTTACATGGTGTGAAGCGGCGGTATCCATAAGCCAAGGCCCAGTAGCAGAAGAGGAGCCCATATGAGTGTGATTGACCTGCTGGCCCGCCCGAGCCTGCTGAAAAGCTTGGCGGGCTTGTGGGAACAGCTTAAAGCACTGGCGGACAGAATGTCCGGGCTTTTCACAATATTGACAAATGAGGCTAGACTTGCGTTGGCGACTGGGCTCAAGTAAAACAGATGGGCCTGTGCCCTGATGGTGAGCCCGCGACTGAATGGGCTCAATATTGAACCCCAGCTGCTGGCGGGAGGCAGCGGGCTCATGATGGAGGCCCAGCTGCTGTGAACGTTGCTGAGGGCGAGAAAAATTAGGGTTGCCCCCTCCGCCAGTAAATCCGCCGCCGCCACTTGAAGATCGACGCGCCGGCGCTTGGGAATAAAAGGCTGTGGGCACCGTGGAAGACCTGGCCTGCTCGCGCAAATCCGCCTCATACTCAATGAGGCTATCCAGCAAATCCTCAATGGACACCGTTGTGCCGCGAGCTCGTACTGCGGCCGAGAAGTGATTGTAATCGGGGCCAAGTCCCCGAAGGCAGTGCACGACCAGATCAATATCAGAGACTGGTGCGCCGACTAGAGCGAGTTCTGCAGCGGTCTGCTTCAAATCATTCACATATTCGAGAACATCGCGATTCCCCCTTGTAGTTCGAGCAATCTTCCCTTTAAGATTGATGATTCGTGACCCAGAGCGGCCAGCATATAATTTCTCAAGGATGAGCCAAGCCTCCCGAGAAGTGACAGCAGCAGAGACAAAGGAATAGAGTGATTCCGAGATCGAACAGCGAAGCGCGTGCAAGATCAACTTATCTTGCCGAAACCAGAGGTGATACGCAGGATTGGGGCTGCTGCCATTGTCGACAGTGATGGTGCGTGCAGGCGCGACTCCGGTTCCGTCAATGAAACGAATAAGATCGAGACCCATAAGAAGGGTCTCCAATTGAGATCGCCAAGAGTTGAAGTTTGTGGAAGTCAATTTCACAGGTAGTTGAGCAGCCGGATTGAAAGTGATGATGGATCCTTCGGCTGGAGCTGAGTTATCAGAAGCACTGGTACCCGACATGATAAAGACTCAAAAACAGAGTAAGAGAGAGGCAGGGGCAGTGAGCCAGAGTTATTGAAGACGAAGAAGAAGAAAAAACGAAGCAATCAGGATTGGATCGACAAGATGAACTTTTCTTGCTCTGATACCATGTGAGAGAATTGGGATTTTGTGATTGTGGTAAAAACCAACTTGATTCTCATTGATGATTCTCTACAACTAATATACAGAAGAGATGAGGGAAAAGTGGTGCCCGTATTAACAGAATGGCAGCCACTTCCCACAAGAATAGGAACAGAAAATATACAGGAAAAAGAATAAAGAAATTAATAACAGATGTGGGATCATGTATCTCTAATAGATATTGTCGACAAACAACAAGACATTGAACTTGACCAGTTGACTCTTCTCCCACCTCAAAACCGAGAAGGCATTACCATCATAGGGTTTTAAGCTTTAGCATTCATTGTTATCTCCTAATACCGCGGTTGCGTATTAGTTCATATAATGCGGCTGCTGTGCTGTGTGCTTCCCACATTACCAAACCAAACTGGACCGCTTTAAGGGTTAAAAGTTGAAACCTCTTCCTCTCTTCAGCCGCCATTAAAGGCAGATATGTATATGTATACAGTGGGAGGGCACAAACTTGAAAAGCGGTAATCCTATATAGCCTTTGCCAACTTGCGCCAAACAACACTATCCAATTGATGTCGTCGTTGAACATGGACTTTCCACGATTGCAAATCTTAGACTAGAGAAGAACCTTCCTTGATCATTGCTCCACCACCTATATATATAGATCGAGAACCCATTGCCACTCTCATTCCAATTCAAAACAAGCAACTACAACAACACCAGCATCAGCATCAGAAATGTTTACCCATCTGAAAATGTCGACAGCCTTTGTCCTCTGCATCTACTTGTTGTCCCTGATCTCCATCTTCCCTTCCACTTCCCAAGCCACCGTCCCTCCCTCCGCCCGGTTCTCCCACGTCAACGGCGACAACGAATTCGGCGACTACGTAGTCGAGTACGACGCGAACTACCGCTTCCTGCCCATCGGCACCACTCCATTCCAGCTCTGCTTCTACAACACCACTCCAGGGCAGTACACCCTGGCCCTGCGAATGGGCACCGTGAGGTCGGAGTCATTGATGCGATGGGTGTGGGAGGCCAATCGCGGCAACCCAGTTGGAGAAAACGCCACCTTCTCCCTCGGCGCAAACGGAAACCTCGTCCTGGCACATTCCGACGGCCGAATCGCCTGGCAATCCAACACTGCCAACAAGGGGGTAACTGGGTTCGAGCTCCTCAACAATGGCAACATCGTGCTCAAGGACTCCAACGGCGGATTCGTCTGGCAGAGCTTCGATTCGCCCACCGACACCCTCTTGGTGGGCCAGTCCCTCCGACTCGGAGCAGCCACGAAGCTGACCAGCCGAGCGTCGGCGGTGGAGAACAAGAACGGGGCGTACAGTCTGGTGATGGAACAAAAGGATGTGGCAATGTATTTCACTGGGGCAAATAGTCGAACACCTTACCGGTACTTCTCATTCGCCGCCGTGCAGCGCTTCTTCGTCCCGGACAGGAGCACTTTACTCAACGTCACTCTGTCCCCGACCCTGGGCCTCGACGCTGGAGTCACCGACACCACCGCCGGCGGCGGCGGCACGTTCTTCAAAAACCCGCGATTCAACACCACTCTGTCGTACCTCCGCCTGGAGACCGACGGCAATCTGAGGATCCACACATTCATAATCGCCACCGATGCCGAAGGTTCCGAATTCCAGCGGTGGGAGATCGCCGTGACCGTGTTCTCCGAGGAGGACGTGTGGGCTCTGGAGACGAAATGCCAACTGCCCGGCCGGTGCGGGGATCTGGGTGTCTGCGAGAACAGTCAGTGCGTCGGGTGCCCGACTCCGACCGGGCAGCTGGCGGGGTGGAGCTCCGATTGCAAGGCGCCGAAGCTGAACGGCTGCGGCGGGAAGGTAAAATATGTCGAGATGAAGGGGATCGATCATTTTGTGGTGAAGTATACCAGAGGAAATGGGCCGGTGAAGCAGCAGTCGTGCGCCGACAAGTGTACCAAGGATTGCAAGTGTATGGGATACTTCTACCACACGGATTCGTCCCGGTGCTGGATTGCGGAGGAGCTGAAGACGATGACCAGAGTCGGCAACTCGACTCATTTGGCTTATATCAAGACGCCGGCGTAGTAAAAAAATTGATCTATTTTTACCCTCTTGGTTTTTACCTTTGTTTTGATGATCTTATTGCTTGTGTGCCGGAATTGGAATAAAGTTAACCTGGTGAGGGGTTAATCGGTTGGGTTGGGTTGGGTTGGGTTGGTGAGCTTATAACCAAATAAAAGTATATATATTTGTATTTGTACACTTATATTTTATCTCATAAAATAAATAATACTTCGTCAAAGTTTTTTTTTTATCGATAGAGCGGATAGTATTAATATCGAATAGGCGCAAAACAAAACAAAATGATAACATCGAATCTTATAGTCTAACTCACAATCGATCCCCAGTGGTTTCACTTTCTAACCTGCATCTGAGAGAAACATCATGAACTTCTGCAGAATTTTTCGTTCGATTTCATTTCAGACCACCAGTCTTATTATATTCCAGTACTGGTCTGATTAGTGGCTAATTTTGAAGTTTGATGTATTAAACTATTCTGTTATGGGTCTTTAACCAAAACCAGAAAGTTGTTCCCGGGTGACTCAGACTACAAGCAAGTTGCATTGAAGCTCAGCCACTACCTCAGCAGGATCACTAGTTTATTGTGTAGACTCCTCCCAGCTTTACTACAAATTGAACTAACAACAGTTCTAGGATTACTGGCTGGTGTTAACTTATCATGACTAGGTTAGCATTAAGCAAGAAGCTCAAAACCATGGCAGCAGAGCAGGTGTCAATGCCTAAACAACCCGGCCAGAAGTACTCATCAGAAATCCATAGCCGAAACAGAGGTTATTATCGATGCCACAAAGGACTTGCAGAGTACAACTAACTTCCGCATTAAATCATCAAGATATACTTTCATAACAGATTTAACACTGTGTAAGGGAACAAGATAGTTGCAGACCCTTAACATCTACATGATGCAACAAGTCATGCAGGAGGAAAGGAAGCCATTATAGATATGGACTATGGTAAATCTTAAGAACAGTCTGTATCAGAAGCTGCAGAGAAAGAAAGACTGATCCCCAGCGAAGAATAGAAAGGAAGAAACTCTCTTCAGGGTTTCAGAAAAGATTGCACCATCAAGTCCTTGACACGAAGAGGGAAATAGTAAGCGATGCCGAGGATGGTCGAGAACTTGCCCGAGGAGAACCATGCAGGAGGGTGCTTTTTCAGGATGGCAGCAACGGTTTGCTTTGCAAATTCTTCGGTTGGGGTGCCCACTCTGCCTTGGGTGAGAAACCGGCTCATCGCTGGCTCAAATTGCTTGTATAGTTTCCACTCTGAAATATAACGAACCTCAGCTGAGGGCATTATGTTTGACTGGATGGCTCCTGGAACCACATTTATCACATCAATCCCCAGTGGCTTCACCTCCAACCTGCGTCCGAGCAAAAAGTCATAAACTTCTGCAGACAATTTCCTTCCAATACAAAGTGACAATGAAAAGTAAATGGATTGGAAAGGATGAAAGGATATAGATACTACCTCAAGGTATCGGTCAATGCATGAAGAGCAGCTTTAGATGCAGCATATGCACCAGTCCAAGGGAAAGCCGTCAGGACTATGACACTTCCTACGTTAACGATCTTTCCCTTTCTTCGCGACGCCATGTGTGGAACAACAGCTTGAATCATCCTCATGGGACCTACAATACCATATACATCTCATTTCACAAAATGAAATGATTGTACCAAGCCAACGTCCTGACTTCTTCCCATGAAAGTAGCAAAAGAAGACAGTGCCATGCTTCTATGCTTCCAGTAGACATGACGAGGTTGGGTCTCGCCGTATAAATAGGTCTACTTTTCAAACTCTAAGTTTCCAGAGTTTCAGAGCTACCATTGAATGATACACTTGTTTCCGTAGCACAAACCATTTCCAACAGTATGCAATGGCAAAAACATACAGAAGCAAACCCACTTGTTCAAAGAGAAGCATATCAAATCAGAAGAAGGGAAACCTAATCAACCAAACCAGGCTCGTTCAACCATGTCAAATTGTCCATTAGCAAGTCTACCATCGAAAAGGGCATTCTCCAATTGATAACAAGAACCCTCAAATTTGATTCAAAATCATCTTAGCAAGCACAGCAAAAATCAAAGGCTAGAAACAAAGGGATAGACTTTAGACCTTACCATAAACATTGGTATTGATAGTGTTCTCCAGGGCAGACAGAGGGACCTCAGCAACAGGGCCGACGCACTGAACCCCGGCGTTGTTCACCAGAACATCCACTCTCCCATACTTCTCGATGACGTTCGCCACCGCCCGCTTCACGCTCTCCTCGGAGGACACATCGAGCTCCTGGAGATAGAACCTCTCGTCCTGCTCCAAGTCCTGCATCGAGCTCAAGGACCTGCTCGTGGCCACGACCAGGCAGTTTTTCGCGGCGAACTCTTTCGCCAGGGCGTGGCCGATGCCTCCCTGCGAGCAGCCGGTGATCAGAACCACTTCTAGGCCGACGGCGTCCATCTTAGGGTTTCAGGCGTGCTATCGGCGAGAATTGCTGGGAATTGGGAAGTTGATGAAGCGTTTTTGTACTGAGAGGAGCGGGAGCGGAAAGTGGGACTTCTCCGCTGACAACGATGGGCGGCAATGGCGCCATTACCTTGGCCGGCAACGGAGCTTTTTGGCTTCTGCGATTTCGACGGTTTCTTTGGAGTCCGGCAGAAAGAGCGACGTTTGCTCAGGGAAACTACAGCGGGAATTACAAAGTTCACCGTTCATCCATTTTAACAATATTTTATCTAAGGAAAAGCCACGTGTTTTTATCTATCTCTGAAGGGTCAATTACATAACGGTCACTTATATTTAGAGTCACTACAAAAGAGTATATACTAACATTTAAATTTTAATATACAGGTCATTCTGAATTTACTAGCATACCTTTTAGAATAAAAGGGAATTCATAAAAAAAAATTATAAGATGAAGTTTTATAGTTTTTTTGAGGAATCTCTTTGAAATGAAAATTTTATACGTGGAATTTAACCGAATTCATTTCTCACTCTAAATTTTAAACCCTACAGGATTGATGCTAGTTACAGCATTTTTAAAAAAGTCAGATAGAATTCCAAATGAATTTCGTTAATATTTCACTAATCTGGTAGTTCATGGGTTTGGAGGCATATTTTGAATTTTACCTAGTAATTTATTTTGAAATGAAATTAATTCTTTTAACCGGTATATCCATATATTTTGCATAAAAAATAGTCACACCGCCGTCTTATATCACCTGCATTTAATAGGCAAATGCCACCTAAATTTAATACGAAAATGCCACGTTACCTAACCAATCCCAAACCAAACGACCCGACCCGTTTTGTAAGTAATCATAGTTGAGTGAGGATTGTGCTATGGTAAATTATATTCAAATTGAAAGGACTTTGCATCATTTGGAAATCACCATTTTCAAAGTTCATAAACACTGAACATACACTTGCTAAGAAAGAACATCAACATTTGTTCTATTATTCTTAATCCCTCTTTTCCCATGTCGTGCAAAACAAGTAACTTCTGGCTTCCCTGGCCATTGAACAGAACTGAGAATGGGAGGGGGGAAAAACTCTAATTGTTCTGCTACAACAATTACATATGTGGTAAACTTGAACATCTGTAACAAGAAGCTGCACAGCAAGACCGATCCTTCCCCAGCGAACGATATGAAGGTAAAGAAACTCTTTTTCAGGGTTTGACAAAAGATTGCACGAACAGATCCTTGACGCGAAGTGGCAAATGGTACGCGATGGCGATGATGGTCGAGAACTTGCCTGAAGAGAACCACGCAGGGGGTTGCTTCTTGAGGATGGCAGCAACAGTATGCTTGGCAAATTTTTCAGCAGGGGTGCCTACTCTGCCTTGGGAGAGAAAGCGTCGAATTGCTGGCTCGAATGGCTTGTACAGTTTCTGCTCAGAAGCATAACTAACCTCAGCTGAGGGCAATATGTTCGACTGAATAGATCCCGGAGCCACATTTATCACATCGATCCCCAGTGGCTTCACTTCCAACCTGCATCCAAGCAAGAAAAAATCATCGATTCTCGGACTTTCATTTCAACTGGAAATGCCAGCAATGCTGCTACTTGATTGATATATACACTAACCTCAATGCATCAGTTAAAGCATGGAGGGCGGCTTTAGATGCAGCGTATACCCCGGTCCAAGGGAAAGATATCAGCACTATGGTACTTCCTACGTTTACGATCTTACCCTTTCTGCGAGACGCCATGTGTGGAACCACAGCTTGAATCATCCTCATGGGACCTACAATACCACCAGACAGTCAGACACCAGTTCAGTTGATAAACTGTGCCAAAATGTAAAGAGAATGGCCGAATGAGCCACTATAGTGAGTAAGTTCTTCCATGGGAAGTAGCAACTGAGGACAGAACATGAAAGTTTATAGTCAAAGCAGTATTGGCGCTTGGGACGATAATAAGCAGCTGGTAGAGTGCACTGCAAACTTATCCATCCTTTCATGGTTGCTACTTGCTAGTTCCTCGCCATAGCCATCGATCGACCTTTCGTACAAACTCCACACAGACCTCAAGCAATTAGCAAGTTACACATCAATTCATCCTTAAAAACAACACTTAATTGGCCTCTTAGTTCTGCAGAAAGTGGAAAGCCAATAGTATTTTCCAAAAACAAGAGCAACCCAACTTTCAGCTATTTTGGACAATCTATCAACCAACCAACCAAAGCTCGTTCAACCATGTCAAACTATCCACTAGCAAGTCTACCATCAAAAAGGGACATTCACCAATTGACTAAAGGAACTCTGCAATTGAAGCAAGCACATCAAAAATCCAAGACTGGAAACAAAGGTTCAAACTTTAGAAATTTTTACCATAAACATTGGTATTGATGGTGTTCTCCATGGCAGACAGAGGGACTTCAGCAATAGGGCCGACGCACTGGACGCCGGCGTTGTTGACCAGAACATCCACTCTCCCGTACTTCTCGACGACGTTCGCCACCACCCGCTGCACGCTCTCCTCGGAGGAAACGTCGAGCTCCTGGAGATCGAATCTGGCGTCCTGCTGCAAGTCTCGCATCGAGCTCAACGACCTGCTCGTGGCGACGACCAGGCATTTTTTGGCGGCGAACTGTTTGGCCAGGGCGTGGCCGATGCCTCCCTGCGAGCATCCGGTGATCAGAACTACTTCTAGCCCGAAGGAGTCCATTTTAGGGTTTCAGCGTGATGTCGGTGAGAAGTTTCTCTTCAGACGAGGAATTTGCTGCGAAATTGGGAAGATTGGTGAAGGGATTTTGTACTGAGGAGTGGAAATGGGAAGCCGGGGACTCTCCGCTGGTGGGAATTGCCGTCATTTTCCCCCTGCCGGTAAAAGAGTATATTTGGCTTCTGTGATTCCGATGGCTTTGCTCGGAGTCCGGCAGAAATTAAGGCGGGAATTACAAAGAATTTCTTTGATTCTAAAAATACAAAGAATTTCACAGAGATGACGATCGCTGTGACTTTTGACGAACACCTGATTTCGCTACTTCATCTGTGGAAAATGCAGGCTGGAACTGAAGCCGCTGGGAATCGGACGTAGTTCCAGGAGGCATCAGGTCGAACATCAGGAACTCCGCGGCAGCTAACTACGACAAGATGCCCGAGTGGAAACTGTACAAACCATTCGAGGCTGCAATCAGGAAGAGGGCATACTTCTCCCAAAGCCTCGGATCCACCCCTGTAGAAGAATTCGCGAAAGATCACAGTAGCTGCTGCCATACTCCGAAAGGATCCGCCAGCATGGTTCTCGTCGGGCTGGTATGGCCATCTTGCATCATCTCCCGCTTCGTATCAGAGATGTCATCATCAACCGAGTTTCACCTGTTGAATAGCAGCACTACCCTGATATTGGTTCCTCTCCACTGTGCAATCGGATTCACTTCCCTGTTTGTTTTGACTCGTGTAGTAATCCTTATCTTCACGCTTGAGAATCTAATTTGCCACAAAACTTCTCTTCATGCTTGAGAATCAAGCTTTACCTATTTTAATCCAAACGATAAATCCACCAACACATTTTAAACCAACCACGAACCCAACCTATTTGTTACAGACCATTGAACTCGCCAGCTCGATTCATTTTCCACCTCCACTTTGAATCACTACCACTTCCCTACTACTGGTAGCTATGTAAAAAGAAATGTTGATCAATCGTCGTCAGATGTTCTAATGTCAGCAGCACTAACTCGCTACCAAGAAATTTCTCAGTTACAAAAGACAACAGGGCCGCAAGATAAATTATACAATCAACACACCTAAAACCAACTGACCTTATTATCATCACTGAGAATGGGATGATGGATGATGCCCATAATACACCATTCCAGGGGGCTGCAAGGGTCTAAACCCAGGAGGACCACCAGCAGCTTGCTGCTGAGTTAAGGTCATTTGCTGCTGTTGGGTTATTGGAACTTGCGATGGTGGTTGCTGAGCCATAGGCGCCATGGGATTAATCATATAGGGAGGAGGTGGAGGCGGTGGTCCTGATGGCAAGGAACTAATGCTACCATATCCGTAGGGAGTAACAATCCCGCCAGGAGGCTGCAAGTACTGCTGAGAGGAAGGATTCGGCAGCATGTGAAACTGAGGCTGAGAGCTCGGTATCTGATTCTGCATAGTATGGTATGGATGGTTCGAAGGTGCAGCAGAAAGGGGTTGATGTGCTGACATGAACATGGCGGGGTCTGGCACCGAATCATTAGCAGAAGAGCTAACGGGCGTTGATTTCAAGCCACCAGTCTTTGCTGCTTCCGCCGCAAATGAAGACAGAACAGAATGCATGATCATTTGAGAGGAGCTTGAGGCTGCTAGCTTATCAGCAACCTCGGCAGCAATAGCTGCTGCGGTTTTCTTTTGCGTGTGTCCTGCTTTGCCATTTGCATCTGCTTCTATATGTGTTGCAGTAGTGGCTTTGGGCACATAGTCTTCATCGTTGAGCCGCTTTATCATGATGTTGACCTCCTCCACCTGTGCCTGAGCTACCTGGAGATGAACAACCAGAAGCAACTCATTTCTCAACAAATAACCCTCAGTTGTCCAAACAAAACAAGTAGCACCATGTTGAACAGAAAAAACACGGTGATAAAGGGTGTATTTCTTGAAGAAGTGTCTTTGTTTCAGCATTTAAGCCCACATATTCTCGAGTAGCTTCTCTTTAAGCAGAAACAAACACGCCCAAAGAACCAATTTTTCAAATGGGCCACTGGCTACATACCTGCATCTGAGTTCGCACAACCTCCAACTGAGATTCCTGAACAAACAAGATGAGAAAAGCAAAATCTGAGCATCTTGATGGCACAATCTTTTTTAACCATGCACACAGAAAGTTAATAGATCCATTACAGATAAGTAAGTCATATTAAAGAGTTCTCCCAACCTGGTCATTTAGAGCTTCCCTCAACTGAGAGACAAGGGAAGCTCTACTAGCTTCAACGGATTTAAGTTTCTGAACACATTGCTTCAGAAGGGTTTCTTCCTGCTCTAGATCTTTCGCCAAACTTGTACGTTTGGGATCTTTTCCTGAAGAGCCAAAAGTTGTTATGCTTCAGAGACTCCCAATCTGAACATCAAGGAGCTCTGGAAGCCCTTGAATAAAAGTACGGCGAAATAATTAACTATATAACCATAGATCTCAATTTTCCCACAGTAATTAATTCGAGCATTTGGGCTTACCGTTGCTACAGGAAATATCAACTTCTTTCTCCATCTTTCTGACTCGACTGACCACAGATTTGCAGTTACTCATCTCTGCCTCTTCGTTGGAACGCTCACTGTCGACCGAATGGAAAGCTGATACAATTTTCTCGGCAGCGCCACCAATGGGCAATTTCTGGCATTCAATGGTGATGATACAAAAATAAATGACATTTGTTTCGGAGAACTTATAAGAACAAAAGGACAAGATAAGAAAGCTATTAAATGGTTGAGCTAGTTGAAGGGCAACGAAAATAAAAAAATTTAAAACTTTTCCTAACCGTTTTAATAGATCTGGAATCTCGTTTGAAAATCTTGACTGTGCGTGAACGCTTTTTGCTGAACTCCAAGTCTGGTAGAGTCTCCTCACCAAGCATGATTTCTTTTAGGCTTCGGGAGTGTGTTCCAAACACTCTCCTTTCTTCCCATATATTAACCTGGCCACCATCGAACTTAAGTTGTCAGGCAAACCAGCTCATTCTACTTTCTATTTAGTAGTTCAAACTTCGTCGAAAGTTGAATTGTCCATAAACATGTCCTTTCACCTTCTGTTGATGCGCTTTCCTTCTCTTCCATTTTTTAGGTCTTTGTCCAATATAACTCATTAGCTAGTATGAAAAAAAATTATCCTAGCTACACAGCATTCAGATTCATGAAACTAGCAACCTACAACTTAAGGGTCAAATGGTGATGTTTCTTTTCCCATTGTATCCAAACTGTCAACCATGCAGGAAGCAGAAATCAGCATGTAAAGTGTGGAGAACAAGCTTACCAATCTAGAGACAACAGTCTTTCCACGATCATCACCTTTTGCCGAAACATCCTTAAGAGCTGAGGGCAGAACCTTCCAGAACTCTGTCACGAATTCATTGCCCTTTCGTTTACTGTTCTGTAGGATGTCATTTGCTAGATAAAGCAGAGGAACTTTCTGAGCCATCTCCGAGCTGTGGAACTGTTTGTCCCATGTCGCAACAACGAGTTCGGCTTTGGTTTGGTGAAATATGCACCAATGCGACAAAGCTATAGAACATAGTTAAGATAACATCTCGCAGAAAAATAAAGACACAACTTCAAACAGCTTTCACCAAACAAGCATGCTGAATCAAACATCATGAAATGTTCAAAAATCAGACCTTTGGCATAAGAATGTTGACATAAGCATGGAAGATGACGATGGTACGGATTTACCTCAAAATCAGAAATACTACCAGTGCAATTCAACCCACAATCCACCAAAAACGAACAAACCATAATGAACTTCCACCAAACACGGCACCAAAAATCATCCTAGGGATCCAATTCCTTCCTAGAAGACAAGCTAAACCCTAAACTCAGAAGAAGATGGAGAGAAGGAAATAAAAGAAGGATACTTTCAATGCATTGTTGAGTGCTGTTGAGCTTGGCAAGCTTGTCGGCCAGAATCTGTTCACTGAATACGCTATTCATCCCCACCCCCACGCCAAAACGCTTTTTAACTGAATTCCTCCAAAAACCAACTCGAACAAACGAATTGACAGCAAAGGCGCCAATTTGCTGAGAGCAAGCTGCTTTAACCAAAAAGGCGGCAACTTTATTTGCAACCCTAGCGAAAGCAGAAAAACTAAGCAACGCCAAGAAAGACCCTTTTCAACGAATGCCAAAAAGGACGAAACCCCAATTGGGATTCAGGTGAAGAGGAATAATGGGCTCGCGAAACTTGCAGCTGAACGAGAAAGCCTCCACATCTGGGCGAAGGAAGGGAACGAGGCGGGTTTTCAAGAAGGGGAGAATGTGACGTTACTAGAGAGAAGAGGGGAGAATGAGAATGATGATGAAAAACGTTAGATCTAGCAATGGAGGGACTCTGGGTACAGGGGACTTTGAGTTTTCCTGAAACCCTAGAAAGAGGGAAAATAAACGGTTATGGAGTGGAGAAATTAGAGTTTGGTGATGGAGGGATGTTGGAAGTACAAGTAGGACAGAGAGTTCCCCAATGTTTGGGAAAGAACCAAACACCGAGACACTGCTAATGAGGTAAGGGACACTTAATTGAGTCTACTGATAACAATGGACTGAATGGAGTATGATTTGGTTAATTTGATGGAACTAATTGTACTATTTGGTTTGATTTGAGAATAAATTTATCGATTTGGTTTAGTATGTTGGTTGTTCAGATTATACCAATCGATTACGTATATTTTATTGATGACGATATAAAAGGATAATCAAGTACATACAAATGAGAAAGAATTAATGAAATTCCGAACTAGGAAACCCTTTGGGCAGGTAGAGTTCGGCTAAGAATTTCCAAATAAACACTTTTATATTAGGGGACGGTTGAGGCGAACAAGAGAAGCTAGACCAGGAGTGCACTCTTGCCTCAGTTGAGTCGTGAGGAGTCAAAGTAGTGCGGGAACTTTCTCTTGATTTGAACCCTAGAAAAAGAGAGCTCACTTCGGAAAGCAACTCTAACAGAAAGACCGTGAGAGGAGGTTTAACCATAAGAGCCAAACGAAAAATACTATCTTATGTTTTTACGGTAACGAATATCCCATCTTCTCCAATCAAAACGAAAAAAACTATCTTATGTTTTTTTCAATTTTCATACACATTTTTCTATCCAATTATCCAACGAGCCCGTAATGCATTACACAAATATGAAAAAACCTATTATTTCAAGGCACTAATTGGTTGTTTGGATTCTACATACCTAACCATAGCCTCGTGCGAATATTGATTGCTTCTATCAAAGGCAATTTAGTATAGTCGCTTCTTATGATAAATATTGTATTTGTCTATTTGAGGTTAATCAACTCATTACTTTTACGTGTTAATCTGACCCATTGCACTAATTTTTTTCTTTTGGGTAGAGAGCCACACACTCTAGGCATCCTTCTTCATTTCATTGATATCAGACTCATGTTAACGTCCATAATATAGAAGTGCATGCAATAGCAAAAGTTTGAATCGCCAACATCATATGAATGTTATGGAAGTTTGCAGCAAAGTGCCAAAGTTAGTAAGTTACTCTCGATACACATGATCCATGTTCTTGATGATGCCCACTATCGTTGAGCCTAGATTGAGCTCCACCCTTCTATGTACCAAGGGACAGGATAATCCAAGACCCTCAGCTGCGCTTTTGAGCTCAATCCGATGTGAGGAAGCGCCATGACCAGACTTCGAAATCCTTGGCCACGCCGCAGATATGTAATCAGGGGGAAAAAGCAAGACTAGGGCAAGAGCCAACAATGCATGAAAATTTCTGAACACCAATCACACAGTTCCTTAGAAAAGTTCAGCCTGCGGTGAAAATTTTGCCATAACCAGATCCAACAAAACATTGCTACCACCTAGATACATAATAAGAGTATGACAGGGGACAAAATCCTCACGACAACACATCATTCTTGCTAATCCAACTCTAAAACAAAAAACTGCCACATTTTGGAAACAAAAAGAAACACCGTCACGAATTGAAATAAGCGCGATTCCATGAGACGGGCAAGAGATTTAGTGGTCGCCTGGGAGGGACTTTATGATATCCGAGTCACCTGCATTGACAGGAGAGGAACCAACATTAGCACAACACAAGAAGAAGAGTTTTGAAGTAACTTGGCAATGCTAACTTCAAATAATTCTAGTGAAAGGGGGAAATTACCTGCATCAATGATGCTCAAGCAAGAAACACGGTGGAATTTGCCGCAGGCAGTGCCCAACTCAACATTGTCTACACGCCAGTGACAAAAATTAGTCAAATACAATTACAAAGTTGGTTACAGAAAACAGCATTGCAGTATAGTATATATAGTAAGAGGCAAGTCCTTCATTGGCTCACTATACCTAGGGATATCATAATTGAGCAGAATCTATAACAACAGATAAGATCTATTCACATCAAATGAGCCAATCATAAATATATATCAGATCACACAATATTTGTATCAAAGTCGTCTACCACAATCCATGTCCATGGAGGACAGACATCATAATTTCACCAACATATGCTGGCTACGACACTAGAAAACTACATTGGATAGATATCATAGACATCACATTAAGTAAACAACTAAGAAGCACAAACAATTAACTTACATTCAAAAGGAGAAGCTACAATCCACATTATGCATCCAACCAATACAAGCATAACAAACTGTAGCAAACATTCACCATGAAAGACAACTAATCGTACCATATAACATGCCAATATATACCTCTTGATACACAAGATTTGCATCAATCTTTCGCGGACAATAAAAGGTAGCTAAACATGAAAAACATAATACAGAGAAAGGCGGTTCTAGAAGACTTACTTCCTGTGTAATGGTGAACCCCAACCTTGGCAAGCATGGCGTAGTATTCAATCTCCGACTTCCTCAATGGAGGGCAGTTGTTAGAGATGATGATTAGTTTACCTGCCAAAAGTACCACCACAATCGCCAGATCAGGAAATGAGATTCAGCAAAATAACCTCAAAAGTAAAACAAAAGATAATAAAAACCCAAGGACCCTTCAACCGAAAGACAATACCTTTGGAGTTTCTCAGAGTGCGAAGGACGGTCTTGTACCCAAGGGTGTACTTCCCGCTCTTCATCACCAGGGCGAGCCTGTTGTTGATGCTCTCATGGGTCTTCTTCTGCAGAGAAGACAAATCGCAGAGAGGGAAAATCAGAACGCGAATGAATCATGGGTATCATTCGATTCCAGCTACAGAAGGACGGAAAAGGGAGAAAAGATGGCCAAAAGAAACTTACTGTCTTCTTGGCGGTCACCATTTTTTCACTCCGGTTGAGCTGGCTTTCCTGCGAAGGCTGCAAAAGAGGACCAAGCAGAGCTTAGATGATCATCTAAAGTGAAGATTGTTGCAGAATGCGGCGGGACAGGGGAAGGAACGCTTACGGCGAATAGGGTTTTCCGCAAGAGCTGCGATGGAGTGCTGACGGCTAGGAAGGATTGGGGGATTAGGGTTCTATTTATGTTGGCGAGGATTGAGAAGACGAGAGGGCTGAGGCTGTGGGCTGTGGCGCCAAATTGGGCCGGTATAAAATTGTTGGGCTTTGGAATTGTTATCAGCCCATAGTCGTAAAAAAGAAGCGCGAGACGCGAGTACTGTGCTGTTTTTGTTTTATAATCGAGAAACATCTCCACACGCATCACTTGAGGCCTTTAGATTTTTAACTAAGATTACTATTAGTGTCGTCGGAAATACCACGAAAGGGTCTTAAGGGAGATAGAGTTCAGGACCTCACACGTCCAGAACGAGCGTCCAACGAGGGTTCACCAATAAGGCTATGTGATCTTTGACAGTTGAGTAATGTTGTTAATCCGTTGAGTCGGCAGTTGAGTTTTGTCTTATTCAAGTTTGGTTCTTCCTTGGTTCGTTTATTAATGTGTTGACTCGAGGTGGAACTGAGTTGTTTATTAAATTTTTGGGGTAGATGCAACATTCGGTCGCTGAGATTACTAAATCATGTCATGTTTAGACACTAAAAAACATTAATATCAATTTTGGTCACTCGAATTACTGAAACAGGTCACATTTAGTCACTATTCGTTAGTCTTCGTCCAACTCCGTTAACAGAGTCCGTTATGTGCTAACATTGGCTAACGGAAGCGCCTAGTCAGTGTCGTTTTAGGCCGAAAATTGTCACACCCGACCGCCACGTCACTAAACCCGCCAAGTCATACACCCAACCCAACTCATGAACCCGACCCAGAATCAAACCGACCCCATCTAACAAACAAAACCGCCATCTCTCTCCTCCACCCTCATCTCCCAGTGCTCGAGCTTCATCAATAGCCTCTTCTCCAAACCAAACCAAACGATACCATTCAACCTCCACTCCATGATCTCTGATTGAATTACAGACTTTCTTTACACAGATCTTACTCATACAATTCCCATCCACTTCAAAATCAACTCCCGACACAAATGGAATCATCTCATTCCGACACTTCAAAATCCTTCTCCAAACCCATGAAACTGTGGTCATGGGCTTGATATTCAAAGTGACCTTTTGCTTTAGCCTGTAACGTTTAATCCAAGCCACCTAGAACAATCCACCAGATGCTAGAATGTCTCATACGTGACGAATCACAAGTGCTCTATTCCATATATAGAAACTCCTTGTGCATAACCCTCCCTCCTTCTTAGGCCGGATTAAGAACATTAACAACATACCCATAAATAAAATTGTAGTTTAGCCGCTGCTGCCAGTATTTACACACTAATTGCTATTAAAATCAATTTAAACTTCAGACTATTTAATATCCTTTTAATAAAGTTGAATGAATTGATATTGTTTCAGATGTTATACTTGTTTTTATGGTGCATATATCACACGTTTAATTGTCTAATTCGGGGTATAGCTTTATTGTAACATTAAAGTCAAGATGGCCGAGTTGGTCTAAGGCGCCAGTTTCAGGTACTGGTCCGAAAGGGCGTGGGTTCAAATCCCACTCTTGACATTATTTTGTCCATTTTTAAAACTCATCCAAATTCTTAGCTTTTCATTATCCTTGTATTGCATTTGATTGACCATTAACAACAAGCTCCAACATGGCTTCGATCAAGTTCTGATCCAGCAGCAGTTGTCCGTAAGATCTATGTTGAATGAATCGACTGGGAATAATGATTGATCAAATGGTGCCTACTGCCTACTAGATCAGTTTGAGACTGGGGGTAGTGATCTATCGCAGCTGTAGTTCTTCCTAACAGCAGCTACAAGCTAGACTTTCCACGTTACATGGTGCCTACTGATCCTGGAAAAAGCAACAGAAAACCCAGAACAAACACTCAGAAATGGCGAACCAGGCAAATGCTTGGCTGAACAGTTTATTATTCACTGAATTGGAGTTGGAATCAAAATAACTAGTGAGCTGAAATCCAAACAAAGAAGCTTCTTCGCCAGAGGAACAAACCAAACTTGTCTGGTTATTCCTCAAAAATGGCCGAGTAAGCAACAAAAAGAAAATTACAATACAACAAACACATACATTGTAGCATCAGCTAGCTAACAGCAGGGAAGCGTCCATGGAATGAAACAACAGTCGACCGTTCCCAACCAATAATACTATCCCCAAAAGAAAAGATGATTGAAGTGCCACTGAGAGAGAACTCGTATTGATTGATTGACTTATTTGGGCAGCCCAGTTTGCGGGTTCAGAAGCGCCTGAGTTGTGTCGGACAGCAACACAGGTCCTCTGCCGGGTCTCGTGCAGATGAAGTAGCTAACACCATCTTTGTGTCTCAGAGCATCCTTGTTTTCTTGAGGCGGTGGCAGAGCTTCGATGTCCTTAATCCCTTCAATTCCGGCATCTTTAAGAATCGATTTGTCCCCTATCACATAACTGAAAGAAGAGAAACATAAAGGATCGGATTTGATCAGAATGGAAGCACAAGCTTTCTATTGTGTTGGGATTTATTAGCGTAGTAGGTGTTCAAACTGGAAATGACAGACAGCATAATCAAAGATAAATTAATTACTTGTCCAAGTCTGCATCAGAGTTTGGAGGGAAGTAGAAAAGCAGCTTTTGCATAAGCTGAGCAGCAGCCTTTCTATTGCGTGCAATTAGGACAGCATTTGGACCAGCATCAAAGGTGTAAGCTACCTGGTACATGATCACAGTCAGTCATATTTGTTCCATTATTTACCCGTATCTCATCTAGAAATCTTTTCATCTTTGCATAAGTGGGTATACTTCAGCCAAATAAATTGGAATAGCTATTTTGAAGACTTGGGAAGGCACTACCGAAGTAGTCAAGGAATGTTTGTTCTAAATTGTATCAAGATAGGATATAGGACAGTTGACCAAACCTGAGGTGTTGCTTCGGATCTATTCCATTTCTCAACGCAGCTGATTAACCTGGAACAAATACTCTTTTCAATATCCAAAGCACACTTATTTTGAACAATAGCAACTAGTTTAATGATTGCCAGAACTCAATTTCCATGTTGGATGAAGTGAAGCAGCAGATTGTTTCCTACCTGTGGGATGTATCATTCATGTAGAATATCGGGGGAGAGGTGTCCAGGCAAGTTGCATGGAACTGATTGCTATCAGCACAGGTTAGTTCTGTGAAAGAGCCAAAATCCTTGGTTTTTAGGGCCTCCTCCATTCGGACAATCCTTTTTGGTACAATTTCCTATTAAAGAATTGGAGTGAGACAACATAAGCACACAAAGACAAGGGAAGTTCCACATCCAGAAACTGAAATCAAAGCGAGCTTCAAGTGCAAAAAAGCAATGCAAAATAAGAGTGGTGAATAACACGCATCACACCACTGTGCCATGCAACGGCGAAGGATATTCATTGATTAGTTTGAAAAATCACCTTAGCTCTATGCTCCAAAAGCAAACTAGTATTAACACTGTCTTGCATTCCTGAAGTGCTACTTGTTTCTTTCTGCCGTGAACTTACCTGCACTTGGAATCAATACCAAAATTACAAAAGCAATAGTAGTGCCAATCAATCAACTGTTATAAAGCAACCCATGCCATCTTTTTTTTTTTTTTTCAACAGTTGCCGTCATTCCCAAGGTGATACGAGATTAAATATCCCAGTTGTCAAATGTCAACTAACGTTCACAGAGATATATACAGTAAAGATACAATCAAAGTAGAAATTGAAAACCAGGTGATAGGTTTATAGCTATGAAGAAAATGTCGTAAGTGCTTCATTCCAAAACAAAAAAGAAAAAGAAAAAACGAGAATCACAGAGTCTAATGCACAGACAGAAATAGGCAAGAGAGGAACATACCACAGCAATAATGATAACAAGTTCATCCCAGTGCTTCTCATCTACAAGCTGAACAGCACGGCTATCATGCCCATCCTTAGCCTTAAATTATTCCAGTTAAGAAGAGTCAACGTCAGTACCTCCCTATTTTGTTTTTGCATCACAAGTAAACAAAAACAAAATTGGAAAAAGCAGTTCCACCTCTCCCATGATCCACTTCACAAATCCACCAAATAGACTGCGACAAGCACTCCCAGAACCTTGCCTGTGAAGTAAGGGATAAAAAATTATCAGAGATCAATGAAGTATTGTATTCTGGACATTTCCAAGTCTTATATACTGGATTTATTAAGTAAAAGAGATGTAACTCAAGTAATTGTACATCCAAACATAAAAACTGCTCCTATAAGGATTTCCTTCCATAGTATCACTAAAATGTTAATTAAGTTCAGGCTTCACTATAAGATATGTGCTAAACTTAGGGCACAACAGAACGTAACAACCAAACAAATATCAGATTATAAAGTCATATCGTCCATAAAAACATGAACAATTTATGAATGTTAAACATAATCACGTGAAACACAATCCTCAAACTATAAACAGAAAACTACCACCAAAAAGCTCCAGCAACAGTAAAAGTGACCGTCATAAAGGTTACAAGTGTTGTTACACCTAGCAGTTTGCAGCTCGAAACAAAAAGCAACCCTCAACTCTTACCTAGCAATCGCAGAAAGATCACTGTTATCTTCTTTAGCGTTCATTAGCTTTGCAAGGGAAAAAACTGCACATGAAGAAGACAGCATACTTATGGTTTTGTAGATGAACAAGGCCTACGAAATCTAATTTCTTGAAATATACCTCTGTTGTCGCCCAATTATGTTCAGAATGATATCTTGGAACCATGACTAAAATGGTTTGAAAGCATAACGAAAAGGGATAAAATAAGCTGATATTTACCAAGGCATGCAAAGCCAGCTGCTGATGAAGCTAGTCCAGCAGCAGTTGGGAAGTTGTTATAGGAAGCAATGTGCACATGCAAATTTTCCCAATCCTTCTTTGCTATTTTCACACCCTTTTCCTCATCCTCAACATCACAAGCCCGGGCACGAATTTCTCGCAAGCAGTTCTGATATCGAGCTCCGGCAAGGGAAACCTCCTACACTAACCAGGAAGCACAGAGAATGACATAATTTACAATCTAGTATCACCATCCGTGGGCAGAGAGAATCAGAGAGCTCGGATGGATGCAGAAGTAGTGAGACAATTATACCCTATCTTGAAACATTTGGATATATAACAAAATGCTTACTCAAACATGATTGAATCTACATACTGTATACATGCATCTATAGATTGCTTGCTCTGGACCCAATTCATTCCTTTGTTTTTGCTCACATTGGTAACCAAGTAACTTGGGATCAATCTTTTAGCTCTGCCCCACTTAAAACACTACAGCTCAATCATCTAAGTTCACTAACTGGCAGCCCAATTTCCAAACGGAGCATAAAACAAGATGAGCATTGTTCTGATCAAGGCTGCATCCAGAATAGCAATTCCACATTGGAATGATAAGTAGTAAGAGAACCAAAAAAAGGAGAAGTCTTAGAGTTCCTTCAGACATTTTATTCCCCCAGTCCCCCTATTCTCGAGAAATTAACACAAACCCAGATGAGAAAGCTTGGGAGCAGAGAAAGGGGAGTTTTTTTTCCTGCTTACCTTTCCATTGAGCCACATCCGATCCTGATCAAAGCTGGGGCTGACGGCAACAGTGGTGGTAGTACAGAGATGGGCCGGATCCAAAGTGACACTGATGCTGTCATTGACGGGCAATATCAAGTTCTCATCCCTCTTCCCCCAGTACTTGATCACAGCAATATTGGTGGGCGTTTGCGCCGTCACCATCCTCACCCACTTCTCCCCCGCCATGTATGTATCAATGACAGTGAAACAACAAGAAAGAAAATACCTCCCCGACCCAGAAACAATCTCCCAGTGTAGGCCTCAAAAAGATCCGAACAAGTTGGGGAAGAGAAAGAGCGAAGAAGAAGAAGAAGCACAGGTGCAGCTCAATGTACCGATGCAATCGGCTATAAGTAAGAAAAGAAATGTGGGGAATTAGAGCCCAAGACAGGAAGAAAGAAACGACAAGTCACGGCGGAATAATAATAAAGAAAACAAAGTAAAATTTGGGTAGCTGCGGTGGCGGGCGGAAGAAAAGGTTCACGGGGATCGATTTCTGCTGCAAAAATGTCGGGAGAAAGGACAAGAGACGAGGGGGAAAAGAGAAACTTACTGTGGCGGGCTGTAGACGGCGAAGCAGGAAAATTACAGCGAGGTCAGGTAGGTGAAGAAATCTTTTACGCGACTAAGGGTTTGGCCGCAAAAGAGCCGGCCGGAGACTGAGTTCTAAGTGTTGACGACGGCCAGGTTTTTGTATGTTGGTAGGAAAGAAGACTCAAAAGAGGCCGCTAACTGCTCAGGCTCGTGGCAATGGTTGGGCCGGGCCTAAAGAAAGGGGCGGGCTCGGGGAGTGGATTTTTGACAAAATTATATGGAATTTTTCAAAATTTCACATTGGTCTAAATGGTTAAGATTGGTAAAACCGTATCTTCTCTCCTATTGGTAGTTCAAAGCCCTCGTTTCTTTGGCTTACTTTCTATCGACTCTCTCGACCATATTCAGTAGCAACCGAGGATTCTAGATAGTAGATTTCTCTAACTATGCACGCCTAATTCCCCCCGCTCTATCTCCCAGAGAAGAATCAGAAGCTATCAACAGAGAAGATGAAGTGAGTAGATGAAAGATTCAAGATATTATCATGTATAGAGGTGAGATTGTAAAAATTCATGTAACATTAGAAAAGATTGTTTGGTTTACACAAATTGAAATATTGGTCTTTATGTAATTGATTGAACTATGCAATAGTTGGAGCAAATATTATATGATGCATAACTAACTAATATGGCCAATAGACTATAGCATGTGCTTATATGGAATAATGATAACAGAGCTTGGCAGTAATGGTTTCTTTTGGGATAAATTAATTAAAGCTTGATATAGTTGACTCACTGACAGTCAACATCAGGTGGCTACTCGATTTTCATTGTAATAAGATAAACAATTTTCATTGTATTATGATATATTAACACTCCAAGAAAGGGCACTAGAGAAGACAAGCTCATAGTTAGCTATTCTCAGTGATACAACTTGTCCTACTACTTCTGTACAATACTATTGTCGACAAAATTCATGTGCATATGTGGTACATTCTCGATTCGATGAATAGGAGTGTGCAACGGGTTGGTCTGAACCAGATCACACTAGACACAAACCGACATTGGACCATGTTCTGCATTCGGGAGGGCAACACGCCTTGGGATGCCGAGGAGCTATTATCGCCCCTCCCTAACCTAATGCATTTCTGGGTTCGACCCCGAGAAACCATAGCAATATTAGGGACGTCTGATTCTTTTTGCCTCAGCAAGGTTGGCTAATCGTACGCAGGAGGCTCGAAGACCCCTGGTTCTGGAAGGCACATGAGTCCGAGTGCTATGTTGGAGAGAGTCGCCCGGAAAGCACATAAAAGAGGGACGGGAGTTACGACCGGCGGTGATGTGGGGAGGAAAATCGAGGAATGGTGGGTGTGATCTTCGAGTTGATCTCATGAATTATACAGATGTTGAAGAAAACTAAACCGAATTGATATATGTAAGCATGACTAAACCGAACCAAATGCACGATAATCCGCGCAACCAAATCAACCCGTACCCGAAACCCTGCATCATATATTAATACGGAAGGCGAGCTGGCCTATAGCTCATGGAGTTTGACCACTTCCATTGTCTTCTTTTTTCTTTTTTTTTTTTTTTAATTCAGCTTTGTTATTATATCAATCATCATGCAAAAACTGTGTTACACGTTGTGCATACGTATGAGAGAACATCTCAAAACAATTTTTATTTAATTATGTGGTATTATTAAGTCAAGTCAGGTTTGTAACATAAAATAAGTATGGTTTGTAATGGAAAGTGTTATTAAAAACATATATAGTACTCTAGTTTGTCACATTGGTTTGTACATAATGTGGTTTTGATTTGTAAACTATGTCTGGTTTGTATACCATTTATGTGCTTTAGTTTGTAAAGAATGTGGTTAATGTTTGTAAAATATGTCATTACTATAAACTTATATGATATGGTTTTTATATTTTTGCATTATTTGTTATACTAATTTGTACTCTTCTTGTCATTGGCTGATATCTGGTTTGCATATATTACAATTATTGGTTTGTATATTTTGTAATATTAAGAGTTAAATGCACCGGCTGCCATTTAATTATAGCGTATTTCGGGAGTTCACCATCTAATTTTATTTTTGCTGCAACTAAACCATGTATGTCAAATTCCAGTTGCATCGTTACCATTTCTGTCCGCAAGTAAACAGACTACAAGTCATCTCGTCCATTTTTCCAACTTCATTTCCTTTTCGGCTGCCTACCAAACTAATACAGTTAAATACTAAAACTGTAGATCTTTCCAATTAATGACAACAAATCTGCGTTGACATCCTATAATTGCCAACCTGATTGCCCAATTACTGTTTAAGGATCCATGTTTAATACTACCGATTCCAAGCCTCACGGCAAGAATCTACAAAATCATTGATGTACCCTCTCAACTAGCTGGTTTTCATAATAAGTTCGAACTTTAATTTTCCGGCGAGTCTAGCTATACATTCCGGCAATCATCGTCGTCGTCCTCGATCATCAGATCAAGATGGCTCACGAGTCGCGTGGCAAAGTCACGGTGGATAGTTTAACCGGCGGGGTCATCAACGTATGCCTCAACGAGACCGTTCCAACGTTCCTCGACACATCGGGGTTCTGGAAACTGGCACGACCGGAGAACGAAAACGATCCCACGTTCATCCACAACGTTCCTTACTATATCGTACAACTGGCTGCCATCATGTTCGGCACCCAGATTGTTGCAGCCATCCTCAAACCGTTGCGCCTCCCCCGCTTCTCCGTGGAATTGCTGGTAAATTTTTTTTTTTATCATCATCGACTATAAAAACGTAACAACTCTACCCTTCTGTTAAATTTCCCGTACGTCAACAAATTGTTACTGGGGAGGAGAAATGTCTCATTTACCCCCTCTGTTAGAGGACATAAAGTTTAACAGAAGAGTAGAGTCGTCACGTTTTTCGAGGGGAAAATGGAATGTTGTTGACCTTTTTTTTTTGTTGTTGGTTGGTTGCAATTGTTTGTATAGAGTGGAATTTTGATTGGTCAGGGATTGCAAACATGGTGTAGAATTTATGCCATGCCTACCAATAGCCTCAAGGTGCTAGACACAGTTGGACACGCGAGCCTCATTTTCTACGTATTCCTAGTGGGGCTAGAGATCGACCTATTCAGGGTTCGACACGTGGGATGGGAGGCGGTGTACACGGGTCTAACCGGGACCGTACTTCCTCTCTTGATTGGGTTCGTCGAATTCTTCGTGATGGCGGCCGATCGAAGATACACGAATTTCTTCACCCCGGAGTTCTGGGAGAATCTGGATCCAGTCAAGCTGACTGGGCCCATCTTCTGGGGGGTCGCCCTCACGGTCACCAGCTTCCCTGATCTCGCCAGGATACTCTCAGACCTCAAGATCCTGCACACCGACATCGGGAGGCTGGCCCTGTCGTCCTCCATCGTCAGCGAGCTCACGACGTGGATCCTGCTCGTCGTCGCGCTGACGCTGAACAACGGCACCCTGAACCCTCTGTACCTCCTCCCGACGTTCGCCTTCTTCGTCGCCTCCTGGTCCCTCGTCCGCCCCGCGGTCACCTGGGTTCTCAGGCACGCGGACGAGACGGACAACAAGTTCCTCCTCCACTTCACCATCCTGGGCGGAATCCTGACCTCGTCGGTCGTCACCGAGGCCTGTGGGGCCAACTCCGTGATCGGCGCCTTCGTGTTCGGGCTCATCATCCCCAATGGGGACATGTCTGTGAGGCTCATGGAGAAATTCGAGGACTACATCAAGGGGGTTTTGATGCCTGGATTTTTCATGGATAATGGGGCTAGAACTAGTTTGATTACCATCTTCAACCCCATATATGAGACACATCCACTTACCATTTTCCTCCTCATAGTTTTAGCGTGGTCTACTAAGATCATCAATACTTTTGTTTTCTCCAAATCGGGAGGAATGACTACTCGTGAAGCCTTCACTCTTGGAGCCCTTATGAACACGAAAGGGGTTCTAGCTTTAATCGTCATCAACACCGGCCGTAACAACCAGGTATTTACATAAATCGTCCTGTTCAAATTTTTTTTTTTTACCGTAACGAGGTGATGATCATCATTCTCGTCAACTAAATCATGACGATATAAGTGATTCAAGACACACAACTTAGTTGTTTTCCTAATATGTACAGGGCTTCAACCAACTAATGTTCGTGGTGCTAATACTTTCAACGTTAGTGATGTCCGTAACTGTAATGCCCTTGGCCAAAGCAGCAAACAAGTCGAACCGAAAACCAAACCGGTTCAAGACCCGAACGGTCGAGTGCAACAAGCTAGAGTCTGAGCTCAGGGTACTAACATGTATCCACACTACACGTAACCTTTCAGGGATGATCTACCTCCTCGAGTGCTCCAATGGCGGAAAGCAGTACCCGATATCCGTTTTCGCCCTCCACTTGGTCCAGCTCACCGATCGACGTGCCACGGCGATGCTGATCATCCACGAAAACAACAACAACAAGAGAAATAAAAACAGTACTATTAGCAACTCCCACCACAGTATCGAAGGACCGGGTCAGAACCTGACCCGTCGAGAGGAGGAGTCGAATCACATCATCGCGACTTTCGAGAGCCTCGAGAATCGAGGCGCCTCGGTGTTTGCTCAGTCGCTCACCGTCGTGTCCCCCTACGCCACGATGCACGAGGACATCACCTGCCTAGGGGACGACAAGCAGGTGATAAAAACAAAGATGAGTTGTGAAAATGGAACCCTGGAACCCTTTGGGTTTTCTCATTTAACATTTTCGGTTTAAATAGTCCAAGGGTGGCACTACATGACAAATTAGGTGTGCCGCACCTTGCTTTTGGAGAAGAAAGATAAAACATAACTAAAATCTAAAATCTAAACACAACAATATTGACGAGGATAACTTCCTCTATAAACCTAGTCGATCCACTCTGACATTCATGGTCGCCGGTTTGAGTCTCCTGACGATATATAACTTGTAATATCTCCTGATATAGGTGACGCTGATATTGATCCCTTTCCACAAGCAAGCTGATGTCTACGGGAGGTTGCAGGAGGAGAACTCGAGCTGGCGGATGGTGAACAAGAACCTCATGGCGACGGCTACTTGCTCCGTAGGAATACTCGTGGACCGTGGACTAGGCTCCAAGGACGTAAAAACACATTCGAAATCGTCGTTCACTGTTGTCTTCATCGGAGGTCCGGATGATCGAGAGGCCCTTGCATTTGGTTGGAGGATGGCTAAATCGCCCGATGTCAACCTCACCGTCCTTCGACTCCTCCCCACCGACGACAACCACGACGACGACGACGATGACGTGGATTGTGACATCGAAGAAGTGACGGTCGAAGGGGGAGGCACAATGAGGAGCAAGAGAGGGGAAAAAGAGCTAGACAACGAGTATGTGAACGAGTTCAGGTTCAGGACCATGCACGACGAGAACATAAACTACATCGAGAAGCGAGTGAACGACGGGGACGAGGTGATCACGATGATCGGGCGAGTCGTGCCATCTTGCGATCTCTACATACTGGGCCAGAGCAAGAACGCGAGACGATCGTCCATCATGTCGGGGTTGTCGGAGTGGACCGAATGTGACGAGTTGGGTGTCTTGGCAGACACGTTACTGGCTTCCGAGTTCGCACAACGTTCTTCTCTTCTTGTTATCAAGCAACATTATGTGCCCGGGATGCGTATGTGGATCCGTCGCAACGGCAACAACAACAACGGAAACAATAGTGACAACAATAATCGGGTGCCATTAGGGTTTTCCAATAGTAGCGTCCACAATGTTTCTAATGATGTGGAGATCACCAACCGGCCGTCCACGGCTACAATGTTCCAACCCCAATGGAATTGATCTTAAGTCTTTCTTCCCGTGTTCTTCGAATTTAATATGTACTCATCTAAATTGAATGACATTCTAAGTGTTGTACATTGCGGTTGAAATTTGCATTCGAGTACAAATTGTTGTAGTACTCTACTAAGACACTCCATTAATCCAAAAACTAATCCTTCGATGAAAATGTAAAGGTCATCTGCAAAGCAAAGACGTGCGCGAGACTCATCCCTAAAGTGTAATTTTCCATCAATTTTTTAGGATTGAAATGTAAAAAAAAAAACTAATTTTAGGTACTAAATATTAATATCAATTAAGTTCAGGAACCAAAACTGCAATATGTTTAAACATAAAAAAACAACGTGAATGAAAGAGAGAGGACAAAGAGAAGGGAGAAGAGATAGTTACTATAATACTATTATTATAGTAAGTGTTAGTATGGTCTTAATACTTAACATATGATGATACGATTATATAACAGAGATTTTGCAGAGTGTTGCAGGGAAAGCGTTTTATAACGAAACCCCAAATAGTCATAACTCATAACACACAATCAAAATAATTTATAGTCAGAGAGTAATAAACTCCCCCCAAATACCAAATCCTGACTCCATCCCAACCAGTATTACAACGAGACTCCGCCACCGGCCATCTCAGTGTTCACATTAGACCTCATAAATTTGCCTCATAGTTTAAATCCAATCCAACATATGAAGGAATTGAAACTGTATTTGAATTTCCCAATTACTAATAAAAGCTTTCCAATTAAAGTAAGGACTATAAACTAAAGCCAACTCTATATATGCACCATAACAAACAAACCTGCAGAACATGAAAGCATGAGCGAATAACTGTTTAACCAATTACCGTTAAGGATCCATGTTTAATTCTGTCAACCAACACCATGGCGGCAAAAATTTACAGAATCAAATTCCCTCTCAACCAATTGGTTCATCATACGTTTGAAAGCTCTTCCATCATCATCATCATCATCATCAGATCAAGATGTCTCGTCAGTCGTCGTCCAAACCAACCGTGGAGGGTTGGACCAGCGGGGTCATCAACGTATGCGTCAACGAGTCGGTTCCGACGACAATCGACACGTCCGTGTTCTGGAAACTGACACGGCCCGAGAACGAAAACGATCCCACGTTCATCCATTACGCTCCTTACTACTGCGTGCAACTAGCTGCCATCTTGCTCGGCATCCACCTTGTTTCGGTCATCCTCAGACCGTTGCACCTCCCACGCTTCTCGATCGAATTGCTGGTACGTTACGGTAACTCTGCATTCATTCATTCATACCCTAAAATCCTTATAAAAAAATGTTTTGTTTTTGTGTACAGGCTGGAATTTTGATTGGTCAGGGATTGCAAACATGGACTAGGGTTTACGTTGTTCCTACCAGCAGCCTCAAGGTGCTAGACACCCTGGGACATTTGAGCCTCATTTACTACGTGTTCCTCGTGGGGCTAGAGATCGACCTGTCCACCGTCCGACACATAGGACGGGAGGCGGTGTACACGGGCCTCACGGGGACGATACTTCCTCTGTTCGTAGGGTTCGTCGAGTTCTTCGCACTGGCAGCGGATCCAAGACACACAAACTTCTTCACCCCGGAGTTCTGGGAGAATCTGGCTCCGGTCAAGCTGACCGGGCCCGTCTTCTGGGGGGTCGCCCTCACGGTCACCAGCTTCCCTGACCTCGCCAGGATACTCTCCGACATCAAGCTCCTCCACACCGACATGGGGAAGCTGGCCCTGTCCTCCTCCATCATCAGCGAGCTCACGACGTGGATCCTCCTCGTCGTCGCGCTCACCCTGAACAACGGCACCCTGAACCCTCTCTACCTCCTCCCCACGTTCGCCTTCTTCGCCGCGTCCTGGTTCCTGGTCCGCCCCGCGGTCACCAGGATCCTCAGGCACGCGGACGAGACGGACAACGAGCTGCTCCTCAACTTCACCATCTTCGGCGGGATCTTGACCTCCTCGGTCGTGACCGAGGCGTGTGGCGCCAATTCGATGATTGGCGCCTTCGTGTTCGGGCTCGTCATCCCCAGCGGGGATGTCATGTCCGTGAAGCTCTTGGAGGTGTTCGAGGACTACATCAGAGGGATCCTGATGCCCGCGTTTTTCATGGACAATGGGGTTCGAAGCAGCCTCTCCGTCATCCCTTACGCCCTAAACGATGTACCTCCCCACACCATATTCCTCCTCGTAGTTTTGGCCTGGTCGGCGAAGATCATCAGTACTTTCTTTTTCTCCAAACTCTCGGGGATGAAGACTCATGACGCGTTCACTCTCGGAGTCCTGATGAACACGAAAGGGGTTCTGGCTCTGATCGTCATCAACACGGGCCGCAACAACCAGGGATTCAACCAGCTGATGTTCCTGGTGCTGATATTTTCGATGTTCGTGATGTCCGTCACGATAATGCCCTTGGTCAAAGCAGGAAACAAGACCAACAGAAGATCTAGCCATTTCAAGAATAGAACCGTGGAGAGCAACAAGCTGGAGTCGGAGCTCAGGGTGCTGGCCTGTATCCATACTACGCGTAACCTCTCGGGGATGATCTACCTCCTGGAGTGCTCCAATGCGGGGAAGCAGTACCCGGTCTGTGTTTTCGGCCTCCATCTGGTCCAGCTCACCGATCGACGTGCCACGGCAATGCTAATCGTCCACGACAACAACAACAACAAGAATAAGATCAGCAACAACAACAACAACCACCACGACGACGACAACTCCCACCACAGTACGGGGCAGAACCCGACCAGTCGAGAGGAGGAGTCGAAGCACATCGTCACGATGTTCGAGAGCCTCGAGAATCGAGGCGCGTCGGTGTCCGCTCAGTCGCTCACCGTGGTGTCCCCTTACACCACGATGCACGAGGACATCACGTGCCTGGGAGAGGACAAGCGGGTGACCTTGATCCTTGTCCCTTTCCACAGGCAAGCCGATGTCTACGGGAGGTTTCAAGACGAGAACATGAACTGGAGGACGGTGAACCAGAACCTCATGGCCACGGCTACTTGCTCCATAGGTATACTCGTGGACCGTGGGCTTGGCGGCTCCTCCAAAGATGTAGCGATGCGATCACAATCGTCGTTTGTTGTTATCTTCATCGGAGGGCCGGATGATCGGGAGGCACTTGCTTACGGTTGGAGGATGGCTAAATCGCCTAACGTCAAGCTCACCGTCCTTCGACTCCTCCCTAACGACGACGACGATCACGACGACGACGATGGAGATGGTGAGATACATGAAGTGACCGTCGAAGGGGGAGGAGTCACAATGAGGAGCAAGAGAGACAAAAGGGACATGGACGACGAGTATGTGAACGAGTTCAGGTTCAGGACCATGCACGACGAGAGCATAAACTACGTCGAGAAGCAGGTGAGGACCGGGGACGAGGTGATCACGATGATCGGGCGAGTCGTGCCATCTTACGATCTCTACATACTAGGTCAGAGCAAAAACGCGGTGAGCTCCTCGATCATGTCAGGGTTGTCGGAGTGGACCGAGTGTGACGAGTTGGGTGTCTTGGGAGACACGTTACTGACTTCCGAATTCTCGCAACGATCCTCCCTCCTTGTTCTCAAGCAGCATTACGTTCCCGGGATGCGTATGTGGATCCGTCACAACAACGACGACAACAACAACAACAAAAACAATGACAATAGTAGGGTACCGCTAGGGTTTTCCAATAGTAACGCCCACATAATTTCTAATGGTACGAGTATCAACCGACAACCCATGTCGCGGCAATAACCAAAAAAAAAAAAAATTTTATTGTCTTCTTCCCGAGCTCTCCGAATTAAATTGTACTAAACTAATTGATCAATCGGTCAATTCCATCCTGATACAGTTCAATAAAATAAAAATGCTATTTGTAGAATTTTCCTGACATTCTATATATAAATCAGTCAAACCTAATTAAGTTAAAATATCCAATTACGGTTACTAGTTGGTTCATCATATTTGGCATTCCATGATTCGAAACCATGATCTTTGGATCGTACGCTTTAATATCATGTTAAAAATCAGTTGATATCAATAACTCGAGTTATTGAAAATGATTTGTTCAGTTTTTTAATCTCTTATACGTTACTCGCGTCCAAATTCTCGCAACGTTCCTCCGTGCTGGTTATCAAGCAACATTATTATGTCCCCGAGATGTGTATATGGATTCGTCATGACGATAACTACCAAAACAAGCGATGAGAGTAACTCGAGTTATTGAAAAGGATTTGTTAAGCCTTTTAATCTCTTATACGTTACTCGCTTCTGAATTCGCGCAACGTTCCTGCGTGCTGGTTATCAAGCAACATTATGTCCCCGAGATATGTATACATTAATTTTGCAATGTTTATATAATGATGTTATAGTAGTTATATGTGTGTATTGTTCGTATGTTATGTTAGTTATGAATTAATGTTGCTGTTAGTTAGTTGCGTTTGTTTATGAGATGGAGTAATATTATTTAAGTAGTCGTAAAATATGGTTTTGGTTAATTTTATTAGACTTAAGCTAATAGTTACTTATTGTAAATTGCATATATGGGTAAATTCTACAAGTTTCAGCTTATTATTCGGTGGAATGGCAGGGTGACAAACTCTGACATTGGGATTGATTATGAAGACGGTGAATCCACTATGTTGAAAATTGAGTCGCGATTCACGTGGCAAGAACTCTGTGACATTTGTGCAGACAGGGTTTGTACGGGCGGACAGACGAGAGTTGGTAAAATTACTTATCGGTATCCGGACATGAGTGCTGGCGGGGTTGTGTACCAAGAAGTTGTCATAAACAATGATGACGTGGTTACCATGATGTTACAGTTCCTCAGCGATAACGAGATGTGGCTTGTAGAGGTGTATGTTGAGATCGAGGCGGTCGGTGAAACTCATTCTCACCAGTATTCTTATGGCGATGGTTTTGCAGGAGGGTACAGATGGGGTGGTAGTTCAAGCAACTATACGAAGGAGGTGGTTATACAGGAGGGTACAGATTGGGTGGTAGTTCAAGCAACTAAGGAGAAGGTAGTTCTGCAAGAGGTGTGGCATGGGAAGAATACCCGCAACATGCTCAGCCTGCCCCATTTGTTGAGCCCGACGACGTTAAATGGCCTGCTTGAGGGCCAGAGTGGGCTGACATTGAGAACACCCTTCGATCTGGGTGTTAGTTCAAGCAATTACGGAGAAGGTAGTTCTGCAAGAGGTGTGGCATGGGAAGAATACCCGCAACATGCTCAGACTGCCCCATTTTTTGAGCCCGACGACGTTTAATGGCCTGCTTGAGGGCCAGAGTGGGCTGACATTGAGAACACCCTTCGATCTGGGCGTACTTCGCACGAGCGAGAAGACGATGCTGGTGATTCAGGTCACGATGATCATCCTGGGCCGAGCTATCCATTCTCCTCCACTGACGAGGAAAGTGAAGAAGATCTGAGATCAGTCAGCGAGGAGGAAGATACAAACGATATCGACGAAGACGAGGTGGCATCTGTGAGGCACCAACGCCATACTACATACAGGTTTCATCTCAATTTTTATATAGTCAGAATGATGCCCCCAACTTTGTCCATATGTCAGTGTATAATCCGACAACCAATTTGGAGGTGGGTATGGCGTTCACAACGAAAGACGATGTTCATGATGCTTTTAGCAAAGATGTCATGCGGCGCAATTTCGAGTGGGAGGTGAATCTGACGGTAAACAACTACATGTCATATGCAAGAATGCTGGAGAGGACTGTATGTGGCAACTGCGGGCTGCAAATATGAAGAGAAAGGGTGCCTGGGTGATTCGAAAAGCTGAGAATAACCACACCTGCTCATCGTCCACACTTTCCCAGGATCACCGCCAACTTAAAGCAAAGAAAGTGAGGATACTATTAAGCACTTGACCGAGGCACAACCAGATATCAATGTCAAAGCTATCATAGACGAGATGAAGGATCGACATTCCTATACAATCAGGTACAAAAAAGGCATGACATGGAAAGCAGAAGGCCATGGCTGAGGTGTATGGTGATTAGGACGACTCGTATGCTTTACTCCCTAGACTAATGGTCGCAATGGAGGATTCCAACCCTGGGACTGTCTTCGTGCCATGTTACAACAATGTATACACTGAGGATCAAGTTCGAGTACAAAATGAGTTGATGTTTCACCGGCTATTTTGGGCATTCAAACCATGCATTGACAAGTTTACGTTCTGCATTCCAGTTATCCAGGTATATTACTGTCTAATTACTGTTGTACAAGTTAATTTTTCTTGCTAAGTAAATTTTATACTAATTAAATCTTAATTTTTAATTAGGTTGATGGAAATTTCCTCACTGGGAATTACAGAGGAACTCTTCTCATTGCAACTGGCGTTGATGGAAATATGCGGATTTTCCCTCTTGCATTTGCATTAGTGGAAGGGGAGAACAACTTAAGTTGGGCATAGTTCTTTGACCAACTATACAACCACGTGACACAGCGGCAGGGTATTACGATTATATCCGATCGACATGCGGGGATTAGGAACGTCGTGGGTGGTTTTCCCGACGAATGGGGATGGACATGGCGCTGGTATATTCGACACTTTCTTGCCAATTTCTCCCACAAATTCGGGAAGAAGAAAGATGTAAGAGATCAATTGTGGGCTGCAGGTACTAATGTCTTTTTTATGATAGTTAATTACGCATAATGAATATTTTTTTATGACAAAAATTGCTAATAGCGTGTTGAATTTTTATGGGATGTTGCTGTAATATTGATAATTTAGAAATCATTAGAACTTATAATTCACTGATATTTTCAAGTGAATTGCCATAAAGAAATCTATACTGCTATGTATAAAAAAAATTGTGACGTACTTTAATTTTTTGGTATATTACCATGGTGACTATCGCTAATAAAAAAAATATAGTTCTCTCGTTGTGAATGATCAAACAAAACGTAAAAAATTGTAATTGGGAAGAAAGTTGGGAGTGGAACTGAAAACAGGGCAACATCATAGAAGAAACAACCTAACGTTATTAAGTTATAAACATATATTATGCACTAGATTAAACTAATCTAAAGTAAACTGAAAGAGTACTTTTTAGTGCCAGATCGGACGATGAAGTGATTGGAATTTGGATATATAGAAATCTCCCCACCTTTGAGTCTTTATAACATCTAGCCATGCTTTAAACTAATAAGTTCGATACCAACAATAAACTGTAGAATTTTCCAATAAAAAACGTCATATGTTAACATTTTAACATTTGCCAAACAAATTCATCATAATAAACTGTCGCAACTAATTGGTTCATATCATATGTAATGGACATTGGTTCATATCCCCAACCACTTCAAAACAAACATTAGTTGGACTACTATGGCCTATCTACAATGTCTTATTTCGTCAATATATTCGAGAGCCTCTCTTCGATTTTTCCCCCTCTTTGATAAGACGAACGATTTGATCTGCATTCGTACACAGATCAATAAGATGGTTACTCTCAACAACACAAAACATGGTTTGAGTCACGATTTAAGTCGACCCACCGAGGGCGTGACGAGCGGGGTCATCAATGTATGTCATTGGGAACTGCTTCCAGCAGTTCCCATCCACGACCATCAAGCGTTCTGGAAACTCGCAAAACCTAAAAACGAAATCGACCACCCTTTCTTCTATCACGTCCCCCATTTCTTCGTACAATTAGCTTCCGTCCTGCTGGGCATTCACCTTCTCTCGTTCGTCCTCAAACCGTTGCGCCTCCCTCGTTTCTCCGTCGAAATGATGGTAATGTGCGACTTGTTGCTCCTGGTGCGTGTGCGCGCATTCTCGATTTATGCATGTCATCCTGTATGTTTTGATTTTTTGAATTTGTCGTGTACAGGCAGGGATTCTGGTTGGTCAGGCATTGGAAACATGGAATCCGGAATTTTCAATTCCTCTCCCTACCATCAAGGTGCTAGACACCCTTGGACCCTCGGGCCTCATGTTCTACATTTTCCTAGTAGGGCTGGAGATCGACTTGTCCACTGTTCGACACGTGGGACGGGAGGCACTGTACACGGGACTAACTGGTATGGTGCTTCCTCTCTTTGTAGGGTTCGTCGAGTTCTTCGTAGTAGCTGCCGACCCGGGGTACCAGAACTTCTTCACCCCAGAGTTCTGGAACCACCTGGCACCGGTCAGGTTGACCGGACCGATCTACTGGGCAGTCGCCCTCGGCTTCACCAGCTTCCCCGATCTAGCCAGGGCTCTCTCCGACGTCAAGCTGCTCCACACCGACGTCGGAAGGCTGGCCCTGTCGTCATCCATCGTCTGCGAGCTCGCGACGTGGATCCTCTACGTCGTCGCGCTGATGCTGAGCAACGGCACGTTCGACCCCGTGTACGCCCTCCCTATGCTAGCCTTCGTGGTCGCGTCGTGGCTCCTCCGCCCCATGGTGGCCTACACCCTCAGGCATGCCTACGAGACGGAAAACAAGTTCCTCCTAAACTTTATCGTCTTCGGCGGGATCATGACCTCTGCAGGCATCACCAATGCCTGCGGCGCCAACTCGATGGTTGGCGCCTTCGTCTTCGGGCTCATCATCCCCACCAGGGATGATGTGTCCGTGAAGATCATGGAGAATATGGAGGACATTGTCAAAGGGGTTTTCATCCCCGTGTATTTCTTGGACAATGGGGTCAGGACCAGCTGGCGTATCGTCATCCACCCGGACTTCAAGACGCCTGTCCACACCGTTGTCCTGCTCGTGGTCGTGGCTTGGTCGGCTAAGCTCGTTTGTACTTTTGTTTTCTCCAAGCTCGCGGGGATGACTACTGGTGAAGCCTTCACTCTTGGAGTCCTCATGAACGCGAAAGGGCTTCTCGCTTTGATGATCATCAACAATGGCCGCAACAACCAGGTAACAGAAATGTGTGCATTTTTACAGACCAATGTTTGAAGGTATTTGATTGCAACAAACTGTGGTAGCCTCATAGGGATCACAATAGATCGAGTTGGGTCAGGTTTCTCTAAACCTGAACCCAATTCATTGGGTGCATTTATAATAAAAAAAAATCATGGTCAAAATATCCACTGGGTTTCACAAGACAAAACTCAACTCAATCTAACTGGTACCCACAGGTACATGGGTTTCACAACATAACCACACATAATTTCTCGGAACACCCATATCATAATATCGGGGGGTGGGGGTGGGGGTTCCGATAAATTCATTTCAATCAAGATTAATAACATCTATGAATTATCCATATTGTTAAGGTTACACACAAAACCGGTGTCGTTTTGCATACTGGGTGCGGGTTGGGTGGAAAGCAATGATGAATTTTGGCAAAGTCCAAACCAAACCCAATCAACCAATTTTAAAAAAACGAATAAAACTCACACCCGGCCTAGAATCTGTTAACACTGGTTTTATCTGCTTTGACCCGACTGAGCTGGCAATACCCATATATCCGGGTTCAATTGTCATTCCTAAATCCTAACTGTGACAATTGAATCGTGGCTTGGCGAAATTAAATACAACATCATCCATAGAGTTTCCTCTCACAAAGAAAATTCATGAAATTTTTTTGTATACAGGGCTTCAACCAGATGATGTTCATGGTGTTGATTCTCTCGATGTTCATGATGTCTGTCACTGTGATGCCCTTGGCCAAAGCGGCGACCAGGTCCAACCGACGGTCCAACCAATTCAACCGCAGAACAGTGGAGAGCACCAAGCTAGAGTCAGAGCTCAGGATTCTAACGTGCATCCACTCGACGCGTAATTTGTCAGGGATGATCAGCCTCCTAGAGCATTGCAATGCCAACAAGCACTACCCGATCTCCGTCTTCGCGGTCCATCTGGTCCAGCTCACAGATCGACGCGCCACAGCGATGCTGATCGTCCACGACAGCAACGAATCGCAGCAGCATGTACTCGAAGGCGGGTCGGGGCAGAACCCGAGCCGTCGGGAGGAAGAGTCGAAGCACATCACCGCGAGTTTCGAGAGCCTCGAGAGTCGAGGCACCTCGGTGTCTGCTCAGTCGCTCACCGTGGTGTCCCCCTACGCTACGATGCACGAGGACATCGGCTGCGTAGGGGAGGACAAACGTGTGGTGCTCATCCTGATGCCTTTCCACAGACAAGCCGATGTTTACGGGAAGTTGCAGGACGGGAATTTGAACTGGAGGACCGTGAATGGGAACCTGATGGCCGCGACTGCTTGCTCCGTAGGTATACTCGTGGACCGTGGGCTTGGCTCCAAGGACAGGACAGTACAACCACGGTCGTCATTTGCTGTGATCTTCGTAGGAGGACCGGATGATCGGGAGGCTCTTGCTTTTGGATGGAGGATGGCTAAATCGCCTAATGTCAATCTCACCGTCCTTCGACTCCTCCCCACTGACGATATTGATCGCGACGGTGATGGCAATGGCAAAGAAGAAGGATCAGTGGAAGGGGGAAAGGAAGGAGTCGAGATCGAGATCAGGAGCAGGAGACACGAAAAGAAGCTAGACGACGAGTATGTAAACGAGTTCAGGTTCAGGACTATGCACGACGAAAGCATAAATTACATCGAAAAACAAGCGAAGACAGAGGTAGAGGTGATCACGACTATAGCGCGAACGATCCCATCTCGCGATCTGTACATACTCGGACAGAATGAGAATGCGACGCCTTCCATCATGTCGGGGTTATCGGAATGGGTGGAGCACGACGAGTTGGGTGTCTTGGGGGACACGTTACTGACGTCTGAATTTGCCGAGCGGTCATCCCTTCTTATTATCAAGCAGCACTATGTTCCCAGGGCGCGCATGCGGATCAGTAACGATGATGATAACAAGGTGATCAACCGGCCACCAGGGTTGTGGCAACAGCCTTAACCCAGAAACTGCCTGTTCTTCTTGATTCTTGTAAAGGTGCTATAATCCAGCCCGAAATACATTCTAAGCATTCATAGATTCTATTGTCCCATCATAGCCTCAACCTCCATAAGTATGATGAAAATGCAGCAAATTCGTAACCCAAACCTCAAATTTAAACAAAAAATTTCACCGCAGTTCTGTACTGTTAAATCTATGTTTGTACTCGTTAGTAACACAACAACTCTTCCAGATTAGTGATTCCTAATGCAGGAGAAACACAAAAGCGAAAATATGTGATGTTACAACGAAGGGGAAGCATCATCATAGGAAAGTTGCGCGACTTCTGGATCTTAAAACGCTCCTAACTTGGCAAATAGTTCTCTGGAAGAGGGAATGAAATATGCAGAGTACAGATGCACTAGTGACATGACCTCACTCATAAAACAGAGTGCCCCTAATTCTCATTCCATTGTCTCTACTCTCTAGTGCTACAAAAAAGAGAAGGGGAAAAAACGATGAAAATGCAAATCTTCAGAGTACCCAAATCCATATCTCTGTCTCTGCTACAACCCAAACCTGCAGAACCTGCAAAGACTGAAACTTTATGATAGTGCAAACTTCCCTAGGGCCTGCCATTTCTACCCTGTTGCCCACGTCTCTTCTTCTCCGCCACTTGTTCGTCAGACAGCGGGAGGTAGTAAATTCGAGGGACTGCTTTGGTTTTCCTGAACAGGTCGTCTAGAGTCACAATCGGGGCCTCGGGTTTCTCAGGTAGTGGTGGAGGTGGTGGCGGCACGAGCCGTTCCTTAACCAGTGGAGGGTTCGACAGTGGCGGCGGTGGTGGAAGGGGAGGAGGTGGTGGCAGTTGCTGTCTAGTAGCCTGCTGGCGGGGTGAAGGCTGTGGCTGGCTAGATGGTGCAGGAACAGGAGTGGAAGCAGGCTTAGCAGCTGCAGGAGATGGCGGAGGTGCATCGACTTTTGACTTCACTTCCTGAGGATCAACAAATTCTGCAACCAGGAGGCGCCCGCCATTTGGAGGCCATTGGAGATTATACACAGCATTTCGAGTCTCCGTGGCTTCTTCCACTGAAGAGTACTGCAAAGAAACACAACAAAAAACTCATGCTTCTTAGCTTCAAACAACCAAGAACAGGAAGAATCTTAAGCTTTTCTGATGAAGATAAGTTGACCTAAAGCTGAAAAAATCAAATTTCTTCATATCTCATCAGTCATCATATCTACTTTTTCAGAAACCCAGCCAAATGCAAACTTTTCTTTCATCAACCAAAATTTAGAAATCAATTATCGTTTAGCAAAAGCTGAAACTAACTCGCCAAGTTAGGGAGCTCACTCACCGTGACAAAACAATGGGTTTTGATGTTGTCCATCCAGAAACTTTTCACAGTCCCAGTCTTTCCCAGAAGTTCTTGGACTGCTTTCAGAGTGAAAGGACGTAAAAAACGATCGATTTTCAAAGAAGTGGTTGGAGTTTTTTGCGATGGCGGAACTACAAACAAGTAGGTCGGTCAATAAGAGCTTATTAGATATTTCAGCAGAGATTTCAGCTGTAAGCAAAACAAAGATGAAGGATCTATAACTCACCAACACGCTCCTTTGGTGCTTCCTCACTGACCATTGAGTCTGATCGAGAGAAGTTTTGCTTGGAAGGCTGAAAAGAAGTATCCTTAGGTGTGGATACATGAGTAAGAGTAGAAGTCTGACTAGAATTTTGTATGTCAAGGGACTTGCTGCTATCAGAATTCCACTTTCGCTGCCTCTTCAACGGTTCAGTGCTCACAGCTTCCTGGTCTGGAAACAAATTCAGGGCACACGAAGAGAGTATATAAAACATAAAGTTAAGATGCAGAACAAGGAGTCATAATTGTTTCCATAACACTGTTCAAAAGATTTGACAAACAGATACGACACCTTCTACTCAACTGTAGAGAGCTAAATGGACCGAAAACATAATAATGAATGCAATAAGTATATACATCAAAGATGTAAATGCCAACGCATTACTAGACCAATGGTAAGATATATAGAGACCAATGTACATATAAAAACCAAAGAAAATTTTATATATATCAGACTCAAGAGCTATTGCAAGGGAAGAATACAAAAGCTCACCATTAAGCTTTCTCTTCTCAACACCTATATCTTGACTGCTCTTATTCTCAACAAGAGCTTCTGTTCGGCCCACAGATGGCTTATTTCCATCAAGCTTCACCGTATTGAGATCCATGTTCACAGGTACTTCATCTGTCTCATTTTTATTTCCAACTTCATCAGGATTATACTTCGAATCAATCTGCTTACTCTCCAAAGTATCTTCATCCATAGAATCATCACCAGAACTTCTATCTAGACTTAACTTCTCAGAATCACCCACATCTATGTTATCAATTTTCTTCTCCACATCTCCGATGTACGCATCGCCTCCATCTTTCTCCTTAACCAATGCCTTCTCTTGTGGCTCTTCAACATCCATAGGATGTGATTCACCACCAACCGGGACAACATTACTTGATGATGATAGTTCCACCATCTCTGGTTTAACATCATCTAGTTCTAATTTGACATTATCAGCAATTATATTATCCTTTAGTTCATTCTTTTCATTAATTGACACAGAATCAGTAGAAAGTGAATCAGATTTTGTTTGAAACCCTAAACTAGGGCTAACCTCAGATACCTGGTTAATTGGTGCAGATGGGTCATGCTTGACAACCTCGTGTGGAGGCTTCAAATCCTCATTGTCCAGCTCGGACTTTGGATTCTCAGTCTCCAGCCGAGGCTTTGAATCCTCACTTTCCAGCTCAGAATTTCGATTCTCACTCTCCAGCTGAGGCTTTGAATCCTCATTCTGCAGCTGTGTTTTCTTATCCTCCTGCTCCAGCTGGGGCTTTGGATCCTCATTATCCAACTGAAGTACTGGAGTATCATGTTCATGCAGTGGTTTTGGATCCCCATTATCCAGCTGATCATTTCCATTATCCTCAATCTCCTTTGTACCAGAATTTCCCTCATCTTTTCCACTGTCAGCCAAATCATGAGCCACATTCTCAGTAACAGCAACAGTTTCAATGACTTCCCTTTCAGCCTCAAGAGGCTCTATATGACCATCAAGAGGTGGCCCTCCCTTTGAAAGATCAGCATTTCCTGTCACTTCATCATCTTTCGTTTTCTCTTCGCCCATGGCCTCCGGACTACCATTTGTACCAACTTTGGCAGCATCAGAACTCTTAATGTTGGAACCATCAACCAATGGGTCATGCTTCTCTGTCTCTGAAACCCCTACGTCTTCTACATCTTTCTTATCACCAGCTGGATGACTCGAATGGACATCCACCTCAACCTCTGCATTTGCACTCTCGCTACGAATTGCTTCTGCCAAACGCTTAATCAAATCGTCCTTCAAACCCCGGATTGCCAACTTCCGCTTCTTGAGCTCCTCCTTCAGCTCCACGACCTTCCACTGATCTATAGGTCTATTATCAAGGATCGGGTATTCAGATGGCATTTTTGCCAGTCAGATACAGAAACGCCCTGGCGCCAACAATAACGAAGATAAGAACCACAATTGAGTGAAGAACAAATGACCAATCTTAAGAACCAGAAACAAATAGTATATATAAAGGGAAAATCCCAACATAACGAATCATTAGAAGTTGAATAATCTTTGAAAGGCACACACAAAAAAAATTCTCTTAAAAGAACGCATATGACTAGCTAAAAGCGCCAAACATGACCAACAACTAACAAGTAACCACCTTTAGCCCGAATGAGAATCCCATAACCACATTCCAGTGACAAGTGCCAGCAGTAAAACCCACAGTCCACACTCCACAGGAAAGGAAATGACAGAAGCACAGAACGAAAACCACAGTGCAAAAACAAAACAAAAACAACAGAAAGACGAGCACCAAGCTCTTGGACGGGCGTACTCACAGGAAATCGCTTCGGGCAGCTCCAAGCACAAAAAAAAAACCCAACTCAACGAACAGCAGAGGAGAGTCCGGAATTTTCTAGAAGTTACGCGGAAACCCTAAAATTTCCACAGCACGAAGCAACCACCATTAACGACCCGATCGAGACAAACCCGACCAGACCCCCGAGCCAAAAACTGGCGATTATCCACAATGTCTCCGACGAACGCTAAACGTAAAGCACCGGAACCCCGCCGTCAACCCCCTGAAAAAAACAACACAGACGAGAGAAAGCAAAAGCAAGCTAAAACCGGAGGCGTTACGAGATAAAAAAAAATTACGCGGAACTAAAATGCAAACGGGGCAAAGAAAAATCTGCCCTTTGCAGGGTTTTGATTTTCAGTCGCGATGTCGAGAGGATAGGGAAGGTTGAAAAACAATGGGATTACGATGGAAATTAGGGTTTATGGTTCGTCAGCTCACGGGTCTGTGCGTTTGTGAGAGAGTTGGTGATGTGGTTGAATTATCTGTCGGGGAAATTAAAAAGAAAAAGAAAATGGGATAATAAAAAAAAGAACATGGAAAAATGGGACGGGGAAGTTGAGTTGTCAGTTATTGCGTGCTGCTCCCGGACTTTCCGAAATTTTTCCTGGGCTGGGCCAGATTGACTATGAGACGTTGGGCCTAAATTGGGTCTCCGTAGTGAGCTTTTGGGCTGTTCTATGTGAATTTAAACCGAATCAGACTTGGTTTGGCCTTTGGGAATTTCCTTGATACCCGGTCCGGTTTCAATTAAACCGAGAATAACCTGAAACGACAACGTTTCAGTTGTGTCCCTTCTTACTAGCTGTCTCTCTCCGCCCGCTCACCACTAGACATCGATTCAGAAAAGAAAGTCAGAAACTTCCACCGGAGCTCCTCCGCCGTCCCGCCGAAGGGGGAATTTCCAACCTTCAGAAACGATGTTTCGAAGGTACTACTGAGTACTGAGCCTTCCTCCAATCTCCGAACCTTCGCTATTCTCGTTTGTCATTTTTTTGTCCGTCTTCGAGCTTGATCCCTCAAGGTTCGCAATGGTGAATTATTGCTGTGCAGGTCGATTTTGGCATTGGCGTCTCGCCGATCAATTCATCCGAGGCAGATTACTACCCCTGTACGTAGTATCCAACAGTACTATTTGAATTTCGTTTCGCTTTTCCACATCGTTGTATTGTTTGTTGGAGTTTAGAATTATGGTTCCTTATTAGTATTTTGACAATGGGGGGGTTATGAGCGACTTGTTCATGGAGCTTTTTAGGCGTTTTTATGTAATGATTTGCTTACAGAACTGCTGAAAGTTTAAAACTTTAGGGCGAAAACGAAAGGTTTGGCTGTATATTATGTCCATGTGCTTGTATTTCCCAATAGCTTAGCTTGTGGTTTATGGATTTTGGCACTATTTTTCAGCGAGTACCTTCTTTGAGGAAGGGCTTCTCGACGAAACCCCACCAAGATGTGCCTCCAAACCCTGGGGCTGCTGGTCAACCGCCTAAACCGAAGAGTAGTTTATCAAGAGTTATCTTGGGAAGCACTGCTGTGGCTGGTGCTGCTTTTTTGGCATACCAATCAGGTTATTTGGATCAATTCATTGGTGAAAGAGAGCAGGCGGGACACGTCGAAGTGAAAGGAACACATATTAGGAAGGAAGTGGTACCCATTGTTGCTGAAGAGCCTGTAAAATCAGCTGAGGATGTGGCGCTGTTTGCTCAAAAGGTTGAACCAGAGGATGATGTTGCTCGTGTTGAAGATGGCGAGAAGGTTGAAACTCTGACTGCTGGGATTGAAGATGATAAGAAGGTGGAAAACCTTACAGATCTTCCTCAACCCGAATCGGGAAAGAAGATTGAAGATCATGTGGATCTTGCCCATGATAACGTTGAGCAGAAGGATGAAACTCAAACTGTGATTCCTCGTCATGAAGATGTAAGCAGTACAACAAGTGAAATCCCATCTCAAGCTGCAGAAGTAGTGAAACCGATAGTAGAAGATGATGCTGCAATTGCTCCCAAGGAAAAGCATGTACCACAATTCTCTGCATCAATAAGTCCTGAAACTGTTCCTAGCATAAATCCAGAGCCAACAATTAGTGGGGAGAGGAATGAGGAAGTTAAAGTTTCAGTAATGCCGAAAGAGGATGATATAAAGACTGTGCTCTCTGATCATCCAGCTGTCGTACAAAAATCTGAGGTACTCACCCAGTGCTTTGCAGTGATTTTTTGCCTGTAATATGCTTGCATATGTTCTATGTAGAAGCATGCTTAGATTTGTGAACTAAACCAGCTTTCCTTACCATACTGTTGCTTTGTCGCCTCAAGATATGAGTGCGGATCTGGTGACTAAGGGGGGGTGCTTAGTCACTTGACTAAGCCCCTCCTAGCCATTAGATCTGGACACTTCAATCCAATGGTTAAAAAGTGGGAAGGGCTATTTAATTAATAGCAGGGGTAGTTTGGGTATTATGAAAAATTACAAAGTATACAAACCGGATTTACAATCAGTACAAACCATACAAACATACGAACAGTACAAACTAGAGCAACAAAACATACAAACATTACAAACGTATGAACTGTACAAACAATACAAACTAGACTGACAAAAAATACAAACCATACAAACATACGAACAGTACAAACTAGAGCGACAAAACATACAAACATTACAAACGTATGAACTGTACAAACAATACAAACTAGACCGACAAACAATACAAACCATACAAAAGGAAAAAACACCCGGGTTGACTTTTGAGGCTCCATCCCTATATAGAGGGGCTCCTTCCCAAAGTCAACCCGGGTGTTTTTTAGACATACAAACAGTACGAACATGGTGGACAAAAATGACAAACTAGACCGACAATCCATACGAACGGGAAAAAACACCCGGGTTGACTTTGGAGGCTCCATCCCTATTTAGAGGGGCTCCTTCCCAAAGTCAACCCGGGTGTTTTTTAGACATAAAAAACATTACGAACATGGTGCACAAAAATAACAAAGTTTACAAACATGGTTAACAAAAATAACAAAGTTTACAAACATTACAAAAAAACCGACAAACGTTACAAAATAACAAAGCATACAAACATTACAAAATATGTCAACAAACATCACAAAATTAACACTGTCGCCGGGAAATTCTTCTCCGGCGACGATGTTCGCCGGAAAAAAATTTCCGATCAAAATATTTGTCCGACCAAAAAAAAAAACTCTCTCTCTCTCTCTCTCTCTCTCTCTCTCTCGTTGCACCTAGTGGAAAGAAGAATTCCCAGAACTCTCAAACTTGGGGAATAAATTCCCACGCACTGTGGAATTCCCGATCCCGGCGGAAAAAAACGAGGCGGCCGGCCGGGGAAAAAAAAGAGGCGGACGGCAGGTAGAGTGAGCCGGAAAAAAAAATAATTAATAATTGAAAATAAAAATAATCATGAACTTACAATTTTGTCCTTCATTAAAGTAGATTAATTGTAGCCATTAGATTTTAATGAGATGGAAGGGCTGAGATTTACTTAGTCATGTGACTAAGGGACCCCCCCTTAGTCACCTGATCTTAGCCCTCAAGATATTGTATTATAGGTTTCTCTGTTATGTTCCTGATGCCTATCATAAGGTATCATCTTGTAGTAAAACAATGGAATAGAATGACAGGGAGAAAGAAATGAAGACTAAAATAATATTATGGTACAAGTTGAAAATCTAAAACCACCTTTGAGGAAAGTATCTGTCATTTCTAAACGTGCTAACTGAGATGGTTCAACTTGTAGATATTTTTTCCCCTCTATGCCTTGTTGATGAATGCTGGACCTGCTTCTTGTTAATATGGTGTTTTGAGGCTTTGCACGTGGTAGCTAAGTTTATCTTCATGATCTTGATATTCAGGCGGAACTAAACAAAGTTGCTGATGCTTCAAATCTACTTGACACTTACCGTCTCAAGGAAAAGACTGAGGAAATGCTGTCAACTGAGGCTCCAGTGGAAGAGGTTAATATCAGCACCCGTTGGGCTATCATTTAACATGCTTGTGTCATTGTGTTTAAAAGTGTCATTGTTAGTACAATGAGAAACCACAAACTCTTGGTCCCTTGGAATTGCAGCGTACCACAGGGGAAGTGAGTGAAGGTTATGTAACAAAAGATGGAAAGCTGGTTATGGATTTTCTTCAAGCCATTCATGCTGCTGAAAAGAGGCAAGCTGAGCTAGATGCCCAAGTTTTTACTCAAGAAAAAAGAGCACTGAAGGTATGACCACAGAATGCTTTCTGGTGGGAAGAGTTACATATGTCTGCATGATCTGCATCTTTGATCCTGATAATCTGTTGTAATAATGTAGAATTTTGGATACAGTTTTATCTCTTATATATATCTTTTTGGTCTTGCCTAATATCAGGAGAAGTATGAAAAGCAATTGAGAGATTCAAGGGCAAGAGAACTTATGCGTGCAGAAGAGGCTGCTATATTGGATAAGGTTGTATAAGTTTCTTTATCTAATTAATGAACCATTCTTGGCCTTCATTCTGTAGAACCTGAACATAGATGTGCAATACTTATACTACATGCTCAATTTCAGGAAATCAAAAGAGAGAGGGCAAAAGCAGCAGCTGCAGTCAGATCAGTCGAAGAGAAAATGGAAGAGAAGCTCAAGATGGAACTTGAGCAAAAGGTTTGCAGTGTGTCTATCCTTTGTCCAGTATAATGGTGTCTCTTATAACAGATTTGCACAATTTGGTTATTCAAGTTGCTATTCTTGGGAAATTTAGGAAGCTGAAGCAGAAGCCGAGGTTAAAAGGATCCAGGAGTTGGCAAAAGCAGAATTGACTGCAGCAATTGCAAGTGAGAAGGCTACACAAATTGAAAAAATTGCAGAGGCTAATCTTAATGTAAGATCTCCTTTTATGCAAGCTTCAGAGTTCTACGTCAAGCAATAATTGGCAATTAGTTCTTAGATGTCAAGTACTATCATAACTAAGGGAAAAGCTGAGATCTTACTTCGATTCTGTTTGATTATTATATTGCCTCATGGAATAGTGGTTTATGAGAGACTCTACTTCACTAAATTGGTTGCTTGTTAAATGCACATAACTTTAGTAAGATGGAAGCATTTAAGTACTATATTCCACAATCTGATGTGATACTTTCTGACTTTATTTGGTGAAAATGTCATCAAGTCACTTGGATGAATACATCCATGCTTACACTTGTTGCTAGAGCATTGTTCACAACCTTTGACGTTCTTGTTAATTTTGCTCTCATAGTTTGACAAACAGTTTAACTTGTTTGTCATTCAACTTCTGATTACGAAGCCATACGCCTGAAACTGACTAGTCTGAGGCTTCGTGGTTTTTCTAGATAGATGCCTTGTGCATGGCGTTCTTTGCACGATCAGAAGAGGCCCGCCAGATTCACTCAGTTCACAAGCTTGCGTTGGTAACTTCTCTCCCCAATGCTTTATAGAGGCTTCTTCACATTTATTTCCACCTACCCACTATTTTGCTTCCAAATGTACGGCTTGCAGGGTGCACTTGCTTTAGAAGACGCACTTTCTCAAGGTCTCCCGATTCAAAAAGAACTAGAAGATTTAAGTGCCTATCTAGAAGACACTGATAAGGATTCGCTGGTTCAACTGGTCCTATCAACTCTTCCTGAAGAAACACGCCAATCTGGCACGGACACTGTGTTGCAGTTGAATCAAAAGGCATGTTCATTTTCTTTGAATCATTTTATTTTGGTGCATATAAAAACGTTTACCTCATTTTCCCCTTTTGATAGTGATTTACTGGCCCGGTCTGAACTAAGATTAGAAGATACAACTGCACTTTGATGTCTCCTTCTTTGGGTCTACTGAGTAAATGTCTGTTGGGTTCTTCTTTTCCACTTCCTAGGACTGATTGTTTCCATAGGGAAGGTGAGTGCACTGTCCATGCTTTTTCAAGAACAAAAAAAAATGAAGCCTTGCCTTCTCTTTAGCAATCATCACTTGTTACCCTGATTTCATGACAGTGTACCATGTGCTTCCGTTGCATATTGTACAAATGACAGTACCGTAGTGTAGATATTAAGAACAGTCCTTTTATATGGGGTCTCTCACCAACCTTCTCTCCATTTCATTCTACAGTTCAATGCCCTGAAAGGTAAGCTCCGACATCACATTCTCATCCCTCCAGGTGGCGGTGGCATCCTAGCACACGCTATGGCCCAGATAGCATCGTGGTTGAGGGTACTCTCACATACTATAAACTCAATTCTTTCCAACTCTCATTTAGCTTAACCCATTACTGCATCCACAACAACTAACTTCCTTTTTCTGCTACAGTTGAAGGAAGTGGATCCATCTGGAGATGGGATTGAATCCGTAATCAGTAGAGTCCAAACTCTCTTATCCGAAGGCAAGCTCGCTGAAGCAGCGGATGCTCTTCAAGACGGCGTGAGAGGCAGCCAAGCCGAGCAGATGGCAGGTGATTGGGTGAGACGTGCTAAGAACAGGGCCATCACAGAACAAGCTTTGACCGTGCTTCAATCCTACGCCACCTGCATCAGTCTCACTCGATCGTAAGGTCTGTCTAAGATTTTGATTCTTTTCTTGCCAACCCGACTTAGATGTTTAGCCAAAGACGGTTTTCAACTCACAAAAATTGTGTAGAGTAATACGAACGAAACGCCCCTAGCAATAAAGATTCTGTGCTGATGTTCCGAGGTGGGGAATTTTTTGCCTCTGAATAGGACTGGACAAAGAGTCATGTGAGCTTTGTTTTAGTACAAGAACGACCTGTTTATGATCCGAACATGTAGAGCATATTACGATGGCGACCTGCTGATTTACACCTTCTGTGGACTTCTTTTCCCAGCTGATTGATGGCTCACTTGCTTATGATTGGTTTGTTTGGGAATGGAGGTGGTGAAAATAGTGTTAGTAAAGTATTAAACAAGAAGTCCACTGAAATAAATGATAGGAACAGAGGGGAACAGCAAAGATGTCAAACGCCAGACACACTCAGTTGCCTTGGCCAGAGATTGCACATGAAGAAGAACATGCTCAAACTTGTGAATTATTGTTTTTTTTTTTTTTTTTTTTTTTTTGCGGTTGAGCAACACCATGAATTATTGTTTTGTCAATTATTAAATTTGAATACTTTTTTTTTAGTTGAATGAGAGTTTAATTTATGAAATGAAGGATCGTATGGAGTAAATCAAAAGTAAATTCTGTCAAGTGGAAATAAGAAGTCGAATTCACCTCGCTCGTGCATCGTTGGACATACTCGCAATGTACTTGCCCAAACCCTAACCTCATTTACTAGGTTTGCAATTGTTTTAGTTGTTGCAAACAAACTAAACCAAAATCGAGGATCACAAAATTCGGTTTTGGTCCTTTGTATTCTAATCAGTAATCAGTAGTATTTTACAGGATTTCTTAGAGTTAGAATTATTTTGCTTGGTATATTTGGCTCGTGGCTTTGATCCAACGTCACTGATTTCAATATAGTCAACAAAAGTTTATAACATTTTGTGACCACAAATCAGATCAATACATCTAGAATGTCGAAAGACTTTCTACCATCAACTTACGCACCATTAAAATACAATTTCCGACGATTGGAAGATAGAGTTCTCGCAACTCCATGTGTATAATTCTTCTCTCCTCCCTTGCAATTTATAATGTCTGCTAAGTGCTAACACACAATTCAATAGCTTTCATTGCCAATCACCAAACTGTTACTTGTACTTTAAGTTTTGATGTGATGAGAGAACTTGATTGGATGTGATGAGCTCTTATTCTCTCTCTCTGCATATTTCTTTAGTTGCAAAGAGAGATTTTGGGGGGTTGAGACTGAAATTCTGATGGGGTGGTTAAGTATATTAAGTGAGGGAAAATGACATTTTGAGAGCATGTTAATTATTTAAAAAAAAATGATTAAGCAATTGCAATGTTGATTAGTTGGTTAGTAGTACTCTGCTGCTGGGTCTGGTGTAGAGCGCTAATCGCTTTCATTCCACCAGTGAGTGACAGAGAGATTGTTAAGATTTTAATTAATTAGTATTAGTGCCAACTATAATACAACTGGTGACCTGGTGGGGATCTTCAGAAGAGAAAAACAGCTTGGCTTCTCGCTGTCTTTATTCGTCTCTTCATCCACCACCAACTTGGCTCGGCTTGGTTTGGTTATCGAGTTAGATGGTTGGTCGTCTTTTTCGAAAAATAAAAAAAATAGTGAGATGAACATCATAATCGAAAGATAGTAACCAACGAATGGTTGTAGCGTAGATGAAGTTTGAATGTGAGTGGGGTGGAATGCTGAGTCTGAATCAGACGGAGCGACGCGAAATAACCTATTTGTATAACCACCTTCCTAAACCCTAACTCTCCATACCAGTTTGAAATGGTATAGAGTTTCCATAAGTTTCGCTTTAGTGATGGCTTCGCCTCCAAGATTAACCCTAAATGCCTTGAAGAATCGGTCCATCCTCCCATTTAACTATGTTGCATGCAGAGTTCGAGTTCTTGAGAGCAGTAAACGAAGTCATTGGTGTTCGCACTTCATTTGATCGATGTGATTGAGAGCTACCACACGGAGAACGAGAGCTCTCATGTTTATTATTGATGATTCTTCTCTTAGCATTGATGACTTAAAAATAATATCGTATTAGTCGGTCGGACCGGAAATACTGGGTACTGAATCACAAATTGATAGGCAATGATAGTAATATGGAATAATTAAACCACAGCTAAATTACAATTTAATACAAAATATCGTATTACTGACTCTTTCAATACGGTGCCGTTTTAACTTGCAACCCCTTACAAAATAATGCGACTTCAGCCGAGTTGACTTGTAACCCAGCCGCAGCCGAGCTCAGCCGGGCCAAAAATCTGGCGCCGTCGAAGATGGCCGCCGCCGCTGATCGCCATGACTGATTGTCGGTGTATTTACAGAAAAGAGAAACAGCTCTACCACTAGTCTGTGAAGTGAAGAAGACACACTACCAGTCGGTTCTTATTTACCTTACCCTAATCGCCGACTGTAATAAAACTCCAATCAAATCTACATTTCTTCCTTTTCCCTCTTTTTATCGTCCTCCATTTCTGCTACTCGTCCCATTTATTGCTGCCCTTTTGTTTCTTCTTTCCCTCATTTCCCCCTTCTCTTCTCTTCTACGTCATCCCCATCTTTCTCCCACCTCCCACAACCCACATGCCCCTCTTCCTCCTTCGCTCTCTTCTTCAGGTAAAAACTTTCACCCATCGCATCGGGTTTGCAATCGCTCGATCCGCTTTCGGTTTTGCTCCCCTTGCATTTCGATTCCAGTGTCAATGGCGGCGGAATGTTTGTTTCTGGGTTGCTTCAGGTTGATTGAGTGAGTGAGTAGGTGGAGTAGAGTTGGGTCGGATCCGTGTTGGTTTCAGTACTCTTTGAGTGATGAGTTAGTGGCGGCAATTCAAAGTTTCTACATTGGTTTCTATAATTGCTAGGAGTGTGTGGAGGCGAAAAATTTGAGCGGAGTTCATCTCGATCTGATCTAAGCATCTTCCATTGAATTTCATTTTTTTTTTGCTTCAGGTTTGGGTTTTGTCTCTTAGCGCTTGTTCGGTTGTGGTTTTCGCAGGGGGAATTGATGCTTTGACGAGCTTGGCCAGCGGATCTGGAGAGGAGACGAGGTTCTTCTGTGTTTATATCTTTGACTGACTGAGGGGGGAATCTTGGAGTCGGGCAAAAATGGCGGCCGCACTGGCTTGGAGGTTCGGTACCAGCAATGGCAGCAGCTATTCACCGAATGATATGGTGAGAATTGATAAGTTGTTTTTCTCTCTGCTGTCTTTATTCGACTCAATTATCAGAAATAGTTTGTTTGTATAATTGGGAATCCTCTTGGGAAAGAGTGTGGAGCTGGGCTCAGATCTTGATACTAGTACTGTTGCTCTCACTTCCTCTTCTTGGGTTCTCTGTTTGGATGCGTTTCTCGATCACATTTACATTTTAGGAAAGATGCATAATTTGACGTAAACAGTAAAAATGTAGACACATCAGAAGCAGCTTAACATAGATCAGGATTGTGATAGTGATACTTCACATCTTTGCAGTTGCCTTGATATGATTGTTCTCATCTAAAGTCTTTTTGTTGAAGATAATCTGAATTGCCTTCTTATTCGCTTGAAAAGTGACAGCCTTTACTCATGCAAATGCCCTCTCTGCCTTGCTTCTTTCAGGATAAAAATGGCGATACTAAACTTCAAGATTCAGAGCCCCCAACTCCACATTCAGTTATGAAGATGAGCTTAAGGTTGGTCCTTTTATTTTTTACTGGTTGCTTCTTTATCTTCATTGGTGTGAACTTCCCTTAGGGTGATTGTAGCATTGTCAACTCTGCTGTCCATTTGGAGGAAACTTCAATTGGTAAAATCAATTTCTCGGGTTGTGTTTCAGGTTTTCCCTGATACTATGAGATTGAAGATAACATATTGAGTCCTTTTTCTGTTGCATTGTCATTTCTATGATATTTATTTTTGCTGCAATTTAGAGAATGTGATTTCTGGATATCAATAGAGAAGAACCATGTGGCTGTAATCCATTTATAGGGGTTTGACCAATAAGGAGTCTGGACCTAGTCCGCTTCGTTCGTATTGCTGTCAGTACCTTACTCCACCTAATACCCTAAAAGTTCATTTGAAAAGCCTTTAGTAAGGATTTCTGGAGAAGCTGATGACTTTACTGCTTCAGATGCCTGCTGAATTTGGATCTCGTAATCTTGTTCACCAGCTTCAGTGTATGCTTTAAATTCAATATTCTACTTGCTGCAGTTTTGGACACTTAGTACTGATCCTTTTAACCCCTTCTTCCTTTTTTGTTGGTTTTTGGAAAGTCTATTTCTACCACTCCTAGTTATTCATCAATGTTGTCCTCAAGCTATTATAAACCTAGGAGTAAGTTCTCTGTGATGGATGTAGATATTACAACTTTTGCACTGCTGCTATTTACAGAGACCGCACCAGTAGCATGGAAGACCCAGATGGCACATTAGCCAGTGTTGCACAATGCATCGAGCAATTGCGGCAAAGTTCCTTATCAGTACAGGACAGAGAATATTCTTTGAGGCAGTTGCTAGAACTTATCGAGACACGGGAAAATGCTTTCAGTGCTGTTGGTTCTCACTCTCAAGCTGTGCCAGTGCTGGTTTCTCTTCTCCGATCCGGATCACTTGGAGTCAAGATACAAGCTGCGACAGTTTTAGGCTCTCTGTGTAAGGAGAATGAACTAAGAGTAAAAGTACTGCTTGGAGGCTGCATCCCACCACTACTTGGCCTTCTGAAATCAAGCTCTGCAGAGGGTCAAATTGCTGCTGCAAAAACGATTTATGCTGTTTCTCAAGGTGGCGTGAAGGATCATGTGGGTTCAAAGATTTTTTCAACTGAAGGAGTTGTACCAGTGCTCTGGGAGCTGCTTCGGAAAGGGCTCAAATCTGGCAACTTAGTTGATAACCTTTTGACTGGTGCATTAAAGAATCTTTCTAGCAGCACTGAAGGTTTCTGGACCGCAACAGTGCAAGCTGGTGGAGTGGATATACTTGTGAAGTTGCTTACAACAGGACAACCTGGCACCCAAGCAAATGTATGCTATCTTCTTGGTTGCATGATGATGGAAGATTCATCTATTTGCTCCAAGGTTTTAGCTGCGGAAGCCACTAAACAACTGCTAAAGCTAATAGGCCCTGGAAATGAGGCCCCGGTGAGAGCAGAAGCTGCAGGTGCACTTAAGTCACTGTCAGCCCAGTGTAAAGAAGCAAGACGAGAAATAGCCAGTGCCAATGGAATTCCTGTTTTGATCAATGCCACGATAGCTCCCTCGAAAGAATTCATGCAGGGTGAGCATGCCCAAGCATTGCAGGAGAATGCTATGTGTGCTCTTGCAAATATTTCTGGTGGTTTGTCTTTCGTCATTTCAAGCCTTGGGCAAAGCCTTGAATCATGCTCTTCTCCCGCACAAACTGCTGATACTTTAGGTGCTTTGGCATCCGCTTTAATGATATACGACAGCAAAGCTGAATCTACGCGGGAATCAGATGCTGAAGCTGTAGAGCAAACTTTGGTTAAACAGTTTAAGCCAAAGTTACCATTTCTTGTCCAGGAGCGGACAATAGAGGCCTTGGCCAGTTTGTATGGTAACCCTATTCTCTCTCTTAAACTTGAAAACTCTGAAGCAAAACGTCTGCTTGTTGGCTTGATCACAATGGCAACCAATGAAGTACAGGATGAGCTTGT